CCGGCGCTAACTACATTTTTTTTTTTTTTTTTTCACCTCCGTGTGTGAGGATCCTACGCAGCGGGATTGTGGTTTGGGGGGTGTTAGGATCCTATTCTACTACTATAGGTATTTGCTTTCTTCACCTACGCATATTGTCGATTGGAAAATTGGGCTGAGGGAGATCATTTCTATTTTGTTGTATGGGCTACAGGTAAGGTATGACAACGCGGGGTAAGCAAGTCCCCCAGCAAGATAAGACATTCAAGAAACCCATATCACCAGCGCATGGATTCTTGTTTGCGAATCAATATATTATTGAATCAAACGCTGATGCTAGGTGGAACTAACGCAACATGCTCGGTGGGCTAGGTATGCGGTGAGCATGGAGTTCCAGGAATGCTAGGTAGTAGCAACAGAAATCCACCCATGACAATGCCTGGAAAAGAAACAGAGAGGAGCACCATTCTAATGTATATCCGCATCCCGCGCACCGGTCACTGATCACCTCCTTGATGTCTCACCCCGCCTGCCCCCGTCTCGATAGGATGCGGAGGGGTATCGTAAGCGCAGATGTGGTAGCATCGACGGCCGTGCAGGATGCAAGGGGAGAGAGATCCTATTACTGCCAATCCCGTCTAGTTGCTCAACTTCTCACTCGCAGTGTTCACAGCCTCCTTCGCCTCGGCCTTCTTCCCCGCGAGGAATTCGCTCACCCACTGGATCACATCGTTGGTGACGACAAATCCTGTGCTGACGACCGCCTTGCCATAGCCGACCAGGCCGTCCTGGCCGACCTTCTTCTTCTCGGAGCCAAAGACGCCGAAGACGTACTCCTTGCCCTCGGTGCCCTTCCGCAGTGGGAAGGTGATGATCGACTTGCCCTCGTCGAACAACTCGCCCGTCGGCTTCTTGACCACGGGGAACCGCGCGTCGAGGCCAGAGAGGGTTGACTCACCCAAGGAATCCGCCTTCTGCAGGTATGGCGACACGTATTGGTAGGGTCTTGAGAGGTATGGGAGCAGGGGCTTGCCGAGCTTCTCGTAGCCAGCCTGGGTGATGTCGAGGGATTTGGCACCGTAGGGGTTGGATTTGAAGGTCTTGATGGAGTCGGAGATGACGGGATAGGAGATCAGGTGCTGTTACGCTCGTTGTTAGTTGTGTGGCAGCCGTGTGAGGGGGAGGGAAGACCTACGCCAAGGAAGGCAGAGGAGATGGGTGGCGTATCGCCGTTGACCTGGGTTGCCATCTTGTCGTCGGATAGATCTGATTCGAAATGGGGCATAAGAGGGGGGATGGGAAGAGCAGGTGATGGGATTCTAGAGACAGGCTCGCGTCAGGAAGTCCGAGTCATGGTTCATGGGAGAAGGGCTTACTCTTCTGAGCTTGGGAGCCGGTCTTGTGTAGTAGCTATGCGGGTGGTTGAAGAGGAGTGAGAAGGTTGGGTAAGTTCAAGTTCAAGTTCAAATTCAAGTTCTTTGGAAGGGGGGGGGAAGAAAGGGGTCAGAAGGACGAAAGGGAGAAGGATAGAAAGGAGAAAAGATGGTGTGTTATGAGTGGTAGCGATGATGGTGCAGTGGGCAGCTTTATCAAGGGAAGGACTTTGTCAAGGGAAAGGAGCGAGAGGGAACAACGTAAGAGGGCAGGGGAGATCCACGACGGGAACTATATCATTACCGTCTCTGTTGCGCCACACCTGGCCATCTGCATTTGCATGTGCGTGTGCTACTTATTACTTATTTTTCCCTGATTGGATTGGATTGGATTGTGCTCTTCACTCTGTTCCACCGTGGTCGTGTTTGTTTATGTGTATCGAGCCGGGATGGACGGGGTTGACGAGGCTTGGGACGACAGGCCAGGGATTGGATTGTCTGCAGCAGAGAAGCCTGGCATCGGTGTTCCATCGACATGCATTCCAACATCGAGTGGCGATGGGTTGACGTTTTCCCATGTTTAGCGGTGGATACTCGACATCGATATCGTGATAGATGATGCACCTTGATGCGTGTGTTTGGCATGTGAAAGTGTGTGCCTGAGGCATCAACCTCCCTCGATCTCCCTCTTGTCCCTCGCCCCTATCTCCTCTGAACATCATCTCCGCCGCCATGATTCGTATCAACGTATCAACGTATCAACCTCTTAAATGTCTTTGACTCTTCTGCTATCTGCTATCTGCTATTGACTCTTACGCCGACCTCCTCGATCGCGGCATTTGATTCCCTGAAACAAGCGTCGCAGCCCTGGGCCAGCCCCATCGCCCATCGTTATCAGCCACTATCTTTAGCTCGAACTGTAGTGTCAGTGTATCATCGCCCTATGGCCGATACGGATATGTATGTACATCGTATTGTATGTCTTTGTTCTTTCTCATCCACTCTCATCCAATCCCTCCTCAACCATTCTCAACCTGAAATTCATCTCTCATCTTCCCCGTTGCACCGGCTCCCGGCATGCTCTAGCCGCCTATTGTTCCTTGATCGAGGCATATAACGAGTTCAGAGATGCCTGCCTGCATGAACAGGATGGCCGCGCTGCAGTTTTATATTGCTGAGCAGGCATATTCCCTCACCACCATGACTACATACGGATCATTGCCGGAAGAGAGCTAGAAACCGCTTGGCCTGACGAGGCTTGACGTTGGTTCTCAGATGCATCAGCCACAGCCAAGCATCTGCATCTGACATGTGAAAATGTCCTCATTCCCGTCTGTGCTCACTTCAACTTGTCTTCACTTCGTATCCTTGACATGTCTTCTCTTCACTCCCCGATGGTTACCTATTCTCCGATTCTGATATTCTCCTGCTCTTTGTATCTACATCACCAGTATACATCACATCCTAGAGAGTATACATTTCCTTTAACACAATTCACAAATCAATCAATTAATACCCAAACCCCGACATACATTACATACACAAAAGCCCCCCAGAATCTGAAAATAGAACCAAACAAAAATCCCCCCTCCCATCTACCTTCCCTCCCTCCTTATTCCCCATCCACACACAGAATCCAGACCCCGTCTCCGCATAGCTTTGTGAGACCTAACCAGGAACCTACCTACCTACCTAGCTGTCATGCACATTGGAGAGCAGGGGAATACGTCGTGTAGGGAAGCACGACATGTCCCGGGGTATTTTTCCTTTCCCTTTCTTTCATTTTAATTTATTGAATTGCTATGATTGGATCTGATTGCATTCGATCTCTAGACGGGGAGGAGATATATGTATATGTTGTACGGCAGGGTAAGGAAGCGGGGAGGGAAGCTATTGCTTGCTACTCAGCGGATGGATGCATGTTAGTTGGTAAAGGGGAAGCTGGGGATGGCTTCCGCGTTTTTGATGAGCGTCTGGTCTGGGATCCATGTGGATATTGGGCTAGGGATCTCGGGTGTTGCGGCATGCTCTGTTTGAGACTCAGCTTGATGATGATAATGATAACGATGGCGGTGGTAGGATCATTGGAGGATGGAGGAGACCCAGATCAGAGATCAATCAATCAATCAATCAATCAATCAACCGATATCTACCTACATCTACCAATATCTACATCTACCTACATCCTACCCCGCCTATCTCCCCCTCCCCACATTCCCCACTCCCCACTTCCCACATCCCCCCGCTACCTTACACCTCATCCCTCGTCGTCAACTCCCCAAAGATAGCATCGTAAATCGCCTGTCCCACCCCCGTCGCGCTCGCCGGATTCTGGCCCGTAATCAGCCTCCCACCTCTCGCCACCACCACTCTGGGCGCCCAATCCTTATCCGCCTTGACATACTTCCCACCCGAGGCCTCATCCAGCGCATCCTGCAACTTGAACGGCATAGCCTGGGTCAGTCCCACGGCGTCCTCCTCGCTATTCGAGAACCCCGTGACGGGCTGGCCCGCGAGCAGGTGCGCGCCCCCGGGTAACTTGACGTGCGCGAGCGCCGCGGGCCCGTGGCATACCGCCGCGATGATCTTGTTGTGCGAGTGGAACTCGTTGATGAGCTGGTGGCTCTGCGGGTCGGTCGCGAGATCGAACATAGGCCCGTGACCGCCGACGAAGAAGATGGCTTCGTAGTCCGAGGCGTGCCCTAGGATCGAGGATAGCGGGACTGTGTTGGACCAGAGTGTGGACTGGTGCTGGTGGATGGATGTCGAGATCGGGTCCGAGGAGGCGGCGGTTATGGAGGAGGGGTCGAGAGGCGCGGGGCCGCCGTGGGGGGAGGCGATGGTGATGGAGACGTGGTCTTTGAGGACGTGGTAGGGGTGGGCGAATTCAGACTGTGCGAGGTGGAAGGGTGAGTGAGTGGTGGTTTGGAAGGGGGAGGGGATGAAGAGAGAGGGGCACGAACGAGATACCATCCCGTGGGCTTGCCGGTGTTGCCCAGTTTATCATGAGAGGTGAGTACGAAAAGAACCTTTGGTGCCATGGTGAAGTCTCGTCTGTCCCGATCGATCGACTGATTGACTTATTGAGGTGTTGTTTTAGTTTCTGTAGTAGAAGTAAATCTCTGCGAGGGAACGAACCTCTTCTCTTCTCTTTCCCCTCTCTTTGTAGTCAAGGCGGGGTATGACAATGAATGATCTCATCTTCAACATCTGCGTCTGCCATCCTCTCCATCTGCTTGGTCAGAGGGTATGAGCCCTATATCTCATCGATTGATGTACGCCTCCTGTGATTCGTCCCATCTGGAAGAAAGAGAAAGCTGCTGATGTCAGACTCCGCACACAGTGATGTAACCCCTCGTTGCCCCGGGCGATCTTGCGCGGGCCGGCCCTGCATCTCGCCTAAGCCCCTTTAACCCCCCCCACGTCTTCAAGGGCTCACGGTTCGGGAGCTTCGATCAGATTAATTACCCTGTGGTCTAGAACTGTACTCACGGGTTGCAGGCCTTTTTTTAATAAGAAAAGAATAAGATTGCATACTTGTCTGAAGTCTCCACCTACGATGTGAGGATCCATCTGTCACTCCCTTGTGAGGTTGTGTACGGCTCACCAGGACAGTGCTGACTCCCTGACTTCTATAGTAAATACCAGCTTCGTTCAGACTTGGCTCACAGATTCAAATGCACAAAGACGACAATACAACACAGTACCAACCAAGGCAATGATTCTAATTCAGTTGCATCATAAATTATACATTCATTACATATCATCACATCATGACTCCCTCACAACTTCACCCTTAAAACACACCCAGAATCGTCTTGATCTTGGGGAAGTACTATAGCACAGGATTAGCCACCGCGCTCATCATCGGAACATCAAGAATTACTTACCGGAGTCCCCCATCCAGAGACCGCATCCCAGCCCTGCTTCGCCAGGAAACCCGTCGTGTTGCATCCGATCGCACTGCCGCTCGTGACGTCCGTGAAGGCGAGGTGGCCAATGGAGTAGAGCCAAGGGTTCAGGAAGCCCAGAGGCGGTCTGCCCTCGGCGATCAGCGCATCGTTAACGAGGGTGAGGACGGCGCTCGCAGCGGGTGTAGCGGCGCTGGTGCCGTCGAGCCACGTGTCGGAACCGTTCCAGGTGGTGATGAAGTGGAAGCCCTGGGCTGAGATGTCGGGGTAGCCGCGGCCGGACTTGTTGTAGAGGCCCTCAAATTCGCCGTTGAGGGAATCGACGTATTGGGGCACGGCGAGGTCCTGGTAGGAGGGGCGCTTGAAGTAGCTGCTGAAACCGCCGCCGGAGCTGAAGTCATCAAGGGGATCCCAGGCTACGACTTCGGGGGAGAAGTTCATAGTGGCACCGACCGAGGTGATGTAAGGGCAGGTGGAGGGGAATTCGGGGAGGAAGGTGGGAGACTTCTTGCCGTCGTTGGTGTAGCATCCTCTGGAACCTCAGTCAGTACGCGTGATCAAGATTTCTACTTCACCTGGGGACTTGACACTTGCCCAGTCCCTTCTGGGATGCACCGAGGCGATGCGGCCTAAGCTTAAATGTACATACCCTTCAGCTCCAACTCCACTGTCACCACTTGCAAAGAGCAGAGAGATGCCTCGAGCACCCAGCTGAGCAAATCCATTACAGACCGAGGTCGCGTATGAGAGTGGAACCGTTTGTTCGTCGTCATCGTACGAGGTGCTGATTACCTGGGGCAGATCAGACTGGGCGAGCACATACTGGATCCAGGTCAGGTATGGCTCGTTGGTGTCCGTTGGAGTCACAGCATCAGGGTTGAAGGGCGGGGAGCCACCGGTTGTGAAGGCAGTCAGCGGAGTGGGCCAGCTGATTCCAAGAATCGTCTCGGCGTCAAGATTGCCCTCGAGGTCCTTGCCATTGGCGAGCTCGGTAGCATTCTCCTGGGTTTGTTCATTGTTTCCGTCTGCTATGACTTCAACACTGAACTCATATGCGGCGGCAGCAGCTTCCGGGCGGTACTCATTCAGAAAGATGTAGGCATCTGACCGGTTATTCGACTCGCCAAGAAAATCGTTGAGACCGACTTTGTTCTTGCCCGCGGCCTTGGGAGTGTAGTCATAAGTCCCATAGAGGGTCCGGAGACAGAGAGGGGTCACCGCGGTCTCGTTGCACACTTGCGCTACAGTCGGGTTGGTTGGGGGGGAGATTGGCTTCGGTGGCTTCCAACCCTCCGGGGCCACGGTCTTCAGGGTGCTCCTCATAGCCCGTGGTGCAAAGAATGAGGTGGTTGGCTGAATAACATCAATGTGCTCGTGCAGGTGCTTTGGAAGAGACCATTCCGGCGCGCGAACAATCTGGCCACCCTCCTCATGCTCGAAGACAGAGTACTCAGTCTCAAGAAGGCTCTCCACATCGCTCACGGGAAGGGATAGTCTGATCCAGTCCTTCGCGGGGCTGTAGTGGAGTGAAGTAGCTTCAATGCCGTGGTCAAAGAGCCACTCGTGAACAAGTTCCAGCGCATCATCGGAGGGTTTAACCAGTTCGTTCACCTCGGCCTCGGTCAAGTGCTGACCATACCGGCTGTGCGCGGGGTCGGAAACTATGCTGCAGTCAGCGAGGGGCAATGCTGTAGACGCGGCGCATCCATTCTTACCTTCGTAGAGATGCCTCTCGAGCTCATCGAATTGGCTCTGCTTCAGACCGATCTGCAGGTGGATTGTGTGGTCCGAAGGCGCTGGGCCGACCCTGGACCATTTCCTGGGGACGTTATGGGTCTCTTTGAGGGCGTAAGGAGAGCGGAGGTGGAGCGGGGAGCCCACTGCCGCCTCAGCAGCGACGAGGAGGGCCAGCAGGACGCGGCGAGCAAGAGAGATGTGCATCTTCACAGATTGAACGTGCAGCTCGGGAGAGATGAGGCTGGTTGGAGAGGGCCATGGTGGGCGATGAAGCTTTTATTATCTGTAGAGCAGGCATCGGGGTAAGATTGGCGGGGGCCTGGGCGCGACCAGAAAGACGGGATATCGTAACATGGTCCCCTTGCTAGGGCCGAGTCAAGCCAGGAACCACGACCCTTGAATACAGATGTCAACCGTTCTGCTGTACCTGATACGCCTACAGATCTATCCTATTGTACCTACCGACATCCAGATCTTTTCCGGCTTTAACCACCCATCATCTCCTCCATCGTCCTCCCTTCCATCCTTTACGCCCGTATCAACAATCAATCATCCAGAACCCATTAATCGATCATTCATTCACCTTCTCCGATCCGTCAATCCCGACCTTCCCAATTGCCTTCTGCGGCCTAGCCTCCCGCCCCGGACCCTTTACGCTTTCGCCCTTAGCCGAGCATCAACACGGGCCCGGCTGGCGCGTCTCCCAGATCAGAAGGTGATGCCACGATAAGCAGCTCGCACGTCTTTTTTGTCCTGCCGTGCTTCGGGATGAGCGATCGTCGTACGTACGCATGGAGTTCCTCGACGGAGTTTCTGGCTTATTGTTGCATGAAATAATAGTTGTGATGATTAATTCCAATTCTCATTTTACAGGAAAAAGTCCGGAATTCGGGGGCTAGGATGGCGAGGCGGGGTTTAGATAAGATAGGCTGGGGAGGTTGGAGATGGGAACCTCTTCCTGCTGGGATATACCTACCTCTATACTCTGTGTCTAAGGTTCTACTTACTACGACTTGATCAAATCACAAAATTCGTAACGCCAGCCACTCAACGAAAGAAAGGAGAGAAGATATAATACACAAAGAAGGAATAGAAAAGAAGATCAACAGCTCTACGTAGGGGAGGAAGGAGGTTGAACCGGGCAATTTGGGCCTTGATAATAGAAAGGTAAGCCGACCCCTTCCCACATCCTTCTCTCTAGAAGGAGACGGGTTTGAAGGGGTTTGAAGATGGGAGCTCTTGCTGAACGGAATAGATGGCCGTGAGAAACGGATGCCCAATGAAGCTATTTATTCGCAGCCAAGAAGAGGCTGATGGGAAGTATTTCGATCCCTCCCTGGCACTTCTTTCCGTACCTTATACTCTACTCCACTTCTGTCCACTCACCCCACATTCCACTTATTCCAGACTGTATAAAGCACCGTTCATTGAACGTCTTATTATATCCCATCACTCCGCCAAAGATGTCTTCCACGTCTGATGTTCACATCAGCACTTGTTCAAAGGAGGGGCCAGCACGAAGCAAAAGACTCCTCTCGTACAAAGGGGCACTATGTTGTCACGAAAATGGCACGTGCAGTCCATGGAACCTCTAGTCATCTCTGTACTAGGTACTCCATACAATCCTCTACACCGATCTCTACACCGAATTTCCAGATGGCAAACGATGAACATGTGGAGCTGTCAGTTTGATCCGCACGAGCCGATCCGAAGACCTGCTGTCCCATGCTGCTCAAGGACCTATCAGACCCAGCCTTTTGGCTTAAAGTGCCACATGGGAGTCACGTTTTCGTTTCTTGTGAAAATCACCTCTGTTTTAGATGTTGTGTATCAGAACTCAATCGATCGGTGAGTGTTGAGACGTGTATGCTGTATCCACTGTCTGTGGAACCGGTTATGCAAAGGCATACAGTGATACACAAAGACGTTGCTGCGGCGCCGCCTTCTAGGTGATTCGACCTATCACAGATACATATATAGATATATATGTCGTTAGGTAGTATACGATTTTCAAGTAACCGTCGTAAGTACCGGCTGCAACGGCGCGCAGCTTTGTCATAGCTTTTCCTTGTTTCCAATCCTGACAATGGCAATGAATGTCGAGGGTAAGACAGCTATCGTCACGGGAGCAGGTCCCGGAATCAATTTCTGTTTTGCAAGATTGCCCCTGAGCAAAGGCTGCAATGTAGTGATCGCAGACCTTGCCTTGCGTCCCGAAGCTCGGGCTTTGGTTTCCCAATATCTTACCTCCTCTGCTGCAAAAGCAGTCTTTCAGGAAACGGATGTGACGGATGGGGCGTAGTTACAAACGTGGTTCGAAATAGCGATTGAGAATTTTGCTGGAGCAGATATCGTTTGTCCCGGCGCCGGAGTCTACGAGCCTGTGAGTATCACCTTCACAGTTACAGACAGGGGCATCGGCCTTCCTCAGACTTCTGGGTGCCACCCAGAACGTTTCCTTCGAAGGACAAGCTTTTCAAATCGCGATACTCGATCTTGGACATCAACATCACGCACCCGATCCGTGTTACCCAGATGGCTATCGGGCATTTCCTCGCACGCAAGAAGCCTGGCGTCGTGGTACATGTCTCGAGCGTAGCGGACCAGATCCCCTTCTTCCCCACGCCCATGTACGTCGCATCAAAACACGCTCTCTCGGGATTCGTCCGCTCTCTTTCCCGACTCGAGAATCCGCCTTCCCATCTCCTCCAGATTCGCGTCAATGCCGTTGCGCCGGCGAGGATCCTCACTCCGTTGTGGACAGATCATCCGGACAAGATGCAGATGGTTGGGAAAGACAACCCGGGATGGATCATGCCGGAGGACGTAGCTGCTGTCATGCTGGATCTGGTGCAGGAGGAGGAGCACGTCGGGGGCACGATCATTGAGGTTGGGGAAAGGGTGCGGAAGGTGGAGGCTTTCAATGATCCGGGGCCTGGGGTCGGTGGGAATGAAGTCCAACGTGATGATTCCATCGAGGCCGATATGTGGGCCAGTATGGAACGGCAATACAATGGGATATAAGTGCATGCTCCCTGGTTGACGGTCCTGTCCGGAATGTTCCAAGCCTTATTCACCATCTTATCCTCTTCCCTCCCTGCTCATGACGGGCGTGGCTTGGAGAAGGTATAGAAGCCATACTCCGCAGAGCGGTCGGTCAGTAGAGGCAACTCCAACTTGTCATCATCCAGACATCCAATGATCCCCGCCCTCTGCGGAGTAGATGTGTACCGTAACCTCGTACTCTGCGCGACGTAGCCGCACATCTGCAGAAAAAGTGCGGCAAAAGCGCGGTGTGTTTATCATGACCAAGTTCCAACTTTCCATGCAGCGCCGCATCCTTGTCCCGTGGTCACAGTGTCCTGCAGCCGTTTTTGTATTCCACTCCATGGCTTCGCGAGCAATTCAGGATGCCCAGGTCAAAATGCCTGGCAATAAGTCGTAGCCGGCCATGTTTTTATCATGACGGAATGTTTATATGACAGGGCCGGGAACGCGGGGATAAAACGAGAACAATGAAATGATGATGAAACAATGGTTGACAGACTTCGAACTTGAGCTTCGATAGGCCGCCGGGCTAACCCTCCCAAAATGGAATGCTTCTGTGAAGGCCGTCGATTGATTCGCTGGAATGCACCATGCAAACCGGATTTCCCTCGGGCCCTGAATCGCCTCGTTCGACTGAATCTCTATCGCTCTTTTGATAAGAGAGGAGATAATAATAAACAAAAGCAGAAGCAGAAGCAGAAGCAAAAGAAAATAAGGGCAATGCCCTGAGAAGGCAGCAGTGAACCTCACATTCGTTGCATCGCCCTCACCACCATCACCATCACCATCAACCGTCACTCGCTACTTACCGTCCTGCGCAGAGAAACATCCTTTAAACTCTCGACCCGTCGTGAAGAGCCTCTCTCTTCCAACACAACCCACATTCTCTTATTCACTCGTTCAACTGCTCTCCCGCCATCAGACGCGTTCGTTCTCTTGTCTTCTGTTGTCTGCCCTTTCTCTTCTTCTTTCCGTCTCCATTTTTTATCCCCACGACTTGCCATCCCACGGCCACTCTCACTCCCTATGCGAAGCATGTTTTCCAAGACGCTGGCAGGGGCTGGTCTCCTTGCCAGTTTCGCCATCAGTGCTATTAATGCCATCGATCCTATTTCTGTTGTCGGGTCCAAGTTCTTCTACAGCAATGGGACCCAGTATTTCATCAAAGGTACAGTCCGCCATCCGCCCCTCGCCCCGTCCCGCCACGGTGGAGCCCACTGTGCTAATGTCAGACCAGGAATCGCATATCAATTGACCGAGGCCGATCCTCTCCTCAACACCGAGCAATGCCAGCGCGATGCCTCCCTCATGAAAACCTTGAATGCGAACGCCATCCGTGTCTACCATGTTGATCCCGATGGAGATCATTCTGGCTGCATGTCGGCGTTCGCAGACGCGGGCATCTACCTGCTGGTTGATCTGGATACCTTCAACACTGCAATCGACCCGGTAAGCTCCCCGCCCCCATGCTCCCAAAGGTATAATACGTAGGATCTGACAGTTTCGCAGATAGTTGCCTCATGGAACCAAACTCAATTCAATGCCTATGCCAAAGTCATGGACGCATTCGCGAACTATACCAACACACTGGGCTTCTTCGTTGGGAATGAGGTTATCGCCCTGAACAACCAATCGCTCGCAGCTCCCTACGTCAAGGCGGCGGCAAGAGATCTGAAGGCTTATAGGAACAGCAAGGGATACAGGAACATTCCCGTAGGATACTCCGCGGCAGACATCGCAGAACTTCGCCCCATGTTGCAGAACTATCTCGCCTGTGGAACCAATGCATCCGAGAGCATCGATATGTTTGGACTCAACGCCTACGAGTGGTGCGGTGCGAACACCATGGCAACCTCTGGGTATACTACACTCAACACCTACGCACAAGACTACAACATCCCGATCTTCTTCTCTGAGACAGGTTGTAACACGGTCCCACCGCGGACTTTTCAAGACCAAGACTCCATTCTGGGTCCGGATATGGATAGTCTCTGGTCCGGAGCCATAGTCTACGAATGGATCCAAGAAGCCAACAACTACGGTCTCATATCCTATGGCCCCAAGGTAGACCCAACCGTGGTTGCCAGCGGTGTCGTGGCTGGAATCTCGCGAACTGGAACTCCTACCCCCGTCTTGCCTGACTTCACAAACCTGCAAAGCAAGTGGGCGACTCTGACCCCTACCGGTGTGGCATCTTCTGCGTACTCGCCAAGCTTAACGCCACCTGCATGTCCCAGCTCCACAGCGGGAGGATGGCTCGTGGATGGTGATGTTGCGCTCCCCTCGGTGGGGCAGACGCAGCAGGTGAGCTCGACTGGGTCCCCGACCTCGGGAGCCACGGCGTCTTCGTCACCAACTGGTACAGCGACTGGATCGGCGGCCAACCCAACGAATTCAAAGAAATCGCAGTCGCCTGCCAATGGAGGAAGGGAGATTGCGGGCATGAGTGCGGGCTTGGTGGCTGTTATGCTCGGATTTGTGTATTGGCTATGACCCTGTCTTCCACGGCCTTGAACCTGGAAAGAGACAAGGAAGTTCTGCCTGAGATGGTAGACTACGCGTTCATGTACATATGATTGGGAGAAACCGGGCAATGTCTGGATTCTTCCGGAAGGGCGTTATTGTATGGCCGTGAAGCGGGGCGTTAGGTTCTTCTGTCTGGGTCTTCATTCCGGGGAGCGAGCATACAATTGTGCGTTCTTGTTTGGGCGTGGAAAGAGAATAGGAGAGCACGCGTCATGCATCAATGATGATAATAAGATAGCTCTGGGCCATTCACCATTTGCTACTATCCCGCATAATAAGATGGTCCTTAATGAAGCCTTTAATGTGGCACGTGAAACGACAGAACAAGGCTTTCTGAATCAGAAGTTAAGAGATAAGGACCTAGGAAGTAAGTGTTCATTCTAAAAAAGAAGTGGAAGTGAAGTATTGATAGCAAGTGTGATCAGATAGTGGACGAGTTCTCTCCTTTCTTCTAGCATACTGATGACCAAAAATCCCATTCCAAGATAATCAACCACTTGTCTGCGTTCTAGAGAGAAGTCTTTCAGAATACCTAAGCACCAGCATAGCAAAACAGCCAAGACAGAGACTGAAATGTCTTCTTGTTTAATCAGCATTTGTCAAAGTGAATTAGGCTGAGAGATCTCTTATGCATACCTATCTAGCTAAATCCATTCATTATCAAGAACACATACGTTGTTGGTTACTATGAGAATTTGTACTAGGACAACAGTATATTCAATCTATCTTAAGCTCTGTCTTATATCTTTGAATATGCACTTTTCTTAGATCTCCCATGTCACATGCTTGAGCATTCTAGCAGTGTTTCTTGCTCGTTTGTATGTTTTGTACTGTATCCTGCTATCCTCTAGTGAATAGCGATCTGTCTGTCTTTACAAAGTCCCTTTCTATCCACGTGATGCAAGAAAGGGGGCACGTCGCGTCACTTGCTATTCATTTGCTACCGCGCCAGATTCCTCTTGTGCACAGATAGAAAGGATTTCACTTATTTGTAAGGTAAGGTAGAGGAAACCTTGTGTGTTGTAGAGAAGGTCTCCTTGTGTGTTGTAGAGAAGAAAGGGAGTTAGTAATAAAGGGGGATCTAATAAGATCTTATTTTCTATAAATCATGATGACCTTTCTATCCTGAGTACAGCTTGGAGCAGTAAGTCATCTGTTGTAGGCTTCGCTTTGAGTGGGTAGGTAAGTTTAGAAGTTCCTAGTCTTGTGGAAAAGAAAAGATCTAAGCTAATAATCTCCTCACCTTTAGGTACAGATTAGAAACGGTACGGATGAAACAAGGATTTGATTAAGAATCAGAGAGCTTCTTGATTTCTAAGAACATCTTGAGATCTCATAATTACGAGCTTCTTGATATCTAAGAGCGTCTTGATATCTAAGAGCTTCTTAATATCTGAGAGCAGACAAGAACTTGATATTAGATAAGAGCTTGTCATCAAAACAACAATTAACATTAAAACAGTAATTGTTGTCAAAATGTCAAAATGTCAAATAACATCAAATAACCGGTATAACAACAATAACTAACATCAAAACAGAGAATTCCAAGACTGCTACCTCACTCTTGTAGTGCCAAGCTTTCGAAATGTCCTCGTAGATCTTATAGACGAATTCACTGCCGCCGTCTTCTACACCTAAGAACTTCGTTTGATCTTTGTCTTCCTCCATCACGAATCGTCTTCGAACCTACTACTTTGTTCTATCTCAAACCACGAACAACATGGAGAGCACACCAACAACACCATTGAAACCAACCTGCTTGCCCACTTCGGTTGGGTCAGCGTACGAACAGCACAGTACTCCTAGCACTATGGGGGCTTTGATGAGCTTCAGCGACATTGCGAACAAACAGTCCTACAATGACGACAAGATCGGTCTGCCTTCTGACGAAGCATCAGCATCGTTGCACCCAGCCTGCTGGCCCATTTCGTCCGACCTTGTTCGTCCTCCAAGCCCTCGAACATACGCGGCGCGATCCAGAATCCCGATAGAATTCCCACCTATTCTCGCTGCCCCGTATGGCCTCCCTGTCCGAATCAATCCTCAAAGTGCACTTAAGGCTTTGGATCATGCTACATATGGATCGACTCCCGAGACCCTCACTGGAGAAGCAGGAGGTACTGAAGCAGGAGGTACTGCTGGGCTCGGCATTTCGATGAATGAACCACAGACCAATCCTCCCGGCCATCTCAGGGGCATCGCAGTCCGCAATAGAGACCACGCCGTCGAGGACCTGAGCCGGAACAAGGAAGCGATGAAGCGGTTAGAGGCGCATATCAGAGAGCGCGTCCCATATGTGCAGCTAGCGAGTCGAAACCTACAGGCTTTGATGGGGCTGCGGAACGAGATGCCATTCAAACTACCTAAGAGCAGCACTCAGATGCCAAGCCTGAGCTCTGCATTCAAGACTGTGGGTAATATGTCCGGCGTTATGGATCTAGACAGCAGTGGTGGCGCAGCGGCAAAGGTGAGAGGAGCGAGCGGGAATGATAGAGCCGAGCCAGATCGCGAGATGGGGTCGATGCTGCCTCCGAAGTTACCTCAGGGGATGCACGTTGTTGACATGCAGACGGGCATGGGATTGCGAGAGTTCTTGTTAGCCAAGGGGAAAGAGGTCGGGAATCGGAAGCGCCAGTGCAAGAGTATCAGCTTCCATGACTTCACGCCGGAGATGCAGAGCATGACCTATCAGAATGTGCTGCTGGGCCATTATGGGACCGAGATGGGTGGCAAGGTCGACGTGTACGAGATTGATCTGTATGTTTTCCCCCTTTTGCCTCCCCCCTTTTTTACGCGAGGAGATAGGAGTGGACAGGATACTAACAGACAGGCAGCCCGGTAGTCAGTCTGAATGCGGAGACCGGACAATCAACACACAATGCAGAGACCTGGATCTGGATCCTGATCCAACGACCAATCGTCACCTTCGAACCCGCCGATACTTCGAGCTCAACGCCAGGCAACGCCATACTCAGAAGCGCGGCCGCGACATTCCTCCCCTCCTTCGCTCAAGTCGCAAATGATAGCCAAACGACCACCACACACCCAACCCTACCCCCTAACTTCCCCGAACCCATCCCGCACTCTTGGCTCGTGTTCGCCGCACCCATGGCGCACTTGACCATCTACCCGGAGACTGTCGAGAGCAACCTAGCAGCGGCGCCCACCTCATCAGGACCGCAAGGCGGGCGCGAGTTGAGCAAGCGCATCGACTACGATTTCTCGCACCAGGGGACGCCGCTATTCGAGTTCTCAGGCTTCGCGGGACGGCGCATGGAGTTTTTGAGCGTGGAGCGGATGGACCCGTTCTGTAAGGGGGATTCGTGGGAGGACTATACGAAGGAGGAGTATGAATCTGTACATGCCGACTGGTTGACGCGGTTGGAGAGGCGGGGGGTGAAGTTTTCGGCGAGTGAGACTGGGAATAATGGCGCGCCGGATGGGTGTATGCCTTCTCCGCACAAGGGGGCTTGGTGGAAGGAGTTTTATTATCGGGTTGGGGAGGACTGCGAGAAGTGGCGGAGGGTCAGAAGGGCGATGGGCAGGGGCAGATGTAGGGTCGTATTGCGGTGGAATGAGATTGAGGGAAACGAGGATGATCAGATGGATGGTGGGAGAGGGAGGGGAGCTGGGAGAATCAGGGGCCTGAAGGAGAGGTTGAATGCTAGCACGGGCATCGATGGGAGGATGAGGAGATTGACGAGGAGTGAGTCGAGACGTCGAAGTGCTTTGGGACTGAGTGATCCGAGCATCCCTACAATGAGTGCTGCTGCCGCGGGAGAGATGAAGAAGGGGAAGGAAAGGAGAAAATAGGGGTCAAGTGGGTTTGTCGACTGCGGTGGGGTTTGACATTGTATGGGAGGGAACTTCACACCCGCAGGGAGCTGTATCGAATCCGAGAACCATGGGAAGGAAAGTAAGGCGTTGGCTGGTGAATAGTTTCTGGCAGGAATCCTGCTGCTGCGATTAGGGCTTTGAAGTCTGCAAATTGCGGTATAGATGTTGAAAGGGGATTGTAGGATAATAATGAGATATTTCACATACTGAAACTTGCAGTCTTGCTGGTGCCACGACCTTTTAAATCTAGAAATCTTCAGTTCATCCAGTAGCCTCTTTCAAGGGCCGCCCGTTACCTGAGGCTTTCCACTCTTCTTCCCCGCCATGTTTTCCGAACCGTTCTTATATGGAATGTCGTAAGATGCTTCAGACATCGAGGAAAGTAGTCCGTGAGCGAGAAGCAGAAAGCAACAATGTAACGATGATCTTAGATGTATGCCGCTTCTTGTTAATGCCACATGATCAGATCCCATACGCCGGTGGTATAATGCTCCCCAATGCACCCCAATGCTTCCCAATGCTTCCCGATGCTTCCTCCCAATGCCCAGCCCGTAATGGTCCCAGATTACTCCCTCGCATCCCTGTATCATAGACCCAATAAGCAGCCATAGTATCCCTATTTCTTCTTCATCTCCCCCATCCACACCTTCATAGCCTTTCCACTATCATGGCACCTCCTAAAAAGATCCCTTTCCCACTCATCCAAGCCCCTCAAAAATTCCACTGAATCACCACTTCCAACACCGCCGCCGGCGCCCTTTCCCTGCCCAACATGACTCGCATGGTCACTAATTTCTGCGGCCCTCTTGCGCCAGCTATCCATGAGCACGTCGCACAGCTCGTCCTCCTCGAACAGCTCCAGGAGGCGCTCGCCCAGCCCGTAGAAATTCTGGGCCAGCGCCCGCAGGTCCACGGATTTCGGATCCGCCTTCAGCGCGTTCATGACGCGCGTGCTGAGCGCTGCTGGCAGGTCCAGCGTCACGAGGGAGCGGGACGGAGTCTTGGATGTCGCGGTCGCGGACACGGCCAGCATCTCGCTGAGCCAGAGAGGGAGGTCGACTCGTGTCCCGGATTTGAGCGTATGCCCAGCGGCATTGTCAAGGTAGCCGAGAGAGGGAATGTCCAGCTCAAAGGTTGTGGGCACTTTCTGGGGATGCGGTTAGCATTCATTTGGCGGGGTGTTTTTTCGAGGAGGGGGAGACTTGCTTGCGCGTCAGTGAGGATTGCGTCAATGTCGTAGTAGGACATTTTTGCGCAACAGTGACAATTGTCGACGGCACGTAGAAGCAGCTGGTTCGCTGTGGCAGGGCGAGTTTATTTGTCGGCGGCGCGCATGGAATGTAGTGATCAGTGAGTGATGTATAAATGCCGAGCAGCGATTTGGCAGCGGATATTCTGCCGCGGATCGTTGCCCGCTCGCTTGAGCTGTGACGTGAATACCCGAGCTTCCCAAGGATTCCATTATTACAACATCCACTCTCTTCCTTCTGTCTTATAAATCGTCCCTCGATTGCACAAACACCAAACTGAAAAGCTGTCTCAACACAATTTCAATTAAGCAGCAACCCAATCATGTCCACCACACTCTTCCGCACTTCCCAAGCAGCTCGCTCTGCTCTCCGAGCTGGAGCTTCCAAGCGGGCTGGTGCTATGGCAAGCACCAGCTTCGTTCGGGGCAAGGCCACTCTCCCCGACCTCCCATGTATGATGATTCCTCGCCCTTTGCTATCCTTCCAGCGACCTTCCTCGTTAACCTCGATTTGCAGACGACTATGGCGCGCTCGAACCCTCTATCTCCGGTAAGATCATGGAGCTGCACCACAAGAACCACCACCAGACCTATGTCAACGGCTTCAATGCCGCGTCCGAGCAGTTCGCAGCCGCAGAGGCAAAGCAGGATATCCAGGCCCAGATTGCCCTGCAGCCATTGATCAACTTCCACGGAGGCGGTCACGTCAACCACACACTTTTCTGGGAGAACCTTGCGCCCAGCAAGCAAGGTGGTGGTGGCGAGCCCACCGGAAAAGTCAAGGTTTGTGTTCTCTGGTCTCTTCCTCCTGTTTCCTAAGCTGTGAAGGCACTTACGATAGGGGATTTAACAGCTGACGTTACAATTCCACAGACGGCGATTGAGGCAGCCTACGGCGACTTCTCCTCATTCAAGACCAAATTCAACACCGCGCTGGCCGGCATCCAAGGCAGTGGCTGGGCGTGGCTCGTGAAGGACAATGAGACAGGCCAGGTGCAGATCCGGACATACGCCAACCAGGACCCGGTGGTGGGCAAGTACACCCCGCTCTTGGGTATCGATGCGTGGGAGCACGCTTACTACCTGCAGTACCAGAACCGCAAGGCCGAGTACTTTGCGGCGATCTGGGATGTCATCAACTGGAAGACGGTAGAGCAGCGATTGAAGTAGGCGGATGAATGGAGATGACGTGTAAGCTAGTGACCATGGCATAGTTGTATTTAATGAAATAGGTCGAATCCACATCAAGCCAATTCTCCGTGTCATCTTTTCTGCACTGTCAGTTGAAGGGAGTGATGGATCATTCTATTGCAGACGTTACTTTTCCTAAAGCTGGATGCAACTGTCGACCCGGACAGCTCACGTCCCCTCCCCCATCTGCTTCCTTCCACAGTCTCCTTCCACAAGTCTCCTTCCACAGTCTCCTTCCACAGTCTTTTCCTTGTCCTGCCTCTCCCCGGAGGGGATGGCTCCAAGGCCTTAATAACTAAGGAGAAGCGATAATTCCAAGATACACGGTTCCACTCTCCTCTTTAACATACACCAGATAGATCCATACTTGATTGCTTTTCGTTTCCATGCTTTTCAACAAATCTTGGTATTTTGAGCTATCAATATCATCATCTATAGGGTAATAATGTCAACATCCACTACCTTACTCATTCATACCTCACTCCCCACGCCTCGCTCCCAGTCATCACCCATCTACTGAAAAGGCAAACTAAAAAACAAACGCGCGCATCAAAAAACCGATTGCATCAGACCAGACCCCCGCTCAATGAACCATGCTCTTCCCAATCTCGCTGCGCCATCCCCTGGCGCGCTCGAAGCCGTTGGTGTGGGCCTGGTAATCCATGATCTTCTGGTAGACTTCTTCTTGTGAGGTGAGGACGAAGGGGCCGTACTGCACGACTTTCTGGTCGAGGGGGAGGCCGGCGACGAGGACTGTTGGAGGAGGGTGGTTGTTAGTGGGTGCTAGCTATATCGTTGACCAGTGAAGCGTATTCATTCATTCAACTTCGATTTCGATAAGCAGGACGTAGAGCAAGAGGTCGAGTACCAGGACCCGTGGATACTCAAATATCAAAGCAGAGGTAAAGTGGATACTCAATTTATCCAAGTAGAGGTAAAGATAGCGTCGACGCCTACTACTAACACGGTTCCCCACGATCATCCGAGTAAACATGAGGATACCCTCAAGATATCGGCCGGGCACTGCTACCGTCACGGATTATCCGATATCTTGAGGGTGCTATAGAAGGGTGGCGAACGCAATCTTCTTTTTCCCTTTCTCTTTTTCTCTTTTCGTATTTTAGAAGACAGGAAGGCACTGAGAGGTTGTTCCACTTGGACTGCCAAGAGGGGAGGGTGTTCAGAGGGGTCATACCACTGTTCACCCTCCCCCCCCCTTTTTCCTTTCTCTGGCTCTTTTGCGTTCCACGGTATTCTTTGGGACTTTTTGAGCCATTAAAAGACTCATAATTGCCCATTTGCCCAGAGACAAGTGCCTCGACGATATTGACCTACGGAGATTCAACGAGATTCACGTGACTTACTAAAGTGGCCATTCTCCTTTGCGTCTGCTGGAACCTCAGCATAGACCTCATCCCCCTTCTGCTCAAAAACAACATTGTGGTACTGGCCCACAGTCGTCTTCTCCGCACCCTCTCCAAAAGTGGTCGATCCACTCAGAGTGTAAGCAAAAGCATTCCACCCGTCCGGCAGACTCTGCTTGACCTTCCCACCTGGTTTGATTTCGATGTCTAACCACCAAACCGGGGTGTAGGCCAATTCCTGGACGCTGTCGACGCCATGGCTCTGCCCGGAGATGATCTTGATGTGCACCTTCCCGTCATCGACATCGATATTGGGGATCTCGCTGGCCTTCAGGTCGCGGTAGCGCGGCTCGCACTTCTTTAGCTTCTCCGGCAGGTCGACCCAGAGCTGCATGCCGACGTTGGGGCTGCCGTCGGGGTTCTGGCGCGGCATCTCCGCGTGCATGATTCCCTTGCCCGCCGTCATGAACTGCAGATCACCCACCTCGATCGTGCCCTTGTTGCCTACGAAGTCCTCATGGTCGACAGCGCCCTCCAGCACGTACGTGATCTAGAAGAGTTGTTAGATGGTCCAGCATCTCAATCCCGCAGTCCTCCTGACGCACCGTTTCTTGTCCGGAATGCGGATGGTCTGGAAAGCCAGCACCGGGCTTGACACTGAAGTGGTCCAGCATCAAGAAGGGCGAAAAGTTGCGCAGTTGCGGGGTGCCGATGCTGCGGCGGACGCGCGCGCCTGCGCCTTCGGACTGCTCGATGGCCAGAAAGGCCTTGCGAATGGCTCTTGAGACGGCCATGCCTGCTGGTTTTGGAGCGGTGCGGGCTGGTATGATAGGAAGGCCTTCGAAAGTGTTCGCGGTGGCGTTGGAGAAGCGGTTGGTGATGAATCCTAGGTTTCCAAGAAGCGTATCCTTAAATGCTACAGACAGGATTGCGACTCCAATAGAGAATAATGTGAGAATAACCCTCATGAGGACAGGAGGGGACAATTTCTAGGGATTCAGAAGGGGAGAGGAGTGGCAGGACGAAGAGGGAAAAGAAGCTTTGGTTACTCAGCCTTAGCAAATCGTATTGTAAGCGCTAATTCAGGCCTCGGCCCAAAACGAGGCTGGCAGCTAGCCTTGCACTATCGCCTAAACAGGATAAGTTCATCGAGGCCCTGGCTGGTACCAAACACCGGAAACCTTTTAGTAATCAAGAGGCTGGAGGACCGATGTCTGTGTCCAACCGATGCTCCTGTATATAGGTAACCATCTACAGAAGAAAAGAGAGTAACAAAAGAGAGAGAGGTATCTTAATTCACGTATTTCCAATTTTTACTTGTTAATATTTTAGACAACTACAGACAGTGAGAATCTTCCTCGATAGAAATCTAGTAAAATTGGCAATACAAGCCATAATGTCTAGACGAGTGTAGAGATTGTAGTCAGAAAAATCTGAAAGACATAGTGGTTGGATGCGGGGATTGGGTATAGAGGTAATAATAGGAGGTATGAATGTGGTAGGTGGTTGGAGATGAGGGCAGGTGTTGATAGACGTTATATCTCTCTTGCCCTTTAGATAGAGAAGCGTGATGGACAATAGAGATAGATTACTTTCCCCCACACTCCATGATCTGCCCCGCAATAACCCCCAACGGGTCGCACCTCTCCATACTCTCTCTCAGAGCCGCGACCCTCCCAGCAAACCCACCATCATTCAACACCCGCTCCACCGCCACGCGCAGCTCCTCCTCGCTCGGCGTGCCCGTCCGCAGATCAAGCCCGATGCCCGCCCACTGCACACGTGCCGCGTTCTCCGGTTTCTCTTCCGTGGAGCCAGCTACGACCAGCGGGGTTGCGTTGGCGATAGCGTGCTGCACGGCGCCGTAGCCGCCGTTCGTGACGAAGACGGCGCAGTAGGGGAGCAGGTCATCGAAGGGGATGAAGTCGACGACGCGGGCGTTGGCAGGGATTGGAATCTCCGGAGGGAGAGAGGCACCGCGGGAGCCGAGGACGGCGATTACGAGGAGGTTGGGGTTGGAGGCTAAGGCGGAGAGGGTGGGGAGCAGGAGTTGAGTTGGAAAGTTGGAAAAGGTGCCTTGTGACACGGCGATGATTTTCTTCTCTTTGGTTCGGAAGATGTGAAGTACTTCGTCCCAGAAAGGGGGGAAGGACGTCGAGGCGTCGCGGGCACCGCGGGGCAAACCGCCTGCGAACCGGACGTTGGACGGGAGGTCGGAGCGCGGGTACTCGATTTCGGGAATGCACATCTGGATGTAGCGATCGGGGAGCAAGACTGCATCATCAGTGTATAAGCGGTCCGTTGTTCGCGCCCCGACAGAAGAGAGGAGTTCGTTAAAGACGTTTTGGAGATCACAGAGTTCTTCGCGCCTCGTGGCGTTGAGTGCTGTGTTCCGGGCTCGTCCAGCTGGAGAGGAGTCTGGCAGGAGGCAGGACCCGAACGGCGCGGTGTCGATACTCGAGAGAGCCAGTGGTAGTATGCCTAGAGTGATATGTGCTTCCGGTTTCATACCAGGGGCATTCAACATGCTTGGCAAGATGCCCATGAACCCATTGTCAACGACAAGCACCACGTTCCTATCCGGCTCCTTGGCCTTCAAACCCTTCAACGCAGCCTGAAGACTTTCATACTGGCTGGGCATGGAACGAACAAAGAGGTGCTCATTGTCGTACGCTGCAAGGTCTTGTCCGGACAGCAACGCACGTGTTGGAAACCGCGTCGCGAGAACGGGTTCAGAGAAGTCCGCAAACCCGGATAGGGGGTGGAAGGTTGCCCCTATCTCTTCAATAGCCGTTCGGTAGTAGGAGCCGCTGACGAAAGTGACGGGAAAGCCGAGTCTAATGAGACCCTTAGCTATTGCTCGCATAGGACTTACGTGCCCATATATAGGGAAAGCGCCTATGAGAACGTTGGGTTTGGTCATGACGGGTACAGTGTTGGCTTACAGCCTCGTCAAACCACAGATCCTTATTTACTGAAACGCTTTGCACTATATGCTTGTCCCCACAACTCCGAGTTCCGAATTCGATTGTTGAGATGGTTTGGATAATGTCTGGCTCAAAGGATCAATATCTTTCATGTTGCGTTCTTCTGCCTAGCTCTTGAAGAGCGAGCATCAAAAGGATGCAAGATAAGCGCCCTTAATAGAAGAAGGACAAGGGAAAGAAAACATTGTAAGCCGAACTATGCTTTAACTAAAAATAGACGAAACCTAATGCAAGGTGGCCTTATCTCTCCACGTGATTTTGAGCTCTAACGCATACCTATGTGCTACGCCCTACAAACTCGGGGCTGGCTTTGTTATCCAGGAGAGATAAACTCAATGTATAGCGGCACTTGCGGGACATAACCCTAGAGCATAAGACGGAATCGGTTGAGACCTTCCAACTCTCTAGACGAGTTTCTCTTCAGGTCTAGGTACCCGGCAGACGACTTCGAGATGTTCCAGAGGGAAAATGGTGAGATACTTACCTGTAGAAACGGAAACCTATTGAACCTAGTAGAGGACTACAGACGAACAAGCACTTGCAATATTCCCGGAAATCATGTGCATATAGAAACAAGAAGGAAACCGAGCCACTCAGCCTACAAGTAGAAAGGAGGGAAGTAAAAATCAGAAAATGTATGCGCCCGGAACTTGTCATGCCGGAGGCGTAAAAGGCATGCGTAGAAGAGATAGATGACTGCTCTACAGGACACCAAATTCTCCTATCACTACTCGTCCAAGTCTAAATTACCGGCACGCCTCGATCTAAGGCTCCTGCTGCAATGTAGAACCATGCTTGTACCTAGACCTTGTTAGCTTCGCATACTCACCGAAATCACATATAGAGTGGACTTACTTCTTAACAACCCTCTCGATACCATCCAGTCCCATCTTCAGCGTCTCCATCTTGGGGCCATAGCTAAACCGCACGAAGTGATGGCAAGGACTATCGAAAAGATCACGTCTCTTACTCGGGTTCAGATCGAAGAAGATACCCGGCACGACGATCACGCGTTCCTCGAGACAAGCCTGGAAGAAGTTCAGCCCGTCAGATATGGCGGGTGGCAGTCCCTCGAGGTCCAGCCACAGGTAGAAGGTCGAGTCAGGAACAGTCCTAATGATGAAACCCATCTCGCGGAGACGGGAGACGACGTAGTCACGTTTGTCCTGTTCGTGCGTTTAGTTTGGTGGAAGAGAATAGGGGGTAAGGGAAGCGAGGAGGAGAAGCGAGATCAGGAGAAAGGGGGAGGATATGGTACCTTGAAATGGCGCTGCAGAGCTATCATCTCGTTACGCACTCTCTGCGGTTCGAGCATGGCGACAGCAGCCTCTTGGAAGGGTACATTAGCCCCACCATCAAGATAGGAACCACAAGACCCAATGGCTTTGATGAATTCCTATATATTCCCCATTAGCACACCTCTTTTCACAGGCCTCGAGGCGTCTAGCATGCATACCTTCGGGCCAACAATCCACGCAATTCTCCAACCCGGCAATCTGAACCGCTTCGTGAGACCATCAATAATCAACACGTCGTCCTCATCCACATCGACGACATTCTCCGCCGCGCTAATGGTGGTACCGTCACAGTTGCTCGTGTAGTTGTAACCCCCATAGAACTCATCCATAACAAGTGTCGCCTTGTTCCTGCAGATATCTTGGATCTCCGCCAACTCTGGGTTCTTGACGACCCTTCCTGTGGGGTTACGCGGGTTGGATGTCAGGATCACCGAGGTGCCGCGCGCGATCTCATCAGCGATCTTGTCGGGATGGATATGGTAGCCATCGGCTTCCGCCAGGGGACTAGGAATCGCCGCGAACTGTGCTAGGTTAGCCATCCACACTGGCACAAGCAAGCAACACACGCAGGGAGACAACCAACATTCTTGAAGAGGGACAACATCTCATTATAAGCTGTGTAATCCGGGATGAAGAAGCCCAAGTACGCATTGTTCAACACGGCCGCGATTCTGATCAGGCCTGCCCTTCCCCCAGGCACGATGCACACATTCTCGTATGTGTACTGGCTCTCCTTGCCCTGTCTATGATGCACGTTATACAGATTCGCGACCGCAGCGCGCAGGCTCTTGATGCCCGCCGTCGGCCCATACTCACGCCCCGTCATCGAGATGTTGATCTCGCTGGGGCGGTCGAAGGAGCCCTCGATACCGTCCTCGACCTCGGGCGCGCCCTGGCCCAGGTTCGCCCATCGCTCTGGTTCTTCTAGGAAGCCGTGCTCGTAGGCTCGTTCTGTGCACCAGACAACACCTGTCGAGGCGCGCGTGGGGTCGAGCCCCGCGTGCGACTTGTGGCCTTCGTGAGCGTTGCGGAATTGCGTATGGATCTTGGAGCTCGTTTCTGGGTGTCCTCGTTAGTTTGGGTCCCACTGATAAAAGATGTCGTACTCCAGTAGGCAGACTGGGATGAAGTGTAGAACGGTTGTTTGTTCCGTGTAAGCAGAGGCATATATCTTCCAGTCTTTCGTAGAGCAGAAGTAGTATAGCTCGACTCGCGCAAGAGCTCGAGGTCATAGAGGCTGAGACGCCAAGGGAAAAAAGCAAAACTAAACAGCCAGCTATACATACCATTCGCACTGGGCTCATGCGTGCTAAATCTTCTGCCCAACTTGGTCGACTCTCTTGGGACGCCGGTCTGGCGGTTCATCGAGAACTTGCGGCTGTGCAACGACATCTTTGCGCTGGATCTCTGTTTGTTTGTTTGTTTGCTTGCTTGCTTCTTTGTTTTGTTCTCTGGGTATCTGGCTTGGCGCAGGAAGAGCTCGGATTTATATTTATTTATTTATAGGATGGGAATTGCACCTTGAAGAGGATTCGGCAGAGGTGGGTATCGCGGAAGAGAGCTCCAGGTTGCCCGGGGATGATCCCCTGCGCGGCAGAAGGAAGTACGATGCTGAAATTTCTCTCAGAGGATTATTCCTCCCTGCTGTGCCCCACCAGCCACCAGCGGTGAGGAAAAAGCAAAAGCAAAAGGCATGCGTCGTGCTCTTCTCTCATGTACTTCTGTTATCGATTAGAAAGCCGCCGCCGACGGAAACGAGGGCCGGGAAGACGTTCAACTTGAATTCAAGACTTCGGGCTACACCGCAACGCTGTGGACGTTTCGGGCCATCTATGGCCGAATCCGCCATGTACAACAAATCAAACAGAGTCCACAAGTCTCGTCTCTCTTCTACGATATCAGACTCGTCTACGGTACCAAGGACGGATATCTGGCTCAACTCGAGTCTCACCTCACATCATCCAGAGTACTTTGTGGCCCACTTTCACCAGGGCTCCGCAGGCCGAGACATACAGGAGTGGGGTTGGGCCCCATAGTATACGTTTGAAACTCTCAATTCTACTGGTCGGGCTACAATACTACATACAAGATAGATGGGTAAGGAAATAAAGCAGGCGCCAGCCCGTGTATGCGTCGGAGTTTTAGGAGACCTCCGCAACGGCTTCGTCCTCCTCCAACATCCGACTGAAGGAGAAGGGTTCAAAGGGAACCCCATCTCCCATAAAATGTTTGCTCATCGCTTCAACCCAGTGCAGACGCAAACTGTGCAACATGGCACTGGTGCCTTCCATCACGACCAATACAGCGATTGTGAGGAAGAACCATGCGTAGAATGTTATGACGAGGACGATAACTCCAATGACTCCTGTGCCTTCAAGACCAATGGCTAGAGTCATGGTCCAGAGGACTACAGAGAGTTGTTGATGGGCCAGGGACAGGGCCCACAGACGCAGATAGGAAGCAGTGTGAGAGACACAGTTCAGACAGAATTCTGTGGAAGGTTAGTAGACACTCAGTAGTAGGATTCGGGGCCACATACCAATCGTATGGATGACCTGGTGGATCATAACTTCGGAAAATTCGAATTCTTCATGCTCTTCATCCTCTGCGATGCCTTGCGTGATCATGGCAATGCCTTCACCGTCACTTGCTACGCTGGGCCTGCCATCAAAGGTATTGCCTTCCTCATCATCCCCATCAAGCGCACTGACCCGCGAAGTCTCGCCGATACCTCTGTATCCCTTGGCCCGAGCTCTGTTATGTTCCCATCTGAGGTAGAACGGCTTCAGGAAGAGTAGTATTGGAACCTGGATGAGGGCAATAAGCAGAAGCGCAATCTGGATAAACGCCTGGCCCTTGTAGAGTGGATCCTCGATAGTCCCAGGTGACAAGAACATGTAGATCAACATGTTCAAGAGTCCGGGGGGAGCCTGCCCGATGGCATACCAATCGATGGACCATTTGTAAACGATCGCGAAGACGAGATATCCAAAGATAGACTGGAAGAATATCATACCAGGGACGAAGACCCCCCAGATGTCGATGGGCGTCTTGAAATGGCGGGCGTTGATGTAAGATAGACACAATGAATATGTCATGTGGCACCAACCCATCAAAATACTAAGCTTCATCTTGTAACTGTTGGAAAACAAGAGATCGTTTTCGGTGCCGTGCCACATCCAGTCCAGACCAAAAGGATAGCGATAATCGCCCTTCAACTTCGCTAAAACCGTCGTTCCCTCCTCCCAGTTATCTGGCAAATCCCATTTCCAGGCGCTTGGGAACAAAGAGAGGGACTTCGAGAAGACATCGTTGTAGATAAGACCAGTATACATGGAAAAGATACCCATCATAAGCATGATGTATCGCCCATAGAAGGCCATGGAGAAGATTTCATCGCGAACTTTCTTGAGACTCTTCTCCCAATAGATCATGGCCGCAGCGGCACAGGCCATGATAAAGCCGTGTCCAAAATCACCAAACATGACAGCGAATAAGAAGGGGAACGTAACGATGGTTGGCAGACCTGGGTTGACTTCCTGATATTTCGCGGTTCCATAGGCGTTGATGATGGTCTGGAAACCTTCAGTGAACCTGTTTGTCTTCTGATACGTTGGGGGAGTCTTGTTCGTCCTAATCTCGTTGATAATTGATGGCACAGAGAGACCGGCCCGATTGTTGACATCGTGCAGGGTCGACTTGATCAAGGGCAGGGAATTTGTTGGACACCACGCCTCAGCAATCAAGGTCTTCCTCGCATGATCGTAGGAGAAGAGGTTGAGCGTCTGATATACTGCCTTCTCCTTCTTGATGATGACCAACCAAGCTGCCAAGCTCCTTGCAATCTGCGTGAGCTCTGCATCAAGAGTCTGCTTCGTGTTGCGTAATACGCTGCCAAGATCGCTGAGGCGGGTATTGACTTCGTGTATCTGGTCACGACGGAGATCGCTGTTCTCGTCTACACTGTACAAATCCGCGCCCATGGACTCCGAGATCCTCCTGATTTTGGCGATGAGCTCCTTCCCGTGCGCGAAGATGACAAAGACATTCTTGTTGACCGACTCGTTATTCGTAGGGTCGATGAGCGGTTCAGGGATCTCAGCCTGGTTCATGTAGAGATTTCCTCGCAGTGTCCGCCAAAGAATCCGCTCAAACCCAGCCACGCGGTCCCGCGGGATGACACCTGCCACAAACCCAATATTCATAACCGAGAACGTTCTCTCTGCATCTCCATTCAGACCCGAGGGATGTTGCTCGACGTCTTGGAGCAATGGCGCGTCGTCATCCTCTGTCGACGTTCGGATCTCCTCCACGTTGCCATGGGCCCGATCGAAGAACCCTCCAGTCTCCCGGAGCACCCATCTCCATTCTGTCAATTCCACTTCTCTCTTCTTCAGAGTCTCGTAGCTATCATTCAGAGATGCAATTCGCTGCTCAAGGCTCTGTGTGCGGTCGGCAAGCTCATCGATCTCGGTGGCGGAAGGCGCAGCTACAACATCAATGTCGAGATCCAGCTTCCGGACCGGGATATCAGCTTTCAGCATCTGCGCCTGGAAATATCCTATGAAGCCATTAGACCCACAGGATCACTCCCCAAAACCATACTAATACATACGCAGTTGTCTCTCAATGTTATCTAACCGTCGAATCTCCTGGGTAAAAGTTCGTTGGAAAGCCGTAGTCTCGGAATTGAGCTTCCAAATCGTCAGTCCATGCTTTCCTCTTCCTGTATACTGGTACTCACATCCCGAAATTGGATCTGTCCGAGCTCTCCCAGAGCGTTCACAATCTCCCGGCCGATTTCATTGGCGATGTAGAGCTGCACTAAGCTCATGTCCGCCGACCGGAACATGGTATCCTCTGCGGGCGCCATGGCGAAGATAATGGGGCGAGCGAGCGTCCCAGATCCCTCTTGTAATGGCGGTTTGCGATTTGAGGTGTTGTGTTGTAGCCTCCAGAGCTTCGGATCCTAGACTTCCAGCTACTTGGCGCCATTTCAGATTACATAATGTCACGTGATTTGTCCGCAAGAGTGGAGCCATCCATGGTTTACCCCTGAAAATGTAACTTATATGAACAGTACAGGAATAGATGCAAAGGATTCACTTCTACAAAGAGCGCATCCATAAGGCAAGGACTGCCGGCCCCAGTTTTGAGATATTTCCCTGCGGAATGGAACTTCAGCTTAGGTTCATTACCCAAACTACGATCACGCCAATTGGATACTGAAATAATACAATCTCATGAGTTGGATCATTGTACACGGCGCTGCGGCTATCTATCTATCCTACAAATAGAACAGACCCAACGTACCGAGCCCTCATCTCTTCCTCATCTCACCTCTTCGCTACCTGACAAAGGAAAATATATCTATGCTACAGCGAGTCCCGTGTCCCAAGATGCTTGACAGAACCTTACCAACCAAATATCAACACTCAGCTGTGATACATCTCGCCAAAACGCCACCCATGAGCGGAAAATTTCACCACAATCCTCACCACACACGATCTCCTCACGCAACTGCGCCACCTTCCGCTGGCGGCTCCTTCCCACCATTACCCGCTTCCGGTGTGCTCCCTGGGAGCTGAGGCACCTCGGGTAATTCACCACCTATTGATCCGCCTAGAGTAGGTATCTTGATGTTGCCGCTTGGCATCACCAGTTTACCTTCCAGCTTTTCTCCCTTGATCACCTTGTAGGCCTCGTCCTTGCTCAGTGTCTCGTAATCCACCAGCGCCCTCGCAAGGTAATCTAATTCCTTGCGCTTGTTTTGGAGAAGAGCGGTAGCACGAGCGCGACCCTCTTCAATGACGCGGCGGACTTCCGACTCAATCAGCTGCTTCGTACCGGCTGATAGCATGTCATGATTGGATGCTAAATCGACATTACCGAGCTCTGAGGACATTCCGAAACGCGTTACCATCGCATAAGCGATTTGGGTTGCCTTTTGAAGATCCTGTTACTGGTCAGTATAATCGGGTCGAAGGAATAGGCAGAATGATACGTACACTAGCAACTCCACTGGTAACCTTGTCAGGCCCGTAGATCATTTCTTCCGCAACCTTACCCCCGAGACAAACGTCGATTTGAGCCTGATATTCGTTCATTCCCATAGAGTATTTGTCCATCTCTGGCAAGTGCATCGTCATACCAAGGGACTGGCCACGAGGCATGATGGTGATTTTATGCAATGGGTTCATGCCAGGTGTAAACATGATCACCAAAGCATGACCAGCCTCGTGGTACGCAGTCATCTCCTTTTCCTTCTGGCTAATGACCATGCTCTTTTTCTCGGCGCCCATCATGACCTTATCCTTAGCCCACTCGAAGTCGAACATAGTGACAGCTTGCGCCTTAGCCTTGCTCGCGTGTACAGCGGCTTGGTTGATGATGTTCTCAAGTTCGGCACCTGAGAAGCCCGGGGTTCCTGCTGCAAGGGCTTCAAGGCTCACATCTTTGCCGACAATAACGTTCTTCATGTGATGCTTGAGAATGGCCATGCGGCCACGGACGTCAGGAAGACCAACGACAACATTTCGATCGAATCGGCCAGGTCGGGTAAGAGCCTTATCCAACAACTCAGGGAAGTTGGTAGCAGCAAGGATGATAACATTGCTGTTCTGTTCAAAACCATCCAGCTCAGTGAGAAGTTGGTTGAGAGTCTGCTTGACGTAGGCGGCGTCTCGTGCGTTACGCTTTCCTCCAATAGCGTCCAGCTCATCGATGAAGACAATAGCAGGAGCTTTTCCCTTGGCGGCAGCAAAGAGCTCACGAACTCGCTTTGCACCAACTCCCACATAGACTTCGTCGAACTCACTACCAGACATGAAGAAGAAAGGAACGCCCGCTTCGCCAGCGACGGCACGTGCCAACAGAGTCTTTCCGGTTCCAGGAGGCCCAACAAGCAGTACACCCTTGGGGAGTTTGCCACCGAGCGTGGAAAACTTCTCAGGGTTCTTCAAGAATTCCACGAGCTCTTGCAATTCCTCCTTGGCTTCGTCACATCCATGGACATCTGAGAACCGCACAGTCTGATGTTCCGCCTTGGCCTCATTGTCGGCTTTTCCGCCAACCTTTCGGAACGTATTGAAGGTCTCGATCATCATTGTAACGACCACCATGCTCAGATATGTAAACAGACAGAAGTAGAGGAGGAATTTCACCCATTTGAAGATGGTGCCACCAATGGTCTCTTCGACCACAACATGAAGCGGTGCATCTTTTGCCCCGCTACCATTGTTGGGTCCACGAGCCACGGCAACGTTCCCCCCTCGTGACGAAGCGGCGATTGCTTGGCCAATAGCCTGTAATTGTGTGTCGGTGAGATTGTTTGGTTGTCCAGCAAGTTGGTTCCCAGAAGTTGCTTCACCGCCCAGCATAGCCAGCGCCTTATGGTACGCCGCATCAGCATGCGCATTTGTGGCGAATTGACCGGTTTGGTATCTCTCGACGATTATGGCAGGCATATTAGCACGTAACAAAGCTTGGTAGAAGGCATTCTGGGCAGTAGCGCTATTCGGATTTCTGTTCGCCGTCTCTTCCATGTGCGCTAGAAGATTCCTCGAGGTACTGCCAAATATAGTCCTCTCCTGGGGCTTTGCAATCTTCGTGAAAGGTGCAGTAGGCCGCTGAATTCGAAACTGCGGTATCGTAGACAGCTGGCGGACTTGTGGCGGGCCCATAAACACCCGTCTGGAGATGGGGTTCGCAGCAGCCAGCGTCCCCTTCTGCATTGCTGAAACGGTAGTCCGGATGTTAAAAGGTGCTTGAGATGCGATTTGTGGTGTGAGGGAGGAAGAAAAGGACGGCGGGAGGTCTTTCATGAATTCTGGAAGAGCGGCCTTCGAGTGGCGTTAGCATCATCAACAGAGCACTGATATCAATCCAAAACATACCTTCGACACAGAAGAGCTGTACTGGGCCACTTGCTGAACCTGCGCACCCTTCCTTTGGGTCCTCTGTCCCAAGATCCTCCACGGCGCCGACACCGCATTCGTCATCGAAGGCCACAGCTCCGTCGCTGCCGCTGCCATGCTCTGTATTACACCCTGTCAGCAAAAAAACTCACCAATATGCCATATCCATGCCATGCAGGATATCGACCGAATAGCTAGGATCGAATACTCACAGGCAGCGCAGCAGAGGTCTGGAAAGCCATCATCCACTCTTTCAACCCTACTCGATCTCGGACCCCAACCTCACGGCACGATGCACACAGTCCCCGCAGCGTGCGATGTGCCGTCCTCTGGGCTGCTTATACTCGTATATTGTCAAAGAGCGTAGATGAGCGATAGGTGGACGGTGTTGTCGTGGTTCGCCACCTAATGAGGCGAAAATACCTACGTGTTGCGTGAAGCTTGTCGAAAGACGTCGAAGTCGAAGCCGAAGTCGTGCTAAGTAAGCGAACCTGCTTAGCGACCGATGCGTGCCGCCGCGACTCTGCGTGATGATTCAACCTTCTGATACGGCGTGATCACGTTTGAAATAAGTTGACTCGACTTGACTTGACGATGCGCTCCTTGAGTTTCGATTATTTCGGTACGAATCAAGAGGGCCGCCTTATCTGGATAAGACCGAAGCAGCTCAACGCTTCTAAAGCGCCGCCAAGAATCTCTCAATCCACTATCACGTGACACGGTACATTTGAATGCGCCATTAGGACACAAGCACAAGGACAAGCGGAATAAGTAGTTCATGAGTCTCCAAATGAGGATACTAGCATTCGCAGCCGCTACAGATACAAGCGCCCAGTATTTGTAACCTTTGATTTAACAGAATCCACCCACGAACACCTTATGGATTATAGATACATGATCCTATGTAGTTGCCGTTTCCCTATTATAACCCATACCAATCCCGGTAATCCATCCTCCTTCGAAAGCAACAAACACCGCTCCGTTACCCATTATTCGAGTATATGTGCTGCAGCGCATCGGGATACAGAAAATAGCAATCGGGTATTTGCAGTGGTGAAAGCCTGATGTATATTCAGTGCGAAAGCAAATGCCGCATCGCGAAACGAAAGAACAAAAGCTGGTAGGTGTGCAAGGCCCAAAGGTCCACCCTGGGGATATCGGCGCTCGAACACAGAGAGGAAGACGCTAATGCGGATAAATGGATGAGAGGGTCGTTCGTCGAATCGTCGCGCTCTCATGGTGGGGGGTATCTGAAGTGTGTGTGAAAGAAGTGCGATCGTGACTAGTCGTGAAGATCGTTTGATACAGGAAACAGAATCGAGAAAATAAATTAGCCCCTCCTTTTCCTTGTTTTTGGGATTTTGTGATAAGGGTGCGGCTGTTAGTCCGGCAGTCTTTCAGGACCGGGAGGACAGCTAGCTTAGTGATACAGTTGTGCTAGGGGGAGCAGAGTGTCGGGATGGGGGTGCTCCAGTGCAATGGTTGAGACTATGGTCATTAACGGATCGTTTATAGGTTCTCAATGCGGGCGCTAGGCATTTGCAAGGAAGGGTCGTCGAAGGTCTCAATCTTTTGGATCCAAGGGTAGTGGAAAACTTGGGCTTGATGGTAGGCCTGGATATTACTGGCTTCGACTTGTGCCTGGTAGCCTGCTATGCTATTGTACCACTGACCGTCTTGTGGAGCAGTAGGTTGGAAGTGTTCTTGCACAGGAGGGACTGGAGTCGCAGATGAGGAGTGTTGTTGGGTGAGATGATGCGGTAAGTGTTGGAACTGTACTACGGGCTGCTGATCGACAGGAGATGAGTCCTGGAGAACGTAGTTTGCCGCTTGCGCTGGGTGACCATAATATGGCTCTTGGGATACTGGACTGGCCCTAGAAACGGAAGAGTAGCTGCTTGGGCTACTCTCAAGAATCTCTTGATAGCGAGGAATGTGGTAGGTCTGGAGCGAAGGTGGGTTGGTGTTCAGAGTCGCCACCCCAGGATTATTCTGCTCCGGTACGTAGTATGAAGCATTGAGAGGCAGGTTCGGCGCTCTTTGCATCAATGGATTCTGGTGAGGCTCTTCTGGGATGGATTGGTTGCTGAAGGTTTGCGTGCCGCCTGAGAGACTGTGCCGGTGGTTGTAATTTTGCTGGATTGGATATCCATCCATCTGTTGTTGCCCAAAATCCGCAAAAGAATGCGCTCGTTGCATGTGAGGCCGCTGTTGGCCCGTGGAACGTGTGAGAACTGCCATGCTCTGTGGCCACTGTACTTGCCCAGATTGCTGTGGAGTCGAGGGTGATGTACCGCTATCTGAATCAGAAGTTTCGCCATCGTCCAACTCTAAGGAATGAATGCCCCTCTGATGAGAACGACGCTGATGTTTGACCATCGTTGTCTTACGGCAAAAACTAGATGATATTAGCTCAAACTGTAGTAACCCAACCAGGTGACAAACCTCTTCAGACAACCCTCGTATGCACATTTGTAGGGCCTCTTCCCCGTATGAATGCGGCGATGGCGCGCAAGACTTGAAGACTGTTATGATATTAGCTATGCTTTGAGAAGTCCACCTGGACGAGAACTTACATCTGAGAACCGTTTCCCGCAACCGATATGCTGGCACTGATGCGGTTTCTCGCCCGTATGAGTGCGGATATGAACGGTGAGCGCACTTCTCTGGATGAAGCTTTTGCCACAACCGGGGGTCATACAAGAGTATGGGCGCTCATTCGTATGTATACGGTAATGCCTCTGAAGATCGGATTTCCGGTTGAAGCTCTATATTATCTCATAAGCTGACCCTCGACCACATCTTGGGGTGTTGAACGTACCTTGCTACATGCTTGCCAGTCACACTCAAAAGGTCGGGCGTTGGGCTCATTCTCTACCAGCTCCATGACGTCCATCCTGCGGTTCCTCCTACGCTCTCTCTACCCAACGGGATAGGTGGTAGTTACCTCTTTCCTTCAGGGCGACTGAGGCTGTCAGGAGTGGTGAACGGTAATCGGGATTGGTGCGTTCAGGGAACACTGTCAGTTGGATGAAGACCGGCAATTGCTGGGTGAGATTAGGTGGAGTCCGGAACTCGAGGTGAGATCAAGGCGAGACGTATGACAAGATGGTAGCTCTGAGAAGAATCCCACACCTATCGAGGTAAAGACACTGAGGTCTTAGAACGAGGAAGCGTCCAGCGCAAGAGCTGTAGATATGAAGCAGCGGGCGAGAAGGAACTGATATTCAAAATATTAATATCAATGAAAGGCTGATATGGCGTTGCTCTTGGCTGTCACCGCTACGAAAGCCGTTGAGCCTTGAAACTGGACCTGAAGGGGGCGAGTAGTAATCTTAGACGATGAGGTAGTTTGGACGACGAGGGGAGAGCGTATAGTTTATACATGCACCCACGATGCTATGGTGCTTCCTGGCGAGTGGCGGATTATCTGCTCCAGCCTGGTGGGGCGAGACAACAACAAGTCTAGAGAATGGGTACTCCACGTCGAGGAGCGTGCTTCCTAGTAAGGAACCCTGGGCCTCGCCTTCTGGGCTAGTGCGGAGTGATGTGAGCGGGTGTTAAGTTTGAAGGCCACGGACCATTCTTGACCAAGGCCAGTTCGGACTCAGCGAAGTGCCGAATAGATCGTCGAGCTTCTCGAGCCTCTCCAGCTCCCAGCACGTTCCGGCGCTCGGGCTCGACCGGGACAGTGGCGACGGCAAGGAGACGAGTGTGATGGACGTCTTGATAGTGTAGCTTCTAGTGAGGGGGAAGTGGAGGAAGATTCGACGTCGAATGGCGCCACCTCCCGGCGCTTGATCTAGAGATATATGCGCCTGGTAGCGCGTTGAGGGGGGCTTGCTCAGTCTGGCTGCACATGTATTTGGGAGTAGAAGCAGGAGAAGGATCTCGACTTTCGAGATCACAGGCGGGTTTTCAGCAGACCGGGGACGTCAGCTCAGATGCGATATCGAGGGGGAGGAGACTCTGCTCGAGACGTAGTAGGTAGGTAGGTAGTCCAGCGGAGGAAGACAGAGATGGCCCGGGCAGCGGGGGAGATCAGGAGGGTCCAGAGGCCTACATGAGCGAGCAGAGCGCAATTAAGAGAAGAGGGAGAAGAAAGAAAGAAAGACGGGGGGGGTCGTTTTGAAGATTGACTGATTATTCCGGAGGGTTGGAGAGTTCGACGTCTGAAGATCCTTTTTTGTACTGGAGTCTGGAGGTCCTGTCGTCCTTGTAGGGAAGTGAGTGGAGTCCCGTCCCGGCGGCCCACCCGTGACCCATCAGCGTCCTGACTCGCCGTCAATCAGGTACGGCCTGCGATACCAGGCCGTTGCAGGTCGCTGTCTATCGTCAAGCGATAAATAATATGGGTTAAAATAAATAAAATATTAATAACATGCTGAGGTGCATATTCTCCATGCACCTTGCAACGTACGGAGGCCTCCCAGATATCGCCCTTAGCCCTTCACGGTGCAGGGTTGGCGCAGCACTATGCCATTGGGCTGATCATGGCCGCCCCGAGGGGGCAATAATAAGGTGTATTATTGCCTGCGGAGGCAGGATACGGAGTAAACTGCCAATTCCCCACAGAAGATTTGAATAATAGTGCCGCAGGATGGTGGGAGACCGTAAGTGGCATCGATCCCTTCTCGTTGCCCTTCCGACTGTCACGATTCCCTCCCGGCTCGACGTCAGGAGCAGTATCAGTGCCCCTTTTCCGTGCTTCTTCTCTCTCTACGGAGTCCAGAGGGAGTGCTGGGCGAGCGACTCCTGCTGCAGGACTGCGCCATCGTGTCCTTGTGCGTCGCGAGAGTCCATCTACCTGGGATCTGGGAGCGAGGACAAGGGAGGGAGGAGAGAAGAGCAGAGAGTCAGAGACGGCCCCTCTGCTACTGTATCGTCCTCTGTTCTGCTCTCCTGGTCTCCTGCTTTCCTGCTTTCCTGTCCTCCTGCTGGCTGCTGTTTCTCCTCTGCATTCTGTTCAGCTGGCCGAGTATCGTACTCCGTAGTCTCCCTCCTCCAACGACAGCACCCAGGACCTCAGTACCTCCGTACCAACCAGCAGTGCAGCCTCTGCAGACAGAAGGGGGCTTCGGGGAAGCCAACGACCCCTCCTCCCTGGTAGCCTTCAGCCAAGGGGGGAGCCATGCGTCTGCCGCGAACCCTGAGGATGAGCCCTGTAGCGCAGCTGTTGATACAGCACTGGCCAGGGGCAGCGTCTGCCGCACACCTCTTCCAGGCCCCGGTTGTTGCATGGCCGGCTGCCGTTTGGCTGCTGAAGCCTTGCAACGGCATAACGGTGGGGGTAGCCCGACTAGCATGGCTCTCACCAACTGACACCAAGCCTCGCAACGCGCACTCCCAGTAAACTGTAATATACCCAGTCGTGCTAGTCGTGGGAAGATTGTCATTTTGACAAGAGGTTGAGAGGTCGAGAGGTTGTCCCGACAAGAACAGTAGTGTGGTATAGCAAAGACGCCGTCGAGTAAATGGCAGTCGGGAATAATCCCCACGGGCGCCCGTCGCTCGCCGGACTCGAGCGAAGTGGCAACGGCGTGCCCGCCAACCACCAACTACGACTAATACGACTACGACTCGTTCCTGGGCAAAAAGCACAGCACCTTAGTCGCCCGCGAAAAGAGCCTTCTCACACTGCCTACTACAGTACACTACTACTTGCACGTTGCAACAGAGATAGGAGGATGCAGGAGCAAGAGAAGAACGGCCTCGCCAATGCCATCCTCTAGGTATGTACACTTGAGAAAGGGGGAAGATTCGGGTCCAGGGGGCTTCCTCTTCACCCCAAGAACCCCCTGTCTGGCTCCCTCCGGAGGGGCGCGGGAGAGGATTGGATTGTTGATGACTGCTCATCAATGATAGTTCTCGGTGGCCTGGCGACAAGTACCGCAGTTCCTGACTTCTTCACCTCACGAATAGCCCAAGCCCACGATTGAATCAGCACAGCGATTGTCCACGATCCCATACGGGAGGGTGTCGGGCTGATGGATGTCGAAATCTCGAACACTAGAAGGGAAACAAGGGGTATGCAACGATTAGGTTCTTGAGAGGGCGTCGCTGATCTGTACTTCATCATATATCATATAACGCTTTTGTCAGGCGTGCTTGACTATTGAAGCCTACTGCGTAGGTATGATAAATAGTATTCAATTTCTCGATAACTGTTCTGATAACACAAAAGATCCATCTCACCCAGCTGCTGTCAGCCTATCGCCTCTACTATTCTCCTACACCTCAAGAGCCATACTCCGTACAGAATACAATGTGCATTGCGTGCAACGTTCGCAATTGCGTGGATTCGACTATTCTTAAAATTCCGACGAGTCGGCATGATTCAATCCATCCATGCGAGTAAGTGCCTAGCACAGCGCGGCGCAGTTGGTTGTCTAACTAGCAAGTCCCCTGGGCCCTGTCGTCAGGTCCCTCCCGCCTCTCGGTAGAGGACTAAAGGTTTAGTACCGTACACCAGTACCTATAGTACAATACCCCAGATGCTAGGTGCGTTGAATCGTTCCGACCACATTTTCGTCACTATCACTACTTCGGTCTCTTGGCCGAGATGCCACGCCTAGAACGAGCGCGGAGTGAATGAAGATGACCAGAGCCCCGAGAGTCGGAATCAGAGCAGATCAGAGCAGGAAAAGGGAGTATCGTGAGCATGAACCCAGACCCCCCACTGCTGCGTACCATATGTACGTATGTAACGACCTGTGACAACCTTGTCCGTGCCGAAGCGAAGGTGTTTCCATCACGGTTCACTCCTGATCTCGCCTTAACCTCACCGCACCCCACTCCCCAGGATTCGAAACATCGCGTCCGGCTCTCAGTGAACTGCCATCAGTATCGTGCAGATGCTGCAGACTGCAGGTCCCCATCCCCATCACAAATGATGTGACAGTGCCGACCCAAATGGCACAACCGGCTCCATCACAACCCCATTATTCCAGCTCCTACGACGTAGAAACATCCTTAGCGAGACTGGCACTGATACTGATGCTGTCGTGCCCCCCGGCACTGCAGGAACCGCTCGAATAGCTAGGCCTGTCCTGTAGCTCACCTTCGCAGGTCTGAGTGCACGCTGCCGAGAACAGACAGAGAGCTTCGGATCGTGGACCGTGAACCGTGAACCATTCCGTGCGCCCTGGTAACAGAAGGACGGAATCGCATTACTTAGCATCTCATCCTGGGCAGACCATGTCCCGAATAGCTTCACTAGACTCTGCTGTCACATGGAATATTCCGAGAACCAATAGAGAACGCTTGCGGGCGTGAAACAAGAGGCGAAGGTGGTCTGATCAGAGCTGTCAAGAGAGCGTGAGTTTCTATAATCGGGTCTGCAATTACAGCGTTCTCGAGAGTCGAGACTCGAGAGTGGCCCACCGAGTCCTCGATGCATATCTGACTTAGACTTCGCAGCTGCCAATGCCGGGTCCTGCGTCTTTTCTCCAGCTTTTGGCCCTTGCTCGGCAGCCCGTTGAAACGGGGTCGAAACGGTGATTTGATATGCTGACACACCTCTCAGCCACAATAACCTCCAACTTTCTCCAACTCATATGATAACCAAAGAGACCAGACAGCTAGGTAGAGTATTTTGATGGGCTATTGACGGCCTGCCTCAGGATAGGTACTGTCTGTACAGGACCTGAGACGTCTGGTTCACAAGATATACCCATCTGGCGGAGAAAAACCTGCGCTTCGGAAAAACACCAGCCGAATAGCTCTGCCATCCCCACTTTACATCCTCTTTGAGGTAGGTAGGAAGGCAATTTTGTAGCAGAACGCCCATCATATTATCCATTTAGCTAGTCGCTACGTATGGCTCATCGTATTCATATTGACGCAACGATAGGATCTTGATCCTGTATCCTGCTCTGAGCCGATGATGCGCCAAGATCTAGATCAAGAAAGTTAGTCGACTGCTTGTTCATGGAGGGTATCTCTCTTCCTCGCCACAGCATCCTCACGATACTGAGGAGAGGCGTTACGTGTCGCTTGAGTCTTGACACTCATATGTCTCAGGCTAAGCGCATCTCAGCAGCAAAATCCCAGCGTCTGGGTCTGATGTGAATCAAAACCATCATAACCTGCCCCCTCCTGCGAATCAAAACTCTAAATACCCGCCATGCTGGCTTCTCCAAATCCGCACTTCCCTGTACCGCCTCGATGCCATCCCTGGATAGGCTTCCTCGTGGACGCTGCGGATCGTAAGGCACAGAGGATGCGGGCGAGACGATGACGAGGAGGCCGATTCCAAAGCCAACGACTACCATTTCCTCTACCTCTCACGCGCCTCGGAGGTGTTCACAAGACCATCATGCCCAAGCCATCGTGAGGTCAAGGACAGTACCAACCCGTCGGACGGCCTACGCTGTAAGGCCTTCTGCGTTGGCTCCAATATCTTGCAGACGCACTAAGACCACAGCTGAGATCACCTTCAATGCTGGTGATCACCTCGCAATCTTCCGAGGGCGCCCCTCCTCGGGATCTTCCTTGCGGCGTCCTCCACTCTTCATCGATATGCGATCTCATTTGTAGTCTCTAGAGCCGCTCACTACTCTCTGTTCGCCGGCTTCTGCGGTGCATGCTACTGTTCATCATACATAGGTTAGCCTAAGTCTTCAACAACGCCACCTGCGCTTGGAACTGAGAGCGGAGCGTATGAAGAAGACCTGGGATTGCCGCTTGGCAAAACGAAGCAGTCCAGTCCTGATTCCCATACCTTACCTACCTTACCTACCTACCTTATGTAGAATGCGGCACGCATCCAGCCCACAGAACGGCGTCCAAAACATCATCCATCCCGAATCCCAACTACTCTCCCTAAGAGATGCCTCTCTTGGGAAGAGTTTCGAGTTTCACGCCGCGCATCGAATCGGAGACTTTCCACGCCTGGCTCTCAAACACGGCTGAATCTAGCGTACCAGCCGTGCGAGGGCAGGGACAGGGGGCCGATGCACCTTTGATCGCAGCGGCCAGGAGAGGGTTACTACTTATTACCTTACTGTACGCCGTAGTGAATTAGAGTTTATAGTTACTACCTGGGTGCACTCCGCACTCCGTAGAAAGTACGGCAGCCGTGGCTTAAGTAATCATTAGGTAATCCGACGGTGTTGCATCGACGACGACTTGGAGAACACCAGTCTTCTTCCTGCCTGACCATGTATGCATATTATTTGCAGTACTCCGTAGGTCCATAAGAGCAGCCACTTCTACCAGCACCACTTCACCAGCACAGCTTTTGCCAAGAGTGTATATTTGACTTCACTGCTCTTAGTACAGTACGAGTATCGTCCCTGGTCCGACGACCGTTTGGGCATAATCGGCACCGAGAACATGGCTTGCACCACGGCAGACACCCCCAAGAGCCGGAACCCCACCATGTCCTAGACCTCGACCTCGACGAATATCTAGCTAATCAGAATAAATTCTTATACTTGCGGGGAGTCTCGCCGAGTATTTGTTTGGCCACGGTGGACATCCTGCCTAACGACCTTCTTCAGATTCAAAACCCAGCCAGCCTCAACGCAAAATTCGTCATGGGGAGAGCGAGTGCGACGTCGTACTCGTGGCTTGCTATCACCAGATCCATGTGCTGTTTATTTGAGCGTTTTGGCTCCTGGTTTATTCTGCAAGCGTTGGTCTGCGACCTCTAGTTGAGGTCGAAAGTACCGGGTATCAACTTTACTCGCACTGCACTGCATTGTATCGTACATCCTTTTCAAAGTATGCCACATATGTTTGTTCAAGAGAAGATACTAGCTTAAAACACAATACATGCTCATCACTGGCAGACGTTTCTGAGCTTCTGAGCCCTCGCTACCGCACTCTACGTCAGTTGGTAGATCAAGCAGGATTTTACGATTCCTATAGTTGCTAATCATAGGCCAGGCGGTGCGAGGGGATGGACATGGTCGTGGAAAGAGAGAGGGGTTGGTACGGCCGTGTCAAAGGATATCTAGGCTGGATAGGAGACACAACCGCCTCACGTGAGTATGTACTCCGCGACGTGTTACGGAAATGACTCTCTTATACAGAGTAAGCACTTCGTGTATGTACTATTGCCACCTCACCTCACCTCTACCCCGCTTCGCGCAAGGAGATTCCAGCTGCACGCTCGGCCGTTGCTTGCTTCTTCGCCCTTGCCTGCATACGAGCTTTGTCCAATGTCCACAGCAGCCACTGGCATGCTCCCTGATCCCCTCTGATACCTACCCAACAGTTCATCGCGCACGAAACGGCGGTGGTGATGAGCAGGTGTACTCCGTATAGATAGGAGAAGAGCGGTATGAGGCAATGCTGGAGGACACATGGGGGGGAGTATAGAGAGGAGAGAAGGAAGGTTGGACTAGCGATGCACGGATGTTGCAGATGCATACAGCATATAGGTACTGATGTCCGTATGTACAGCATGCGGGTGCCGCGTACGTGCTGCTGCATAGCAGAGCAGACTATGCGGTATGCTCGACTTTTGCGGAAGATCTGCTAGAGATTTGGTCCGGTTTCGAAGTATGACGTTAATGTTGACTCTGCGCTTAGATTTCCTTTTGCTGGGTGGGAAAGGTGGGTGGATTGAGTGGCTTTGGGAGAAAGAAGATAAACACACAACTTACAAGTGAGCAACTCGAGGATTAGATAAATGCTATCTATGCATGCACCTGATCACCTCCAATCAAGATCCATATCGCGTCCCAGGACCGACAGGTGTTGAGCCCTTCTCTAGAGGGAGAAAGACAAGGCAGGTTCGAAGATCGCCAAGCCTACCCTACCTCCACATCTCTACTGTCTGTGCAAGATCTCTTTCTTATCGAGTAGGAAGGTGGTGCAGCATTATCTTGTGCGTATACCCCCCCCGCCCCCCTCTTTTTCCCCCCCAAACACCGGGGCGGCGGGCCCCGGCGACTTCCTTCCAGTACGTTTGTGACAAGTAAGGGCAGCAAGTGTCCATATGCCCATCTAGGCGTATATCCCTCAACATTAATATAAGGGGTATAAAATCACCAAGCTCCTAGGTATTCCTATCTTATACCTATATTACAAGAGCAGAGGATACAGCGTGTTTGAGGGTTGGAAGCTTAGAGCATGCGGGTTCGGGTTGAGAGTTAGGAATAGGGGGCATCTCTGCCCGGCTTTCTTCATGCTTCATTACCCTCTCTCCCAATAGAAGTTTCCTGAATGCTCTCTACCTAGTAGCTATGCCTCGGACCATCCGTACGCCCATCCTACTCGCCCAACTCACCCACCTACCAAATTTATACATTATAAATTATAATCTCCGAAACACTACACAGGCTATCCTAGAAGCTAGCTATACTTATTGACTGATCCCTACCTTACCTACTTAGCTACCTACTGTTTACTAACAACAACTTGCGAATATGAAAATATATCTGTACAGTACCTGCCTTGTAGAGCGTTGCTGCGTTCGTTGTACCGTGGGACCACGGCTGATTTACCTGATTGATAGGTTGGTTAGTTGGGGGCCCGGTGTTACAAGAGTAGTAATAGAAACCAAAAAAGTAAGAAAAAGAAAGAATAATAAATAAAATGTTAAGGACGTTACCTTAGGAGACGGAGTATAGGCGCAAGTCAGCAAATTTATATGGTCTAGGGTCGGTTCTAACCGCGCGCGGCGCGGTTCGGGACGGGAAAGGGGCTAGCTACGGTTAGTTGTCTCCGGGGTAGCACAGGATGACGGGGCTATGGATATTACAGCTGGAGAATAGAGTTTCGGGTCAACGGGCCTATTGCCTTTAAGTTTTTCACCGTGTTTATTAGAGTTTAGGGGCTGAAGATCCAATCTACATGGCTCACCAGCTACTCTGTCACTCTGTGTACAAATTGGTAGCACGGCATATTTAAATGATATATAGACCAGGCCTATATAGCAACGGCGTGGGTGAGAGCGCCAAGCTCGGGTCTGGCATCAGTATTTTGAGACTCGAGGTACGGGATGGTGGATACCGGAGAGGAAGAAGGGCAAGGGCCGCAAGGCGATAGATGAGGATCCTGAGTGGAGGAGAGGGTGGCAGGAGACCGGGGACACGTTTAGAGTTAAAGGGGGAAGGGGAGTACACAACTAATTGGGGAGCTGATGATAGGAAATGTTGTAGAGGGAATTGGAGACGTCTAGGAATTCAAGTAAACATACAGCTTGGTAAGTGATAGCATCAAGATCTTGATTTAGAAGAACGGAGGGAGATCAAAGCTGATAGATCTAAGATCGCACTCCCTACTACAGCCCAAACCCATCTGCCCCAACCCTAGCTTTCACCTCCCTCTGGATACTGGGTTGGAGTGCCTCAAGATCCGCATGTCTACAATTTTGAGTTTAGAACAAGTCTCAAACCTGCATCATGTTCTGAGCTCTGATCTTTTTACCTGACGCCAGGCAGAGTTCAGGCACGATACTCTATGCGAGAAACACGGCGCGTTGCATTGCACTCGGTTGTACAGTTGATCCAAGATTAAGCAGGAACTCCCGCTCTCCGTGAGCACATATGCATCCCTATCTATGCACCGTGACAGAATCCCATCTGCCGGGCATGCACACTGAAGCCCCAACGAGGACACCAAAGCTTTGAGAGGGATCCCGAGAGAGTCTCGCATAAGAATACCAGATTCCTAGAAGAGGTAGAAATCACACCCGCTTGGGCATACATGCTGGGAACGTGCATGCCCCGGAGGACTTCACGTATCAGGCTTGAGGATCAGACTGTGCGCTTTCTCGGGATTGGCTTTAACTGGTGGTCCATCTTCAGCGGAGAATCACTCCTGCGAGATGTAAAGAGAGGTGCGGTGTGTCAGCCCATGAATCCAAGGTCTTGATGAGAACAAAGGCTTTGAGTCGTCGTGGAGCACTTTTCTCCATCAGGAATTTGATGGGATGCTTGGAGCATGAACCGGCTCAAACGGTCAAACCAATAGACGTTCATAGCCCCAGACTTCCTACGAATCCCCCCCTCGTAGATACAGACCCGTAAGGTATACGAATGTAAGCAGTGCACCTTGATGACCATCCCTTATTCTGTCCATGTATCCCGATCACCTCGAACTTCGAGTCACGGCACAACCCCCTTGAATCTGAAAAGTGATAAGCAAGATAGGTTCTCCGCAAACATCTAGACTCTAGATAATGTGAAGAAAGGTCACGAAGTGAAGTCATATCTGAAACCAGTCTGTGCTCCACTCGGGAGTACACAGCGTTCCTAGGTCATATATGCTGACGCCTGTGGGGGAGCCTGCAGCGTTGCGCATGAACCATAACAACTGGTGATATAACACGCCTATTATATGCTCCTACAGCCTAGGGACCAATCTGGCATCATCGTCACCCGGCCGGAATAGGGCGGTGGCGCGCGCCGATTGCCTGTCAGAAACGGTCTATATTGCGCCTCTTAAGACGTCTTGCCGCAGGGAGCTTTGGAAGTATATCTCGCCGCCCGCATCAGGGCAGCTGCGCACTCGGCCGTAAGATGTCGCGTCCCAATTGATGGCAGATGGATGAACGGGCCAGCTTCCCCGCCACTGATCTTTTCTTGCAACTAATCCGTCACAGCAAGCCTCGCATGACCCCAAAAGGTACCAGGATAGCGCAGTGTGCACTGTGCATATAGCAGAGTGGGTTGTCACTTCTCACTTGCAGCATCGCTTGCGGCTTGGCCGGCAAATGTGAAAAGCACATGTGTTTTGCTTCACTATTTGTGAGGATGTGAGCCGGGCAACGCCCAGTGGCTGGATGTTTTGGGAATCACAACAAAAAGAAAAAGGAAAATAAATCTCCGGAGGATCTCGATTCTCGACTGCGGGGCCTCAATGCGGTTAGGAGAGAGCAGGCACTAAGGTACACTACTCATGAACTCCACGAAAATCCTCAGCGCGGCATGAAACAATCTACATACCTAATCACAGTTTTTATCAATTTCAAAGACCCGAATCTCACTTTTCCTTCCAAGTTGTCGTGATGTGAGGTCTCTATAGGATGACACTAGATGCACTACGTAATCGAACCTGCATGTTCGAGTGGTATAAGAGGTACTGCAGCTGAAGTCTACAGCTGCTTCTTGACAAGCAATGTGACAAGTGACAGGTGTTTGCTTTTTCCACTCGATAACTGGAGTTCATATCAAAAGATTTGATATTCGGGTGTGCCGAGATGGTCGGAAAGTCGAGAAGATTTTGATAACTAAATTCATTGTGATAATTGCAAAAATACACAACTCTTTGGATTAGCAAGTAGGTAGTAGACAGAGATTAGCTATTCTTTACATACTAACATACCTACTGATGGAACATCCCGTCAACAAGCGATGGAGCAGGACCTTTGAACGCCTGCTCCCTTGATACAATCTTTCCATCTTGAACGTAAATGCGCTTTTGGCCATCTATCTTCCCCTCTTCATACAACCTAATGATGGCTCGAAGATTGGTGTGTTGATATTCGGGCGCGTACCAAGGGTGGTTGGGATCCAATTCGCTACGAAGCAGCTCGAGATGCTTCTTTACATCAAGTGGAGGTGGTATGAAGCCAGGGTCAAACTTGATCTTAGAGCAGTCAATGTTACCCTTTTCGTCAAGTGGGATGTTATTTTTGGGCCTGCTGTCCTCATTCTTGGCCGTCTCTTGTGCGTTCCGGACTGCCATTGCATTCCTAGCTACCTTGCGGAGGTACTCTAGAGTGATTTCCTGGTTCTGCTCCGCCCCGCTGTCGATTGGTTCCGCCCCGCTCTCGCTCTCGATTGTTTTTTTCGCCCCGCTCTCGATTGGTTCCGCCCCGCTCTCGCTCTCGATTGGTTTTTCTGCCCCGCTCTCGATTGGTTCCGCCCCGCTCTCGATTGGTTCCGCCCCGCTCTCGATTGGTTGCTTCGCCCGGCAGACAATTGTCTTCTCGCCCTTATTGTGTAATTTTTTTGTTGTTATCCATTGCTGTGCGCTGGTGGTGGTGGTAGACGGATGGGATGGTGGTGGTGGTAGACGGATGGGATGGTGGTGGTGGTAGAAGGACGGGTGGTGGTGGCGATGGTGGGGTAGATGGATGGGAAAGAAGGAAGCCGGGGGGATGAGGGGCTTTGATACCAGGTAGCTCTACTAGTTTGTACGCTAGTCACGTAACCGAACGACTTACCCACGTGACCTCGTCTTCCGCACCAGACTCCATGGCCCGTCAAGCCACCGTCCAAGACCTGAAGATGGATCCTAATCAGGAAATACTGCGATACAAGCCCAGACCCCAGAGAACAGTCGAGCTAGATCTCCAGGCATGTGTCGACCGGGGCATGCCTCCATCAGTGAGAGAAGAGGATTATAATACTCTGCCACCATTGAATATCGACGATAAAGCTATCTAGAAATCCGTCGAGCAGCCTCCAATGCCCTAACCCTTTGGAATCCCTACGGACTCGTCATTTTGGTCCATTTTGGCACAGTCACTCCCAACCAGGTTGAGAATCTGTTCGAAGATCAACGAGCCGGAGATTTAACTGTAATACGGCAAAGTCTTGCGACTAGACGAAGAAATCACAAAATACATTAAAGGAATCCCGGCGTGGCCCACTACCAGTCTACCACTATAGATAAGGCAAGGAGAAATAGCTCTTTTCTGAGGTCTCTTCTCGACCTGACTCTCCGACAATAGTTAATAGTATTACATACTCTATATGCGTGCAAGGCTCAACGTATTCTTAGCTAGGCTGCTAGGCACATTCAGACGAGCGCGTCTTGAGGCAGCAAAGACCATTCTCTGTTAGAACCAAGCTACCTTTCTATCCGGCGACACTACACTTTGTTTCCTCAGACCGGACGGTTTCCCGGCTGCTCTGGGCCCTAGGAATCTGCCACAAATTCCATTTAAAAGATACGGGTTACAGTATGTCACCATGGATTTGTCAGGTGCGCTAACACGTAAGACTACAATGGCTTAGAAATCAAGTACAGGGTAACTACGTACTACGACCGAGGTAATAGTAGGTATCGAGGAGCATAAGAATAGAGGGTAGGGAGGGGAAAGAAGAGGGGTTTAGAGATTAGTCTATAGTTAAAGTAGTGATATACCTTCGAATATACTACGACTATCTATCGACTCTTACCTCTTCTACTCTATAAAAATATACCTAACATTCTAATCTCTTTCCTTTACTAAAAGGTTATAGACTGTTAGAGTAAGAAGTAATAACGTAGACACGATAGATAAACCTTAACAAGACGTAAGCCTCTTCTTAAGTAACTCTTTAGAATACCTCTTTATAAGTAGATAGCGGCAAACCTAGTACGACTCCCTAAATGTTAATAGAAATCCTTTCCTTAAGTAAGACTAAGTTAAACAAGAAGATCGCCTAAGTAAGGGTAAAGTAGTACCTTAAGTAAAAACAAGACTACCTTATAGCGCTTAAGAAGAGAGAGGCTCCCTTAATAAACCTATACGAATTTAATAACTCTCTTAAAGTAGAACGGCCCTTCTAGTAAACTTATATTAAAGAAACAAGAAAGAGCTATTATAACACTCCTTTTATTCTACTAAAAAACAAGACATATATTAGTATTACGACCTTCTTATTTGACTAAGAAATAGAGTTTAATACCTACCTAGAGAGTTATCTAACAGATACTAAACGCGTTAGCGCTATAGTAGTAGTACTAAAGGATTATATTAAAGAGCGCTAAAAGTCTTTTATTTTCTTAGAAAAAAGTAGATTAGTTCTTAATATAACTTAAGGAAAAATAAAGGCGTAGCTCTTTTATAGTATTATAGATAAGGGTACCTACTTCCTTAAAGTAGTGTTAAAACTCTAAATGTTAACTTAAAACTAAAACAAGACCTTTAGGAATTTCCTTTAATAGTATAACTCTTTAGTTATTAAACTTAGCTACGCCCTCTTAGAGATATTCTGTATCTACCTTCTTATTAATTGTTTAAAGCCTAAGTTAAGGGCCTATATAGTAAGTAGTAGGGTCTTAGATACCTTTAAGGTAGTTAAGGTAGTAGTGTTAAGAAAGGAAACTCTTATTTAGATAAGGTAATAAGAAGGCTCTTATAAAGCCCCTTTAACACTATACTATACTAAAGAAGGCTCTTCTTATAATCTAAAGACCTTATCTACACTAGTAAACACGTAAGGGGTATCTAGTAGCTAAACTTTAAATACGTAAAGGGACTCTCCTAACGTTATAAAAACCCTTTTAGTAAGTAAGGTATAAGGTAACTACTACTAATACTAGTAGCCTAGTTATTAGGCAAATTTGTACCTACTATATAAATACTCTACTTACAGACAGTCTAGGCATACTTACGCTTAGTACCCTAATAAGGCTAGTACTTTAGGCGCTAATACTACGCTAGTAGCCTACTACGTTATACCTAAACAATAAGAAGAGAGGCGACCCTTAATAAGTATTTAGGTAGAGATGTATATTAAGGGTAGCTAAGTAGCTATACCGGCCTTACTAGACTTAAGAGTAGAAGTTAACCTTATCTACTTACGACTATTAAGACAAGAGGTACTATAGTAACTTAATAATTACATTATAGTATCCTTACTATTCTAGAAAACAACAACAAGCTTTAGATTATACGATCTGTTTATTAAGGCCTAAGATAACTACTTAATAGTAAGGCAACATTAAGGCAGGTTTGTTATTACTAACATTAGAGACTTAGATGTTATACTAGGATTTCTATAGCTAGAGGCTATAGACCTAATCGTTTTATAAAAGACCTAGACGTTTGTATACCTTACGTCGTCTTTAATAGTTAGGCTATACGTAATAAAAAAAGAAATTAGAAAGGCGATAAAAGAAGCTTAATTTATAATTATAGCGATAGTATAACTAATTATAGTTAACCCGGAATCCCTAGGTAAAGAAAGACTATAAAAGGAACTACAAGAAGATAGTAAGGCTATAGTAACCTTACCTAGTAAGTACTAACAATTTACAGACGTCTTCTCTAAGGAAAGGGCTAGATTACTACCTATAATTAATAGCCTTACTTATATAATAGACCTTAAAGGAGACGTAGTACTACTATATAGCCGAATCTACCTACTTATAAAGGTTAAGCTAGGTGTCCTATATAAATATTTAGATAATACCTTAGTAAAAGGATAGATCTATCTAAGTAAGAGCCTTACTAGTACTCTAATACTATTTGTTCTAAAGAAAAGAGAAAAGCTACGACTTTATGTTAACTACTAGACGTTAAATAGTGTAACTAGAAAGAACTAAGCCCTTATTCTATTAATTAGAAAGATCCTTAATCAGCTGTCGTAAGCCCGTGTCTATACTAAGCTTAACCTACGCGAAGCGTACTATTAAGTTTGTATTAAGGCTAGTAATAAGTAGAAAACGGCTTTCCGGTACTAATATAGCTACTTTAAATACTATGTTATGCCCTTTAGGCTAGTAAACGTACTAGCGACCTTCTAGTCCTTTATTAATAAAGTACTAAGAAATCTTATTAATAATATTTGTATTATATATCTTAATAATATCCTTATCTACTCTATAAATAAAAAAGAGTATACGTAGTATGTTTACTACGTCCTTAAACGTCTCTAATAACACAACCTTTATACTAACCTCTTAAAGTACAAGTTTAATATAAAGTAAGTAGGTTTCCTAAGATACGTTATTAACCTATAGAGAGTTTATATTAAACCTAAGCATATCTCTATAATCTAAGAATAGCTTATTCCTATAACTATAAAAGACATTTATGTCTTTCTAAGGTTTACTAGGTTTTATAAGCGCTTTATTAAGAATTATTTAAAGATTACTATACTACTAACAAATCTCCTTTAAGGCGACGTCACTAGTACTATTACACTAAGTTCCGAAGCCCTAAAAGCCTTTTACAAGCTACGACTAGTCTTTGTAAAGGCCCTTTTCTTACGTTACTATAACCCTAAACTACCTACACACGTAAAAACAGATATATCTACCTATACTATTAGTACTGTCCTTTTATAGCTATAAGAAGGCCGCTAGTACCTTATTACGTTTATTTCTAGAAAGCTAAAGGGGCTAGAGCTACGCTACAACACCTTTAACGCTAAGTTAATAGCTATTGTTAAGGCTTTTAAGTTATAGAGGCTATACTTAGTATATATATAAAGTTTAGTATTAGTTTTAATAGATTACCTAAACTACTATTACCTCTTTACAAAGCTAAAGTTGTTATAGTAGTAAGCTAGATAGCTAGAGGAACTTTCTGTCTTTAACTTTAAGATTAAATATAAGAAGAGTACCTAAAACCTTACTAATAGGTTGTTATAGTAGCCTGACTTATAAGATCCTAATAAGTAATTAGAGACGTAACAAGCTCTCTTAGTAACTTTCCTTAATAAATTCTAGGTAAACATAATTACCTTAAAAGCTATTAGTCTTACTATAAGGCTTGTTTAAAACTAAGCTTTTATTTCTTTTATTCTTCTAATTCCTTTTGTTCCTTTAATTCCTTTAATTCTTTTTAAAGGTCTAGTGACCTCCTTAACGTATACTATCTTAGTAGAATTACTCTAGTATAAGAGGCTAGACTTATGCTAGCTAGTAGACTAAGGCGATCGTAGGTCTTAGAGACCTTACGCTTCTATTACTAGAGTATTAAGTCGCGAATTAAACACTCTTATACTAGTAGAGAACTCTACTTAGAGTTAGGCTAGTAAGAGTAATAGCTAAGTAATAGTAACGTTAACGTTACTACTATTACTATTAGAAGCCCTTTGTAATACGTAGTAAAAAGACGCCTTTATTACTAATAAAGAGTAAAAGAAGTAGTAAAGTAGCTAAGACACTACTAGGTCCTTATAGACATTTAAGGATAATACACTACTATAGTATTATAGACGTATATATATACCTAATAATCCGGGCTTACGTAAAGAGTTACTAAAGCTTTTCTATAACGTACCTACTATAAGACACTAGAGAGTTAGTAAAACAAAAAAAAGGCTTTTCTAATCCTTTTTTTAGCTAAGTCTTAATAAAGACGTCTACTATTACGTTTCTACTTATACTATCTATTAAAGAATAAAGGTAAGGACCTATCTACTATATAGTAAGTTAGCCTTACTCTCTATTCCTTCTAAACCTTAGTAAGAGATCTTACTTAACTTTATTACGTAGCTACCTTACTCTTATAATATAGTAAGTAAACTATATAATTTAATACTTATTATCGTAAACTAATTTACAAAATTTTCCTTATATATTCTAACAACTAATCGTCTTACTAGTAACAGGCTAGCGTCTCTTCTAATACACTACGTTATACAACAATTTAGAATTCTAGATAGTATTATCTTAGACTAAGGCTCTTTCTTTATAAGTAAATTCTAGAGTAGTTTCTACTAGTACCTAGTAATATTATAGTAACTTAGTACTACTTATTACCTATAAACAGACAGGCAGACAGAACAGTAGAACTAAGCTATTAAGTATTACCTTTAAACTTACTATAGCTTTATATAAGACGACTAAGTAACTAAGCTAGATCTTACAGAATTTGTATATAATACCTTATAGTACTCTATAATAAATATAATACTATTGTACGCACTATATAAGTACTAGCCGTAAGGCCTTAAGGACATACCCTTAAACTAGTTAAAGCTAGTAAAGGCGCTAGTAGCTAATATATAGGTAAAGTAGCTATAAAGTAGCCGTAAAGAAATTATTATATTCCTTTAGTACTCTTAAAAATAGTATAAGAAATAGTATAACTAGAACTAGAAAAAGATTTTATTTAAAAAGAGAGACTAAGTACTCTTATTAACAAAACACCTAAGGTAACGTCGACCCTCTAGGAAATTTATAGATAAGTATATTAGTCCTTACTAAATTAAAGACGTTATTAGGGACTATAGACTTACTTATAGACTATACCTCTTTTTATTAGTATAGCTATATCTTACCTTTCTAATTATAAGCCTAGAACCCTATAAGGCACAAGAAGGCAAAGTCCTTATAAGCCTAATAGATATCCTAGTCTTAAATAAAGAAACATTTAAAGTAAAAGCTATTCTTAACTATAAAGGCCTATAAAGAAACAGACTCTATCTTATAAAATAAAAAGGGTATAACGATTTAGAAAACTTATAAGAACTATAACAAAACCTTAATAATAGCCTACTTTTACGTAAATACAAACAAATACATTAAGATAATCGTTAGAAAGGTATAATATTACTAGTATAGTTATAGTAATATAAGTACGACTTCTATATTTATTATATAAAAACTTAAAAACCTAGGTATCTTAAAAAAAACACTAAACTACTCTTTTACTAGTAAACACCTTTTAAAGCTCTACTAACTTTATTATTATATATCTTAGAAAAAAGAAAAAGAAAAAAAATCTAAAGTACGATCTTACTTATTAAAGACGCTTTAACCCTTAGTTGTCTATTATTTGTCCTTATTACTATCTTTTCTACTATTATTTTCTTTATTATTATCCTTTATAGTATCTACTACTACTTTATCCTTTACTTTCTTACTTCTTTTAGATCTCTATAATTTGTACGCGTACTACCTTTAAGTTAGTAGTAACTTAGTATTAGAGTAAGAGATACTTATAACTTTCTTAAAATAAGACACGTACTTTTTAAAGACAGTAATATAGTCTTACTATACTTAGATCGCCTCTTTTATAAGCTAATTACAACAGTCTGCCTTTATGTTTATAGTTATAGTAAACTTATTATAAAGCTCTAACTAATAGATAATTTTTACTAAATAACCTAACTTTTACTCTATACGCTCTTCTCTATCTACTTTATTACTATAAAGCCTCTTCTTTACTAACATTATAGTCTAAGACTTTAAATGTTAAAGGCTCTTCTTTACTAAAGTTTAGGCGGCCTAAATTATAGCTTGTTTATATTAGCTTTAACTTTACTATAAACAATAGACTACCTTACCTTATCCTTTTTTGTAATTACCTTTTAAAGTTTAATTCTTCTAGCTTAGAGAGTTAAAACAACCTAGTAACGTTAATAAAGCTATAACGTAAGAGCGTCGCCTTAAAAGGGGTTATACTTACAAAAATATACTCTTTCTTTAGATTTTTATAATAAACGTACTTTACTAATATAGCTACTACACTATTAGGCCGTTACTCTTTACTAAAAAGGAATACTTATAGTCGTTATCCTTATACTTTAGTAAGGTACTCTATAGGTCTTATAAAGCTATTTAGTTTAAGTATCGCTTATAAGCTACTAAACGCTTTGTTAGTACTATGTTGTCGTTAATAGTTTAATAAAGGTACGTTAGAAGTTTATTAAAAGAGTCGTAAAGGGAGGGGGGCGTAGCGGCGTTATATTCGTATAAGGTAAAAAGAAGAAAAAGAGGTAATAAACTAGCGAAAACAAGTCTTTATATACCCCTTAGTACTATAAAGGACAGACTAAGTAAAGGAAGACAAAAAAAGTGTTTTTCTATATTTACTTAAAAAATATAATTATAAGTAATATAGTTTAATCCTTATAGCTACTTACTATTAGTATACTATCGACCTTCTAGTAAAGAGTAACAAAGGATTTCTAAAAGTAGTAAAAGAGTAAGGAATACTAGCGCGCCTAGGTAATACGGTTTGTATTACGTATTAGGGGTCTTACGACTATCTAGCGACTTACTAGTACTTTACTATAATGTGTCTTTACTAAAAGTAAATATAAGAAGCGCGTTAAGTAGAGATCTAAAAGTACGATATATAATAGAAATCTCGCGGTTTAGCTATACGCCTCTACTACGCTATAAAGTCGCTACTATTCTTCTTTTCTTAATACTACTAGTTATATAGTTATATAGTTATATATTTACTCGCTAATTTATTCTTGTACATTTATTCTTGTTTCTAGAGAGGCATTAGCCTGTCCTAGCCTCCCTACGATCTAACGGCTACCTATAAGCTTCTAAAGACAAAAGCTAAAAAGGAAGGATACTATATTAGGTACGCTAATACGTAAGACTATAATAGCTTAGAAATTAAGTACAAGGTAACTACGTACTATAACTAAGGTAATAGTAGGCATTAAGGAGCATAAGAATAGAGGGTAGAGAGGGGAAAGAAGGGGGGTTTAGAGATTAGTCTATAGTTAAAGTAGTAATATACCTTTAAATATACTACGACTGTCTATCGACTCTTGCCTCTTTTACTCTATAGAAATATACCTGACAGGATTCTTGGTTAAGGCAAATAAGCTAATAAGGGACTAGGTTCTTTGCTAATTAGACTGGTCTTACCTAACTTTGTCTATTTGATATTATCTCTTGTTGCTAAAGTTTTATCTATGCTTGAAACTATAATGACCGCAACTAGAAAGGGAATAAAAGAGTACTACATGCTTAGTATAGTACTGTCTCTGGTCAAAACCAGACTATGGCCTGCTTCCGCGCCTGCCAATAAGGGAAATTCTTCTGATCAGATTAGGATACAAAATCTACTCCTTAAAGGCCAACAGGGGATTTACTCCCAGCTGATAGATGGCCTCGTCGGCAAGTCGTAGTTATTAGCGGTGTCCGAATAAATTCATGGACTACAAACCTGCCGGCCACGAACCTTTATTCTTTTGGAGTGAAGAGTTCTATCTTCAATTTTTCGCGTACGGGGTACAGGGTTACATGCGCGATTGCGCGCTCGCATTGAGTTGGCTTGCGCTACTATACAAATTACTACCTGTAGACACACGCTCGCTACACGCTCGTTACACGTTTAAACCTGCTACACGGTAACTACACCGTGAAAACAGACCATACCGCTCCGGTAAGGTAGGTGTGCCGCCTTTTCGCATTCGCTATAAGTCGTGTAAAAGCTCTTTCCACTCATTCCGTCGACGTCCCATGTCAAGAGACTGCAGCAGCATGGCCTGCAGGAGAGTGAGAAGATCCCCATCCATGGATACTTCACACTGAATCGGAAGTGGCCGAGGCCAAGGAGCTGGTGGTGGATGCGTTTATGGCATAGGGCGGGAGCGGGAGCGGGGGTGGAAGTATTCAAGACCTCCACGCTACTGACTCCAATCATATCAGGCGTCGAACCGCGGCGGTCCCGCAGAACGCGCCGAGCTGGAGGTAAGGTTGATCGCGCTCTTGCTTCCACCTCAGCGAAATAAAAGGTAAATCTTTACGAGCACTTTGAGAGGATCCGATCTGTCACTTGTGAACCCTTCACTCTCCCTACTTACAAAACTGCTACCCTTTTTTACATTGCTCTCTTGTCCCTCCTAGCCTGCATTCTATCGGACAAGGCCCCGTCTGCGGCAACGTGTCTTGTAATGACCATGTACGATGGCCAAGAAGAACTCGATAACCTTGTCTAGGACAAGAACGATGAGGTCTCTGATAAGGCACAGAAACAAATGCGACTCAGCATCACTTGTCGTAAAGTGGAAGATCTCGCAAAAGAAAAATTTGGAAAACCAGCAACCTTAATATCCCCATTGATCATAGGTGGCTTCAACATTCTCTACAGGATACGCCTCGAAGGAACATCTCCAGATATTATAATCCGACTGCCATGTCCAAGCCTTGTTCAGTTTCCTATTGAGAAAACTATTCAAGAAGCAGCCACGGCAGCCTTGATTGAGAAACAGACGTAACTGCCTATTCCCCGACAACTCTTTCATGGCGAGGAATCGACGGTTGGCCCTTTCGTGATTATGGAACGCATTGAAAACTGCGGGAGTGTATCAGCGAGGCTGACCAGGCCGAGTGAGGATCCCTCAGCCTTTCACGTTCTAGATCCTAACGTTCCCGAGACTAGGTACCTTACAGGCCATCTGGGGCAAGGTCGCACACAGTCTGCTGCAGCTTTCCCGGATAACTTTCTCACGGATTAGGTCTTTAGTTAAGGTCAGCAATGGCACGTATGAAGTGCGTGGCAGGCCAATAACTCACAATATGACCGATATAGTTCGCCTCGCGAATATCCCTCGTTGTGTTCTTCCACCAGAAGGCAAAACATACGAGACTACAGATAAATGGTATACAGCATTAGCAGATATACATATCGCACAGCTTATCTTCCAACACAACGACCTAGTTGCTTCTAAGGATGATTGCCGAAATAAGTACGTGGCACGCCAAATCTTTCGCAGATTAGCCAAACAAGGTCGTCTTTCTATCTTTGGGTTTGCCGAGGATACGTGGTCTGTCCAATCATCAAAAATCCCAGCTTTCTCACTCTCACCGGCCCCTTCCAGCTTCGACTTGTTTCGACTCTGGGGTAATGATTTTCGGGCCGGAAACATACTTCTCACTGAATCGGACGAGATCGCTGCTCTCATCGATTAGGAATATACGTACGTTGGGCCTACACAGTTTATCCTCGACCCACCTTGGTGGCTTCTCCTTGAGACCGCTGAGATGTGGTCGTCCGGCATCGATGAGTGGAAGAAAACATACGAATTGCGCTTGAAGACTTGGCTTTCTTCTATGAGCAAAGCAGAAGCAGGCATGACAGAGCCCAATCCTTTGCCTGCACCATTGTCTACGTATATGCGAGAAAGCTGGGAAACAGGGCGATTTTTTCTCAGTTATGCGGCTAGGAAAAGTTGGGCGTTTGACGCTATGTACTGGAAATTTCTAGATGAGAGATTCTTTGGCGCTCGAGAAAGTGGCATTTTCAAGAATGATTTGTGGAAAACGAGGATACATTTATTGAGCGAAGAAGAGAGAGCAGCCATAGAACCCTTTGTGGAAAGAAAGATGGCCGAATCCAAAACACGGTGCATTATCGACTGGGATCCGACCGAAGCACGACAGCGTTTTTCCGAGCTATTGTTTGATTAAGAGAAAAAGTGTATGGAGCAATTAAACTTTTAGCCACTCCAAGCTAAAAACATTCAAGTCTCCCATGGTTTTTGCAATAGAAGTACGTACTAGTACCTAAAGTACAACTAGGACTGTTCAAGCGGAGTCGTTAGTACATTGCAACAGTACCTTAACTGTTGGTGACTTCTTGTGCAGTAGGCATGGCAGGCTGGCGGCAAAGGGAAGCCAGGATACTAAAACATCTGCATCTCCCTACCTTATAAAAGCTAAATACTTCTCTTCTTCACAAGTTCACTCATCCAAAACCTCGAAACATCACTCCCGCGGGTTCACTTGATGGCCCTACAACGTCAGGAAGAACCTACCTTGGCGAGATCCAGAGATTCGCCAGCCAGAGAGACACTGCGGCAAGATCCCAATTATCCTGCTCGGAACTAATCGTCGACCTGTAGCCCGACCGCCGACGGCACTGCAAAGAACTAGAGAAAGTACCACCAATGCCGTCTATATTGACATTAACGACGCCGATGAAAGGACCATAGAGCCGAAGGCGTAGACAATAACGGTGGTCCGTTGGAAGCTTTAGAAGCTACCGCTAGTAGTTCGTGCCACACTCTCTATCATAGAGGTTGTACTACTAGAAAGGACCAGAACCACATCCAGCCCCAGCCCTATTTAGAAGCGGGCATTAGCACAGTTCCCACATTTGTGTTATCATGGGAAAATGATTACTTACTTTACACAAGACCACCAACGGCACCAGGCTGCCCATACCGCAGCACTATCAACACTACCCCTACCTTAATAGGTAAATTGGATAAAAATTCCCACCCATATGACCCAGTGCCGAAATTCATTCAATAAGAGGCCCTCCAGCTCTAAGCTTAACCTCCTCTACGAAATTCGTCGCCTCTACATTGTCGTCAATATTTGGCTCCAGATTGTTGTTCAACACTATTCCCTGCTCTATTCCGTTCTGATCTTCATCATCACTACTCACTCTTATGTTGGCTGTTGGCTGGGTCTAAATTTTGGAGGCGGGAGCAAGTCCATCATAAGGATTCATTGCTCCACCAAGACTTAGAAACATTGTCAGAACTGCCGCCAACGGCATCAGCTTGTACAATTCCCGCATCTGCTTCGTGGATGCGCCAAGGAGTGACGTGACGCAACTGTTGGAAGCAAAGTCATAGCACCGTTTGCTCTGCTATGCTCAGTTGCATTGAGCGCATTTCTCAGACACTGCGCATTGGTCGACCCGGGACGGATGAGCATCCCACGCATATCCAATGTGCTTATATCGAAGTGCAAACCATCCAGACTCAACAATGCCTACCGGCACCGCAATTAATGGTGTTTGAGGTAGAGATGGGCTGGAAAAGGGCGCGTGTTCGTCCTGCGCGGAGACCCTGGGAAGTAAGCAGATTGCATGGAAGACACTGTGCTCAAGGCGACCACATATGTTTTTCGTCCGATGGATAGCACTGCTACCAATACTTGAAAGTATCTTGAGGATGGTAATTTGATGTTGCTTTGGCAGTCTTGGTGGCCCTAAAGCGATCCCAGCTCTGGGCTAGAGCTCAGCAGAGCTTTCGGGGTTTGAAACTTTCATTGGTATTGCTTAGGGGAATTACAGCTTGGATGTGTCGAGACTGATTATGGAGAAAAAGAATGGGAAATATATTGAGTATATGAATATCGACTGGAAAAGGGGAAGTGTGCTTTAATTTTCAGCCGCGGTCCTTGGAGGCTTTGTCATGGACTCATTTCATGGGTAAGATGCCGAGTGGAGCTGGATGATCATCAAAGATACAATACTCCATATCTGCCTTGCTGCTCGGCGAGGCTTCCATGTCTACAGAGTCCTTTTCGCAACCTTTCGCAACTTGAGAGAGAGAGCTCACCTGTTTGAATTGCACTCGAATACTATCACTCCCAACGGCTTGTGTCGTGTTTGGATGGATTGTTTCCAGGTAGGCGTCGCGATTTAATCGTTGGTTCAATCCACTACCGCCCCACACGGATGATTGCGATGCAGATTCTTCGTTCCGCTAGGTAATCTTATTATTACTGTGTCTCCACGCCAGGCTTTTCAGGGCCCCTGAATATGTTAAGGGCAATGCGTTTTGTGTTTTATAGGACCTTAACACCCGATACTATGGAATCTGATATTCTTGACTGTCCTTCCAAAGCCATCTCTTTATCGAGGTCTTGGCGATCGTCAAAGATATCATTCACGCCATGGAGACTCACGCAATCGACCCTTTTCTGACACAGCCCGATCGCTTGGTACTGAACATTCTGCTACAGGATATCCAGAATGCGAGCAAGTCCAGTGGCGGAATCTCTGCCTCAGAGAAATCAGGTCTTGGAGGAGACAAAAGACAACATGCTGAAGATATATCACTTTTAGAAGGGCTTAACGACGAAACCAACAGCAACTTCCAACCGACTGTCTTCACGGGCTGGGATCAAGACGACTTTCAACGCCTTCCTAATTCGATAAATAAATATATTCTCGAACCATACATACGATGGGCTCGAGGAGTGGTCCGCAGGCAAACGGATGTCGTTTTTCTTACACACATCATCATCTATCTCACCACGTCGGTCCCAAGTGCTATTTTCCTCTATCTTCACTTTTGGTGGCCTCATGCGATCTGCCATTGGGTTATGCAGGGACTTTATTGCGGACCATTCACTCTTCTGCTCCATAACCACATTCACAACAATGGCGTCTTGAGTAAAAAGTATGCTTGGTTTGATAGAGCGTTCCCGTACATTCTGGAACCACTCATGGGCCACACTTGGAATTCATATTACTATCACCACGTTAAATGCCACCATGTCGAGGGGAACGGCCCAGAAGACGTATCCTCCACAATACGATACCAGCGTGACGAAATTGCCGACTTTTTGAAGTACTGGGGCCGTTTTATGTTCTTCACCTGGATAGAACTTCCTTTGTACTTCATCCGGAAGAGAAAGCCACGTTTGGCCTTCGAGTTCTTTTCCTGTGAGGTTGCTTCTTATGTGTGTATGTACATACTGGCTAGGCAGAAGTTCTATCCAACCTTGTTTGTATTGATAATTCCTTTTGTGCAAATGCGAATCGGATTGATGGTTGGCAACTGGGGTCAGCATGCCTTGGTGGATGAGAATGATCCAGACTCCGACTTTAGGTCAAGCATCACCTTGATTGACGTGCCGGTAGGATTCCTATCGCCACTCTATTCTTGACAATTAGCTAAAATGTTTTCTTCCTACGCCAATAGAGCAATCGATACTGTTTTAATGACGGATGGCACACGGCACATCACCTTAATCCACTTCGCCATTGGCGTGATCAACCACTCAGCTTCCTTAAGGCAAAGAGCAAGTACGAGAATGGACAGGCTCTTGTGTTCCACAATATCGACTACATGATGATGTTCGTCAAGCTTATGCAGAAAGACTACGACTATCTTGCTCGGTGTCTGGTGCCAATAGGAGACCAGATCGGAAAGAGCAATCAAGAGCTGGCGGCTATGTTGAGGTTGAAGACGCGAAAGTTCACAAGTGATGAGATTCAAAGGAAGTTCATTAAGCGCAGGAGGCATTAGAATCAGAGATTCGTGGAGGAACAACAGAACTCCAAACTAAAAGGCGGGAAAGTGGCCCATTCTTGCAAAAGGCCAAGGCCGGGCCAAGCACCGACTGTCGTATAAGCTCATATAGTGGACGGGCCACGGCGTTAGGGTTGTTAGGGAGCAGCCTTAGGGACTACTGTAGCACAGACTACTTTAATTATCCTACCTAGTTATTAGGGCCTGTTCGCGCGTCAACTAGAGGGGGTTCTAATTGGTATTAGAGAGTCTAAGAGCAATTAGAGGCACTTTTGGTGTTCGCATGTATAAACCACCTTCAATAGATAATCTATAATCTATAATCTTAATCATATTCCCGTCTTTCTTTTCACAAGAGAATTGGTGTTGACGAAAACTCTAGATAGTTGCTACTCAGCACCGCGTCTTAGTCGAAGGCAGCACAAAAATCTACAATACAACTTGTGTCTATGCGTTGTTTAAAACCATCTGATACCCAGTATCCTCTCCATACTGTCACTAAGTCGCCTCTCGCTCTACAGAATCTGAAAGCGGCAGAATTCACGGACGAAGGTTCGTATTCTGGCCTCTGTTTCCGAAAGCGATCAATCGTTTTGATAATTTCAACAGTAATTGAGCTCCTGCATCACTTTCCGTACGCTAGCTCAAGGAATTCAGATGTCAATCAATTGACGGAGTCGTTGAAATCGCACCCGAGACCTTCTCAATGTCCTACTTGAACCCATCGTGGAATGATCCGGACTCTCTACGTGATCCTTGGAGTCAGGGTACAATGATATTTCACCACGGGACGTCCGTCTTGCAGAAGGGGCAGGACTTGGGACTAATTACGTTCACAACACGGGAGACAGTGAGTAACCTCCGGTTTGCCTGTATAAACCGCCTGAAATAGTCATCCCGCCACCCCAAGACTACTCGGTCTTGCAAACAAACCCTCAAATAGCTACGGATACAGGACATGTCTTCATTGCCAAAGAAAGAAAGGCTAGAGAGACTGCAATTACTAGATTCTCTCATGGAATAATAGAAGAGTTTAAATCACCGAGTCTTGTTAAGCTAGTTGTGCATATATAGACAGTAGACTTAGCTCTTATAGTACCTCCTAGGGCTATTCAGCAGAGAAAGAAGTCACCACCACTATATCTAAGACAAGTACTAGAATTTAGTAGACAGTGCAGCTATATCAGAACTTCCCCGGTATCGTCATAGCCAGCCTATTCATCACATACTTTCCGGCCGTGATAGGCGGGAACTTCGATGGGTTATCCTCACTCACACAGCTAGGCAACGTCTCGACCTTCTCATCATAGTTGATAGAGAAGAACATCGGAACACTGTACCGCTCCTTATCCGTGCGATTGACTACCCTGTGCACCGTGCTCTTGTAGATCCCATTCGTCCAGCGCATCAAAAAGTCCGCAACGTTGACAACGATGCCTCCTTCGACAGGACCAGCGCTAATCCAGCGGCCATCTGGAGAGAGGATCTCTAGTCCTGGGTTGGAATCTTGTAAGAGGAGAGTGAAGCATTCGTAGTCCGTATGGGCCCCGAGTCCAATCTCCTCATCCTCACTCACCTCGGAGAGCGGTTTTGGATTCTCGCTTGGCTTGTATTTAATGAGGCGGCACATGCCCCCGGGGTGGGTCATCATGGAATCGAAATAGTCTTCTGGAAGGTCGAGAGACAGCGCAAAGAGGCGGAATAGGTGTCTTGCCAATTGCATCGTCTATCTCGCCATTAGTATTCAGTGTGTTACTATGACATGAAGCGATGGTCCATGGACTCACAGTCCCATAATATTCCTTAATACCTTCATAGAAACCCGGTATTTCAGATTCATCCGGCCAAAGATTTTGGCTACTAACAGATGCGCCGTCTAATTCCACATACTTCCCATCCCCACCCGTGGGGTCAAGGGCAGCTTCATATGCCCAGTTGAATGCTTCTTTGGTCTCTTTTTGTGTGAAATTATTTAGAGACGAATAACTCGGCGGCTCATACCCTCTGAAGTATTTCGACTGTCTCATATGTATCTTGTCTTTCGACTCCTGCGATAGCTCCGTGAAGAATCGCTCGGCAAGTTCCAGGGTTTTCTGGCTGATGAGCTCCATGCCGTGCCCAGTGATGTAGAAGAAGCCTATGGTCGTGCATGCTTCCCTGATTTGACGGGCTACGGCCTGTCGGGCGGAGAGGGAGGAGGAGAAAGAGGGAGAGAGGTCGATAATTGGGATTGAGTCGAAGGAGACTGCGCTAGTTGTAGGTGTTGATTTGAGGCGAGTTTCAAGATATCGTTGCGAGTCGAGAGCCGCAGCCCTGGTGGCGTCGACTGGATATGATGCAACGGCAGCCATGTTTGGCAAAAAGCGAAAGAAAGGTAAATTGCAGCTCTAGGAATGATTCTGCTGCACTGAAAGAGCAAGGGTTAATTCAATGCTTTTATATCCAACGAATACGCCGTAGATATAGATAAGGCCCCCTCAGGCAACTCCAAACTCTTATCAAGAGAGAAGATAACGAAAGCCACATGTAGAATGCCTCTTCCCATACGTGGAAATACCTCTTCTCAAAAGTGGGGGAGTACCAAGTGCAAGGGGGGCTTATACCAAATCTAGATGTTCAAAGAAGATTATGTAGATAAATACTAAAGGCAACGCGGAGTCGACCAGTCGTAGACTCGTCCTAGTCTCCTAGATTGGTGTCCCTGAATCGCTTGACCACAAGGGTGGTGAGACAAACAAACCAACACGCGTGAGCCTACTTGCTTATAAGATTGAGGGACTCGAGCTGTATAACTTTCTTGATCAAGAGTTCATCTTTGATTACAGGCAACCCGAGGAATATTCAAATGCGTCGCCAAGAATTCGTGGTGGTACGTAAAGTAGGTCTTACAAGAAAGAAATGAATGAATACGTAGACATATAAGAAATTATCGAACCACGTACTGTGACTGTAGCACTTACTAGCATACACGGTATGGTAGGCGGAGCCGCTGAGGACTGAATATGCAAACCTCCAGAGAGCAAGTGGGGGATACAGATATGAAAACGGCTGATTCTCAGCAGAATGTGGATGCAAAGAGTGCACTTTCGATATTGTACAGGAGCACAGTGCCTAAAGTAAGGTAAGGTAGCTGAGGTATTCTGTCGACGTATCCCGATTCCCTACCTTGAGGGAGTGAGAATAAGGTATTAGATAGGTGGGACAATACTATGTGGTAAGATAAGGTACCTTAGCCGATGAAATAACCGGAGTCATGTGATCGCCAACCCAAAACCCCTCCCGCGCGGCTCTCACCCATTTACCTACCTGGTTACCTTAACCTTAGTTGGCAACGGCAAACTTACCCTTTAAACTTGGGAGATATCTGGGCCTGACAGCATCAGATCTTAGGCACTAGGCAGCTGATAAGTTCTACCTCATGAGTTCTATCTCGTGTGTTATATCGGTAAACCTGAGACCTTGCAGCATTGTTAGTTGGTGATCCTTTTGATCTAATAGCTGTGCCGATTTTCTTTGCTAACTCTTGTATCCAGTTCTATAATTCTTCGTCCAACTTGAATAGTCGGTTCATACCACAGTCGTGTTTCTTGGGGCAGATAACCCTTATATTCTGAAGGGCGGCCAGGGCCCTGTATATAAAAGACAATTGTAATGGGTATCCCTACCCTTCCCCGACAGTCAAAGAGGTATAGCATACTCTCTCTAGACGAACTTCCTTTAAAACAAGTCTGCACTATTTTCCAACTCGAGCTACTGTATACAGTATACAGTATACAGCGTCGCTTTCACTTCACGATAGATTTGGGCAGTATAGGAGTGTCAAATAAAGCTGCCTTACCACATTCGCTGATTACAGTCTACAGCCACACCCGAAACCATTGACCACCATGAAGCATCATCACGACATCTCGATCTAGCAAACTGACTTCACATATATCGCTCTCTAAATCTCTAGCTAGGTAAGTCGATATATGCGTCAAAGTGCTCCTCGTTCCGAATGCTCGGTCGCCCGCCACATCTCGCCGCACCCCGCATCTTGATGCGGGGCACCTTACCAATCCACCCGGGTGTACCAACGAGCGGCAATGCTCGATTCCTCTGAGAGGGAAGCTCTACCCCTGAGCTGATACAATATGCCAATGATTTTACGCCATCTACATACGAGTTGCGTCATGGAAGAGATATATAAAACCTCTTGCTCCCTCCGCGAAGCACCAACACCTAGGCACGACGGAAAGCACCACCAACCATGTCTGTAATCAAGAACGTCGTAGTTATAGCTGTATTCCACCTACCCTTCCTCTCCCTCAATTGCTAACGACCGCCAGTCCACTGGAAACCTGGGTCCGCCAATCGTGCGGGCCCTCGTCGCCGCAAACTTCAATGTCACGGCCCTCACGCGCGGCTCATCAGCCCCCTTCTCTTCGCCCGTCCAGGTCCACAAGGTAGACTACGAATCGGCGTCCTCCCTCGCTGAAGTATTCAAAGGCCAGGATGCGGTCGTGAGCCCCATCGCTACCGGCGGGCTCGGCATACAGAAGAAGATCATTGATGCTGCGGTCCAAGCAGGCGTGAAGCGCTTCATCCCCAGCGAGTTCGGTATCGACACGCGGAATGCGGAGGGCGGGCTTGGGAAGATCTTGAGCGCCAAGCAGGAGACTAGGGAGTATCTGGACAAGGTTTCAAAAGAGAATCCCGGGTTTACATGGACGGGGATCTCTACTAGCCTGTTTTTCGATTGGGTAAGTATGCTGCATCCAGCGTGGTGGGTGGAGGGGTTTAGCTAACAGTGTGAAATCGACAGGGCTTCAAATGGGGGTCTCTGGGTTTCTCCCTCCCGAACAAGACTGCCACCATTTTCGATAGTGGTAACGAGCCTTTCCATGCCACGAACTTGGATACCATCGGTGAAGCCGTCACTTCCGTCCTTTCCCCCGCCCACTTTGCTGCGACCGCGAATCGCTATCTTCTCATCTCCGGTGTCACAACTACTCAAAACGCCATCCTGTCGATACTAGAAGAAGCTACGGGCGAGAAATTCAAGGTGAGCCATGTGAGCACAGAAGACAGTCTTAAGACAGCGGACGAGAAGCTCGCAAAGGGTGATTTCTCTGCGTTTGGGGATTATCTGAAGGTGAGGCTGTTTAAGGATGGAAAGGGCGCCGCGAGGACGGCGACGGCGGAATTGGCAAACAAGGAGTTGGGGTTGAGGGAGGATGATGTGAGGGAGACAGTTAGGAGGGTTCTGAAGGTTTGAACACTTGTGTAATTTGTGGATTACCCAGGTGTAGTATGTCCGAGCTGAGCTGTACTTCTAAAATGGTGATACGAGATGCTCTCCACAAACCTCACTATACAGGAGGGCATGAGCGAGAATAAATGAATGTTTCCTGTGGCCACTACTTATGAGCGTCGCTGCGTTCTAACTGCGTACCTATCCAAAACTCGATATAAAGCAAACGTTTCCCCTCTGCAGGGAGAATGTCTCAATCTCGAATAGCTTTCAACAGCGAGAACCGGACAATTGAGCGGAAGATATACATTACCTCTACAACATGGTCCATATGCCTATTGCCATAGTGTTTTGGCGGTAGGGTTTCAATTTATTTTCTCACTCCTGGAGTTAAATGTATATTACTTACAAATAGACACAGCAGTACGACCACCGGCAATTTCAAAGTTGCCGAGTATAAAAAGTCCAGTATGTTTCCAAAGTCAACACGACTCTATTCGAGGCACCCTTTTGAGACACCCAGCATCCGATGACCAGGTAGTTTTGGATATCAATAGGGTAGGTAGGTAGGTAGGTATTCTCGATGAATCTTCGTTACATTATAGGATAATCGTCGAATGATTGAATAATTCATCGCTGCGAACTAGAATTATCATTGCGAATCCTTTTAAAATAACGATGAAAACACAACGAATCCGTATCTACGTTGTGAATACCATCCTTCGCAACGATAATAACCATCACTCACAACGATAATAACCATCCTTCGTAACGATAATAACTATCCCTCACAACGATATGTGGAAATAGCTCTTATAGTATTGGCTAAGGGTGTTCGGCAGAGAAAGATGTTACTACTAGTCCGCTACATGCCTGTTTCTATTTGTTCTCGACACAAAGCAATGAGCTGCACTAATCTTTAAATCGTCGACGATTATAGTATGAGTAGTAACTAGATAGTTCATTAAGAGAATACTATTAGCCTTATCCATCATGAACCTTTGAACAATACCATCCTAAAAGGTACTCTCATTCCAATTGATCGAAGTAGCCATTAGAATTGGTATTTCTTTGACATTCGTACCCCGGTTCAAAGTGCCACTGATCATAGACCAGTCGTAATGTCACAACGATAACAGGCTGGAAGACCTTCTTTCGAAGCTCCATATCATTCGAGAGTAGGTACGTGGAAGTGGAGATTTTGCGAGAAGAAGAAGAGGTGAGGTTATGGAAGTTGTTGCAAGGAGCTGACTAACCAACCAGGAGGATCGCCACAGCCTCATCTCACGCATTTGGAGACGACATTCCAAAAATAGGATCAGAAATTGGGGATCTCGTCTCAAACCATACGATATAAATCTCACTAATCGACTATTACTGCATTCTTTCGAAATGCTGCCCGTCCTCAATTTCCAATATATTCCGAGGGGTGAGACTATCTATAGCTTCCTACACACACGCACCCCACTGGCTCTGAACCTTAAGATAAGTGGGGCAGACAAATCCTACAGCCAAAAATTCCCTCCCTCCCGTCCTTCGCGCGCTCTTATATCCCGCAATAAGGAGCGATTTTCCAACCAACATCCAAGCGGCTTTAGCTCACTTGGGAGAGCGCCAGACTGAAGCCCACTTCAGACAGTTGAAATCTGGAGGCACTGTGTTCGATCCACAGAAGCCGCAAATCTGCGAGTCAAGGAAGCACCTTGATTATAATAGAACACTTTCTTTTTCTTTTTGCCATTTGCTGCTTTGGTTTTTATTATATAATCACGGGTATTCTGGTACCTTTTATTCCTCTTGCAGAATGATCGACCAACCAACCAACGAATACCCGAGCGGCTTTAGCTCACTTGGGAGAGCGCCAGACTGAAGTCAACTTCAGACAGTGAAATCTGGAGGCACTGTGTTCGATCCACAGAAGCCGCAACATCTGCGAGTTAAGGAGCAACCTTGACTACCTATCGAACAAACTTTTTGCCATCTTCAATCGTTGGATCTCCTAAAATTCATCTTTGTCTTTTTTTTTCTCTTTCAAATTTTTCTCAGGTTGTACTTATTCCTCTTGGGGACTGATATTCTAACAAATACCCAGGCGGCTTTAGCTCACTTGGGAGAGCGCCAGACTGAAGTTAACTTCGGATCATCTTATCTGGAGGCACTGTGTTCGATCCACAGAAGCCGCAACCATCTGCGAATCAGGGACCACCTTGATTATGGAACACAACTTATCATGATATCTTCTTTTTTTTCCTTTTTTTTTTCCTGGCTAGTTGTGCCAATTGACTCCTCCATGGTCTGTTGATTTTCCGGCCTGAAATTCAGGCCGTGATTGACATGTGTGTTTGCTTACCAAGAAGATAAGCGAGAATCCAGAAAGAAAGAAAATGAGACTTTACCTGTCTACTGCAGGTACCTATGGATATAGAATCATATCACGCCCTGTCTTTGGATTGATTCGATATTTGCTTCCATTGCTTTTAAAGTATAAAGACGACGTATTATCTGCTTCTCTTTACCCTACGTACCTTGTATAGTTTGAATCACCATTAACCACCGTCAGTATCAACATGAAAGTGCTGACAAGGTTGATGGTTAAATCTCTTATGTATTCAACATTAGACAGCACAAACTGCCAATAGTCTATATAACAATAGATAAATAGGCAGAGAAAAGAGAGAGAAAAATCCGTTCCCTGATATTCGTATCTCATGACATCGTGGGCGACCCCGCCCACACAAAAAGAAACCCCCAAACGCCCAGGTTCCCAATTCATCTAGGAAACACCTAGAGTGAACTCTAATATATAACACAGTAAAAGAAAATTCATACTAATAAGCCTTATTCAAACCATATCATTAGCACTCGAAGAATGAGGAAATGAATAAGAAAGAGAACATCCATAAAATGGATTATCAAAAAGAAAAATTTACAGGATCTAGACCAAGTGATTGGTCGTCGAAAGGTTGAGGAATGAAAATTGAAGAGGTTTCAGAGAACGCAAAAGGTTCATTCTGCGGAAAGGAAAAGTTGTCAAAGTTGTTTTGACCGCAGTTCATTTGCTGTGAATATTGAGGGAGACATTGCATGCTCTGCATGCTGAACGACTCGTTCGTTGATAGGGGATAAATGTTGAACGAGGTATCGGGGGTCGTGTAGATCGATGTGTCGAAACTTCCGCCAGCCATACTGTTCATCGCTAGTGGTGACGGTTCTTCAGGGATGTCGCAATTTTCGTCTTCGGATTCGTCTTCTTCTTGTTGGGATGCGGTTAATGGGTACTCTGCCAATTCCTCCACTTCCTTCATCCAATGCTTCAACTCTGGCATTGAGGGCCAATCACCTCCGGCCTTGCCGCCACGTTTATTCGCGTCGTCTACCTTGCTTGTCTTTGTGCGCCCCTTCGCTTTGGGGCGAAAGTGTGCACGACGAAGGTGAGCAGCGGCGTTGTAGTATGCATTGTATTTCTTCTTCTGTTGTGCACACGCCTTGCATCTTGAGAGGGGTAGGATAGGTTTGGGATGATCCAGACCAACTGGCTGGACGCAAACCCACTTCTTCACCACCTTCTTATGCTGTCGATCTTTGTGCCTTCGAAGCTCGTGCTCGCCGCGGAAACCATCAGGATGATCGTCACACTCGTTGCAATATACCCGATCATGCTTTGGTCGTTGATAAGTAGGTTTCGAGATAGCAATTTTATCTTGAGAGCCATCTTTCGACTCGAGGCGAGTCATTGATTGTGACGAATTATCTCGCAACATCGCATGTTCGTCGCCTTTAGGTGCGAGCGGTCGGGCAGCAGCAGTTTGAATTTGAGCCTTCAAGCGCTCCTTGCTTCGAGACGAGGATGACGATGAAGTACTTTCATTCGAAAGTGATTTCTCCATCTTCTCACCATTCTCACCAGAGAAACTAGGACAGTGAAATTGTGCCAGCTCTGCTGCAGTAGGAAAAGGATGTGAAAATTGGGAATGATGACTTGCCCCACCAAGGCCTCTAAGGAGGTGTGACTGTTCCTCATTCGAAGAACAACCACCTTGATGAGAGGATGTATAATGAAGAGTGACTTGATCAGATGCAGGATCATCGCCATTATTATCTGTAGAAAAGAACGAGGTGTTCGAATTGAACTTCATCATCTGCATACTTTCGAGCAAAGGTTCGTTACAGAGACTACTTTGTCGGCTCATGTTGCTCGTAAGAGTTGTTGCATTGGTGAGCGAGCCGCTAGTTGATGTCGTTGGGGTGGTCATGTTGTACGACTGTGGAGTACCGATACATGGTCGGGTTCGAATGGGCGTAGCAGAGGGGGGTATTGAAACGGGGGAAGGCGTGAGTGGGATTGAAGACGTTCGAGTTATCCATACGGCGGGATCCTCTCCAACATTCTCGAGGCCGTGCTCTATCTCTTGTCTTTGTTGCGATGGCGAGCATTGTGGCTGATAGGTATAACACGGGCTCCATGGATCAACGGGCATTTCCTGAGAGGAATCGGAGATGAGAGATGGTGGCATAGAGCCGGTGAAGGCGAAGTTACAATATTGAGGCGAAGTTGATCCTTTGGAGCTCGTTCTTGCCATAGAATATGCGGAGCATTGGGATAGGCTTCTTTCGATCCGGTCCTATATGGTGTTAGAGCGGAATGAGGATGCAAGGCCAAATGGGAACCATACACCTGATAGCTGCTGGGCCATGGTGGTTCCATAGTTAGACATGCCTCGAGGGACATCTCTTCGACGTTGTTGGTGTTGCTTGTGGATAGGAGATCGATGAGGTTGTGAAGTAGGAGTACTGGTAGGAGCACTGGACGAATGGAGCGAGGCAATCTCGGCCTGGAGCTCTGCTTGTTTGGCCAAGAGGCATTTGAGACGTTGCTCGTCAGCAGCGCTCATCCTTTGGTCGAAGGACATATTGGATGATTCTCTCTGGTGTTATGACTGAAGATTGGAAGTGTTAGGTTGCGTCGAAGTTGGAGAAGCTCGAACGCCTGCAGCCTCGTCTGGTCAGCGAATGGTGCATCTGCAGAGGAAGCAGCAAGGTGGAGATCTCTCCACTTACGGATGATAGAGGATGTTATTGCAGGATAATGAGGATGAAGATAGTTCGCCCTTGACGAACCTGTGCTGGACTGGAGAACGAAGGCAGCATATAATAAAGTAAGGCGGAAAATGAGGAAGGGGGATGGATGGGCAGACACAAACTAATGTACTTGGTTGGGACTGGGTAAGACCAAGCACCTAGGTAAGCACCACGACTTGGGGCACCGACCGAATTGGGTGCGATCTGTACGGCAGGTGCTGTGTAGTTAGTAATATGTGGTTAGCAGGTAGATTGTACTCCGTATATGTGGTCTCGATGCCTGGGGGTCCCGGAGAGGTGAGGCCGTGGACCCTGGGGGACCTGTTCTGGATGGATGGAAGAGGATCAATGAGATCGACCAGTCGTGTGTCGTAGAGCCCGGGCTTAATCATAGATTACTCAGCAGTCGCCGGCCGTCTACTCGTCTGAGTGGTCGACTCCAACATCTCCCTCTCATCCCCATCATTCGCTGCTTGAACCCCGGCTGGGCCAGGCAACCAACTCGCTTTCCCAGCTTCTTCTGCTCACCAGCCGGGCGGGCCTCGAAGAGACACAGAAGCCAGGCGAATGATCGAAGCCGCCGAGGTCGAAGGATGGAATAGCGAAATAAAGCTCGCATTCCATTTGCTGTATTGGGACTGCCCGTCCCTACATCATCCATGCCAAACGACACCAAATAATGACCAAGTGACCACAGATGCCCGCAACCGAGACGTTAAGGTTTCAATAATGGAGCAACGAATCAGGGCCGCTGGCAGATCTTGCTTGTGGGTGCGCTTCGATCCGACTGGCACACTCCCCCGGTCTCTCCAGCGTGGAAAGTGAGGCAAACGCACGCTTGCACGCCTCACTGCAGACCGTCCGTTGATTGCTTGATCACTGATGATTATTCGAGCTCTGCTATTATTCGACAATACCGTATCAATGTACGGAGTACTACAGTGACTTTACACCAAGCCATTCAACCCGTGTGCTCAGTGAATGAACCCTTGTCCCGCCACGTCAACCATCACCATCACCCATACTGAAGACAGACTCGTACCAGGTTGTATGAAGCCGTTCGTGGACAGTGGCTCAGCTGTGCCTCCCTCCATCTTCCTCAACGGCTGCGTTGGAACCAACCAGGGCATGGCATCCTGTACTGACGACAATGCCAGCTCGAGTAGAAATGGACGGAAGCCACCTTGCTGACAGGCGTTTTTCGAGGTGCATACCATCTGCAACACTATACTGAGCCGCCTCCAAGGAAGATGGAGTTTCGAGCCTTGGAGGTCGTACCTCTGCGCGAGGGCGTGTCACAAGTGCAGAATTCAATGGTTTGGTTCATGCCCGATGCTTCGCTGGCAACTTTTGCCCGGTCAAGAGCCCCTTGGAAAGGCATCCTTTCACTCTCGACGGAAGACTAGGTAGATTAGGGTGGCATAGGATAGGGTGCTTGGACTGGTTCTCGGCACAAAGGTTGGGACGAGTTCAACTGAGATACGACTGTTAGCTACGGATGTATGATAGAATCTTCACTTGTCCCGTCCCTGATGAAAAGCTTAGTAGGCCGATGCCTAGTGAGAGGTGTACTCTGAACTGCGAGTCTCTGATTGTCCTCGTCGCCCACCTCCTCCCGTTCTTCCCCCCCTTCTTTCTTCTCGAGATGACGCTTGACAACATTAGAAGCTCCAAGATATGATTGTCTCTCAGATCCACAGAACTAAGGCTGATAGGCAGGTTGCTAAAGGATAGGTACCTACCTGTACCTCACCTTACAGAATAACCTGGAAGGTACCGTATTGGGCGGAAATCACGTGAACTTCTCGGCGAGATGTTAAAGCGATCCGCACGCTGTTCCTCAGGCTGCGACATGTCATATCGGCCACTTGGATCATTTGGTGACAGCTTGTGATAACCCCAACAGTCTCCTGAATGAATCCGTAATTCTGTCCGCAATTGCCATATGGCAGAATGCGTCGAATTCTTACGGCCTTATTGGCTTCAGCTTCAGTAGCTCTAGCAAGTCAAAATGCCTTCAGCGTGCACGATGACTTGCTTGCATTTCCTCAGGTACATTAATCCTCCTACTTCATGTACAGAGCTAACAAGCACAGTATGAGGTGATCTTTTCCAATTCCCTCATCTCAGAGACAGATGCGAATCATATTCTCGACCATGCCTCCTCAGCAACCCAAGGCCCTCGAAACTCCAACACAAAGAGTATAGAATCCAACAGTCGCATCGCCGACTCGGACACTGGCCACGTCTTCGACCCGACACATGAAACCTACGAACTTATGCACCTGGATGGCGAACCATACATTTGCGCTATTCCCATCGTTGACCCACCGATTAAGAATGAGACTTCAGAGGCCGAAGCACGGGCTGCAGAGCAAAAAGAGCTTGCCCGTGCCACTGACCGCGGTTGGGAGCTACTGCAAGATCTGGAAGGCAATTGCCTCTATTACGTGTCCGGCTGGTGGTCGTATTCGTTCTGTTACAATGCCGAAATCGTTCAGTTCCATCAACTTCCTCCACAGCCCGGAAAACCTTTGATACCGCCCCAGAGAGATCTTACAACTAAACAATATGTCTTGGGAAGGGCTAGGCCGAGTCAGAGCAACGAAGATGAGTGGGGGAATCAGGTTGATGTGCGTAAAGGGAAGAAAAACGACGATCCACCAAAAACAGAATTACAGATTAAAGGGGACACGAGATATTTGGTGCAGAAGATGGAAGGAGGCACCACTTGCGATCTTACGGGGAAGCCGAGACGTGTCGAGGTGCAATATCATTGCAACCCTCATGTCACAGATCGAATCGGATATATCAAAGAAGTAACGACATGCTCGTACCTAATGGTTATTTACACACCTCGCCTCTGCAACGATGTCGCTTTCATGCCACCGAAAGAGACCAAAGCCAACCAGATTCTCTGCCAAAACATCGTCCCCGACGATGAACTAGCCGATCGCACCGAGCTCCAGATCTTAGAAGCAGAACTCGATAGCGCGATCGCCAAAGCTGAGAAGCCCATCAACATCGGCGGACTGGTCCTCGGTGCTGGCAAATGGGCTGGAAAGGAAGGGCAGCGAATGCCAATCCCAGCTAACTTCGGACAAGAGCCTCTAGGGCGTTCAGTTGAGATTATTGCCCAGGCGAAGAGCAAGGCAGATGGTGGACAGATCGAAGTGGTGTCTGATTCAGATTTGGAGAAGCTGGACCTTGATCCTGATATGGTGGATGATTTGAAGCAGGAGGTTCAGAAAATGGCGAAGGATCGGGGATGGAAAATCGAGGTCATCGATGCTCCGGGGCAGGTTAGGGAGATATTGGGGATCGTGGATACAGAGGACGAGGAAGATGAGGGTGGGGCAAGTGAAGAGAATGAAGGGAGTCAGGAGATCTATAAGGATGAATTATGATACTCTTTCGCACATGAGGCATTCACGATTTGATGCTATTACCGTGACCCTGAATGTCTGGTTCCGTTTGACTTCGCCTATACATACGATGCCTTACAGCTTACTGGTTCAGGAAACGACGTGGGACGTCCAGCTTTCTCCTCAAGCAGTGGAATTCATCTGGCATCATTCTCACATTTCGTGCGAACATGCTGTACGCTCATGTCTGCTAATACCGACAACTCGCAGCGCGCTGCGGTTGGGCGAGGTTCTTGCAGGGTGCCGATTTCCGCGGCCGTGAAATACGAACTCCTACGCGGTCTGACACAGCCCTTGACAACTTCTTGACAATTACTACGTAAGCCAGTCGCACCATGACCGAGCCCATCTTTGCATGATCAGATCCGACATAACAGAAGTCTTGTTGTTAGGAATAGCCATATCAGTGGTAGACTCGTGGTGAGAGAGACTCGAAGGAGCCAAGGATGTAAGCTTGTGGTTAAATCAGTGATGGCCCTGCTAATGCACTTATTGAAACCTCAGATTGCTGCGCCCGAGAGCTGAGCGGAGGAATCTCTCTGGGGAATCCTGAATACCAGAAAAGGGCAATGTAAAGTGTGACCTCCAACATTCTTCTATGGAGTATGTATGATGGGGGGTCAGGTCAGGATCCGGGTCGACTCGCTAAGTAGGCGAAGCCACGAATTACTCGCAGCGAAGGATTGACCTTCATTCACAGCCCTTCATTCACAGCCCTCCACCATCCCAACAGTAGTGGGTGCACTGAGGAGCCTCTATCTAAGACTCCAAGTGGACGATAATGTGCGATCCCACCTTACTCATGCAATCATGACGCGCAATTGCCCTGCCCTCTCCGCACGCCGAACCAGGGTGCCACGCTCACATCCTGAAACCTCAGGGCCTTTAAACTCTTTTAACTTTTGAGCCTCATGCTATTCCCGGGTACGAGCTTGACGCATGAGATCCCAAAGGATGCTGTATTGCTGCTGAGACTGGATGAGCCTCACTTGGTTCCCCCTTGGTAGGGCAATATCATATCACTATGTTGGTTTGATTGCAGATTTGGATAGGGATCTTCACATATATATAGACGCCAACTCCACTGTTGGTCGAGCTATTCATTCTCTTCAGCATCTCCTTCTCATCTTTTCTTTTGTCATATCTTTGTTGCTTTCTTTTCATCAGCGAGCATCAGCATCAGCAACGTTTACTCGATACCTAGCTATTTCTCTTTCCTGCTTTATCTCATCTCGAAACGACCCCACACGTTCATCACACGCGATTTGCACAATGCATCTCAACAAACAACAAATCGCAGCGCTCGCGATAGCGCTCTTCTCTTCGAGAGCTCTCTCGTCTGGTGTCGGAGCAGTCCCGGTCCCCAAAGAAGTCAGTTCCAGGGACGTTTCCACTGCGGGCAGCGTCGCCGGAGATGTGGATGGCATACACAACAATGTCGAAAGTATACTCAGACGGGACCCCGAGCCGAAGATTAGATTCGGCGATGTGGCCAATGGTGCTAGTGCTGCTAACAATGCTGTCAGCTCTGCGGGGGGTATTGCGGAGACGGTCCATGGATGGTGGGATGAGTTAAAATCTCACCTCAAACGTGACCCTGAGCCGAAAGTTGGTCTTGGAGATGTGGCCAGCGGTGCTAGTGCTGCTAACAATGCTGTCAGCTCTGCCGACGGTATCGAGCAGACGGTCGAGGGATGGTGGGATGAGGCTAAGTCTCACCTCAAACGTGACCCTGAGCCGAAAGTTAGTCTTGGAGATGTGGCCAACGGTGCTAGTGCTGCTAACAATGCTGTCAGCTCTGCCGATGGTATCGAGCAGACGGTCGAGGGATGGTGGGATGATGCTAAGTCTCACCTCAAGCGTAACCCAGAGGCCAAGTTCGGTCTGGATGAAATCGACGGGGATATCACTAAGGGTATAGATGGCATCAAGAATTTTTTTGACAACAACAATCAGGACCAGAACCAGCAGCAGCAGCAGCAGCAAAAGCGTGAACCAGAACCCAAGTTTGGCCTCGAGGAAATCGCCAACCTCGGTGAGGATGCCATTAACGGTGTCGAGGGCATGTTTGGCCACAAGAGCCAGCAACAACAGCAGAGCCAAGAACAGACCAAGCGTGACCATGTCACAGGTGGCGCAGACGGCATCGCACAGCTCGGCGAAAACGAAATGGACACTTCCACAACCGAAACTCAGCCCAGCAAACGTGAGCCCAAGGGCGCTTTGGATACAGCGAACAAAGCAGCTGGCGGTCTCGACGCAGCGAACAGCGTCGTGAATGGCATTGAAGAGGCTAAGGAAAAGATCGAGAGCTGGTTTTAGGAATGCTCTTTCGATTCGAAGCTCAAGGAGTATTGTGAAAATGCTCTCAATGAAATTAGGGACTCTATGGCTTTCATCTCTAACGACGTCGAGGGCGGTGCCGAAGCCTAAAATCCTCGTCAGCCCTTACACCTCTTTGCGATGAAGTCGTCTGAGGATCTGTTTTCATATCCATTTCTTCCTCTCTTTCGTCTGGTTCCTTTCTCTCGTCTGCCTCGCTGTATATATCCCTGAGGCTTGTACTTCTCGAGTTGTACGTCTGGAGTTTCACATCTGCATGGCAAAGGAGTTCCGCGTTGGGCGTTTTTATAAAAAGGCTGGCGTTTTCCGGGAGTTCAAAATTCTTCCTTTTCTTTTTCTCCTTCCTCTATTCTCTTTTCCTTCGCTCCTCTGGAGAGGAGAAGCTGCCGAGCTTGTTTTCTGTATCAATAGCATCTGCTTTCTAGGGTTGGGGCTTTGAATCTCTCTTGGTTTTATCTGGGCGTTTGTTTCATGGGCTTCTTTCCTCTATCTCTCGGTCTGTCGGTTTCCACGTTTTGCCAATTTCTGAGCATTGGCCTGCGATTTTGCGAAACACTTGTTGTGCAATCCTTTTTTGGTCTTGTGTATAGCATAGCGATACAAAAGCATTGATTCCTACTTTCATCTTTCAATCCCAATTTCCCTCTATCTATTATGAATGCAATGTTGAGACCCATTCTAATGACCTCTTATTATCGAAACGATACTAGTCAACTGCAAAATGATGGAAAATCATATTTGATTGATAACATATAAAGCGTAGGCGATGAGCAAGTCAACTAACTCACTAGTCCTCGGCATCTGTTCACTTTTTGAGAAAAAGATAAAAAATGAAAGAGGAAAAAGTATATAGGAAAAGAAATCGAAAAAAAAAATGAACAAAAATACGAAAAAAAATGTATTCCATACCAGGGAGTCGAACCCTGCGCTACCGCGAACAATCTGTGCGATTACACACATGAGAGGCGGAAATGTTACCGATACACCAGTATGGAGTACCCGTTCCGTTTCATTCAGATACGCTCCAACCCCAAGAAGTAGAATATCAAGAATCAACCCTAGTGTATATGCGAGGAGCAGGACTTAGTTCTGCATGCGGATGCCTCATATGGAATATAGATCGGTATTGGATGGATGGATGGATGGATGGGGCTGCAGCGAATGGGCTTGGGTAAGGTAAGGTAGGTATGCTTAATTTCTTGTAAGATGTGCATCCTGTAAGGAAGTAGGGTTTGGTTTATTCAAGACAGAAGATATATGCCAGAGAATGTAATTGTGTGTTTCAGGAAACCTGGACTTATATGGACATGTTGAGAGGAGGAAATAGATAGATGAACAATCAATCCTTGGCAAATATGAAGAAAGCACCAGCCATTCACATATCTATAAAAGCATCAATCAACACTCGACCATGTCCCCTCCAAACCCTGCATTTATACTCCCGTTGATTAAAATCATGTGTTGTCATGTTGATATCAGATTCTCTTGTAAGGATTATTCAAAACGTAAACCCCACGCCCACCTCCCCCTCCGTCTTTTTTTATCTATCGTGATACAATCATACACCAATTCCAACACTCCTCACTACAAACAAGACGCCCATGTATGCATATGCAGAGATCCGCCCAGCGAAAAAGGGATATCCAATAGAATAAATGGCTCGAACGCCAACGTTTTGGTCAATGATATCTTTGAAATCAGAGAAAAGAAGTAGAACACCTCTATCTGTCGCCCCAAAAAACTTGCTGTCTAGGAGGCACCGATGCTTTGCGACAGACTTGATTTTCCATGTCCTTGTTGTCGTTTGAGCGCTCGGAGTTCCTCTTCGACTTTGCGCCTCTCTGCTTGTTCCGCCTGCGCTACGTCAGTATCTCCAATTCAAGATAGGAAGTAGATAGGGTGGGAAGAAAAAACATACCCTCAAAGCCCTTGCGTTCTCCGCTCTCGTGTCTCTCATCATCTTCTTGAATTCGTTCTTCAGTACCGTCGTGCTCGTACTGCCTGGTCCGGAGCTTTCACCACCCTGGTTCTTCATGCCCAACCAGCGAACATTCTCATCACTCAACTGGCTCTGAAGGCTCTCTTTCTCATCCCTCAACTTATCAATTGTCTCCTCCAGCTTCTCTCTGTCCTTCTCCCACTCGATACTTGCTTTCGTCATTATTTCGTACTCCGTAATCGTCTCTTCCAATTCCTTTTTCAATGTCCGCAGCTGCGCTTCCGACTCCTGTGATCCTTGGCCTACGGCTGCAATGGAGGCTGTCAGTTGTGCTATTTCGGCCGTCAGAGAAGCGTTCTTCTTCGTTAGGTCGTCGATCTCTTTTTGGATGGCTGGGTTGGCAGCAACCTCCGCAGCCCGCTCAGCCCGTGACCCGTAAGCGCCATCAAGCTCAGCACGTGCGATCGTGACCTCTGTCTGAAGACGTGCAAGATCAAGACTCAGACTGTCCACCTCCCGCTCCTTCGCTGCTAACTCTTCTTCCTTCTGCTTAACCACGTTCTCGGCCGTCGCTTGAGCTGCAGCCGCAGCAGACAATTCTGTGGTCAAGACTGCAATCCTGGATTCCATCTCCGAAATCCGAGTTTGGATTTCAGCATTGCTAATATTGTGGTCGTCCTTGAGCTCTTGAAGTTGATCTTCGAGTCTGGCGATCGTTTGCTCTCGCATCTCGATCTCGGCTTGGGCCGCGCGCACGGCTTCCGAATCGCTGCCAGACCGCTCTTGTTCCCGTAGAAGTTCTTGTTGATGTGCTTGGTCGAGCTTCTCCATCACGACACTGAGCTGCTGGCGCACGTTATCGGCATCAGTTTCGGCCCTCATAAGTGAGGCTTTTGTCCTTTCCAGCTCCTCAACCCTTTGAACTATCTCGGCATCCTTCGTGGCATCCGATTTGCTGTTCAATTCCCGTTGTTGCTTGATCTGGCGTTGCAGAACCTTCTTCTGCTCCTTCAGTCGCGTGGCCTGCGAATACAGCCATTGAACCTTGGTAGAGAATGCTTGAAGCGAGAAGGGTTCATTCGGATCGTCACCCTCGTCAGGAGAATCCTCCTCATCCTCCGGAAGCCCATTCGCAGATCTCGCCATTCTTCTCTCTTCTCTCTTCCTCCTCATATCCTGCTCGCCAGACTGGATGATATCCCAAAGACCCGTAACCACTGTCTCCATCTGTCCAGGGTCATCCGTTGCGGCTTTCTTATTTCCAGCATTTGCGAGTTCCATTTCGACCGCCCCAATGCTGTCTTGGAAGTATAATAGTTGCTGCTCCAATCCGCTTCCGGTAGGTTGGGGTGGCTCGGGGCGATCAGGGACATATGGAAGGAGGAGAGCCCGAACTTCGTGGTTGAGTTCCTCGATTTTTTCTTCCATGGCTCTTTCCGACTCCAGCTGATGTTTAGCTGACTGGCTATGTTCCTCATCGATTGCTTGTATGCTCTTTTCCAGATAGTCCAAGTGGCTCTGGAGTGTTTCTCCAGGATCTGCAGCTCTCCCTTCAGGGGTTGTCTTCGCAAGCGGTGGAAGGCTATAACTATTCTGTCGTTGAGGGTTCGCTTTGATGATAACATCCCTGAGCCGTGTATTAAGATCCTCCAAAGTCTGTTCCGTCTTCGATATCAGTTGCATCTGCTCTCTTGCCTGCGACCTTGGCGGAGGCCCATAGCTATCTCTACCATCTAGATCGCCGCCATACGCATCGAGTCGATCCGCAGCTCTGTAAAAGCTCCTCTCGTCGAAAAGAATCTCGTCGGTGATTGGCTCCAAGCTGATCCTCGCATTGTGGTAGGTGTATATGCTTTCTGGACTCCCGGGCATGCCACTCTGTTGTGGCCCTGACCCTTTTGGCATATTCTTAGGGCCCTTATGCGTCATTTGTAGAATGCCAGCTGTATGCTTTAACAATCGGCTCTGCGGCTCCATCAGTCTCTTCTCCAAAGACCACAGTTCCGCTGCCAGCTCCTCGCATTTCTTCTCGCTCTGCAAACGCTCCAGATCTGCCTGTTTGATAGAATCGCTCTTATGATGCATGGCGCTCGACCTCGAATTGTTGCGCTCTCTCCTCTCGGAAGGATTGTACAGCTTCGCCATTGAGACCGCTGCGTCGCGGTATTTGGATTGTATCGCGAGGCTCTGTCGCGTTTGCTCGATGCGTTGGGTAATGGACTGGCATTGTTTCTTCAGGTCGTCGACTTCTTCGGGGGAGAGCAACTCGAACTCCTGACTGTCGCCCAGCGCTGTTTCGACGAGGAGGTGGACTTGGATGGGGTCGTTGATATTGAGCAGCATTGAGCTTTGCGGTCGAGAGGCATTCATCTGTTGAGGCGCGCTATTAGATCCCACTCTTCTGCTGTCGCAAATCGAGTACTCACAGGATTATACAGAGGTTTTTCTCCCTCAAACCCATTCATTATGTCGTTCCTGTATCCCTCTAGGATTACCGCATCAGTCGGACCCTGAAGATCCATTTTCTGAAAGTCGATCCTTCCGCCGGTCTGAGGTCTCAGATTGGCCCCCCTCGGCGCGCTTTGAATTCCCGAGTCATATCCAGCTGGCGAGTCATTCCCATAACCCACACCTGGAGACAGTATGTGGGGGAGCACCTTTCCACCCATCGTGTCTCCTGTTCTGCCCTGTCCGGCCAAAAATCAAACCAAATCCCTTTATCGTAACTCGCTCGTCGGCGCTATCGCATCGCGAAGGTTGGTGAACAAGCCAAGGTGTGCTTTACACTGCGAAGAGGATACCTCCCTTCACACCGTGATATCAGATCGCCACGAATCCTCCCTTCTGGCCACTGGTCGTTGTTGCACTCTCGTTTTCTCGTTGGGAACGTCGATTCGTTTGCCCTGCCGTCTCCCGACCTCCCTTTTTCTGGTATGCCTTCCCTGGTTGTCGCAGCGCCAATTCCGCTCAATCCCAAAATCGTGCAAAGGGAAAAGGACCGTAATGAATATATAGCACAAAGGGAAAGGGAGCAAGGAATGTGAATTGAAATGAATTTTGCAGACAATTTCACGGAGCACGGCGGCTCAACGTGAAGCAACGGACAAGTGGAGAACAATTAAAGTTCCTGGTAACTGGACACTGGACGCTGGACTCACCAAGCTTACGCAGGGGTAAGTCCGAGCGAGAGATATTGGCGGGAGCTGTGGCTGGTGTGAGGCTGTGCTCGCTCATTCAGGGGGCGCTGTACTGGCGGTCACCTGACCTATGTCACCTGACCTGTGTCTCCAGGCTCAGATCTCTCTCCTCCATGTTGTCCTTGGATGGTTTACGCGGAGGTCTGTCTCTTGCACTATGTTTTTGTGTCAGAGAGCGCCATATATGGTAACAAGCGTGCCATACTTCTTTGCTTTTCTTATTCATGGTACAATAATATGTAGCCAACTCACAAGGGAGGTTCAGGACCCGATGCCCTTAACGTTGTAATAATACAGTAAAAGTACTGACTACCTTGCACTACCTTCTCATCCACCCAAGCTCATCCATCTATTGATGTTTAAAGTCAACGTATGGCAGCCCGCGTGCTCTCCAACGCCACCCTCCTAGCTGGACGCATAGGGCTGTCAGCAACACCCCACCACCCCCTCCTTGCGCTCTCGCTACCATTCATCATCTCGGAATACCTACCAGACCTCATAGTCCCATTATTTAGTCCCGGCGTTCTCACATCCTCCTCGACCTCAACCCCACAACAGATGAAACAAAGACCGCTCCCACCTCTATACCATACCTTATCAATTCTTTCCCGGAAAGCCTCCAGCTTGCATTTCCAGCATTGGAAATTCTCGTTCGAATGAGGAAGGAGTGTGCCGCTTTCGGGTTGAGGGGACAAGGGAGTTGGGGAAGGGGATGGAGCCAGAAGAGCGCCCGTCATGAGATGGGTGGCCGAGAAATCGGAGAGTTCCCCGGTCATTGGAGTTGTATCAAGGATGCCCCAATCAATATTGAGATCGTCGCGTCGAGAAGACGCGCTGGAAGAGGGGTGAGTCGGCGAGGGTGGGAAGAGATTGGGTAATGATGCAAGAGAGCTTTGACGGATGAGAGGGTTAGAGAGGATAGCTTGGTATTCGTTGCCTGGCGTCGAGGTGTTCGTATGGTTGAGGTATTTGAGTGCTGCGTGTTGACCTTTGCGGTGGGGACATTGTCTTCGGTTTTCCGGAGTGCTTGGCCGCGAAGGTGTATTTGGAATTGGGGATGTAGGTTCTACTTGTACCGTAGGCAGAGGGGGGTTGTGAGTTGACTCGACTGCGGTCTGGAGAGCAAGCATCTCGGAGTCTCGGGCTGTAGCTGAAGGTGTAAAGCGAACTGACTTGCGTTGGCCGGTGGGCCTGCTCAATATAGACTCTCGTGGAAATGGATCGACAACCGCTACTGAAGCATTGTTAAAAGGATGTTGATCGATACGGCCATATACGCTTTTTGGTGGCCTGTATCTTGCGGTCCTTGGTATCTGACCTCCTACTGGAGCTGATACTGGCCGGCCTGCAGGTGCTGGATTGGGCACTCTGCTTCTAGATGGTTGAATGCCAAAGAATCGTTGTAATCGATTTGAAGCCCCTCGTGTGATGCTTGATCGCCGCTGAGGTGGGCGAAGTTGGTGCTCGGTCCAAGACGGCATACCAGGAGGGGTTGGAGGTCGTTGCGGCGGTTCTTGAACGGGAGTCTTCGGCCGTGCATATATCTCGTGTATTGGCAAAGGTTTCTGTGTGGTTCGCTCGATCATGGCAACCGCTTGATGATAAGAGCCTTTTACTAAGTTCCGGTCGTCGAGGCTGAGAGACTTCTTGCGCCGGGGACTTTTAGATACAACAAAGCTATCTCGGTGACCTAGGAATGGGATACGGTGCAGTTCGTCCGCAGACTTTGCACGTGCAAATATTCTCATCGACCCGTGGCTGTTCTGCTCTGTGATAGTTTCGAGGACGGTACCTCGACCATAAAGAAACTGTTTATCGTAGACGCCAGATGAAGTTGCGGGTTTCGGTCCTACTCTGCTGTTCTCGTCATTTTCTCGACCTTGAGTAGATGATGCCGGCTGATTATGGCCTGGCAGAGTTCTCATAGGCCATGATTCGACAACTGCGCTCTCATCGCTATTGGTAGTTGAGTGGTAGTATGCTTCAAATATCGAACCATGTGGACTTGGGGACTCTTCAGAAGAATCCACTCGGCGGACGAAGGAGCTCTTGCGACGTATCTGCTTGGTAGGTGTCACAGAAGAACTTCTCTTAGGAATAAGCGGAATCCTCAGCCCGGTTTGCGGGAAAACATTGTTTTCCGGGGTGATATCTATGTGCCCATCCATCGTGACTATCCAAAGGAAGACAAGAGAAACTGCGGGCTCTCAATTGATGCAAAGACAAGCTTTACTGAGGCTTCAATAATCAAAACATGCTGCTATGCATATCGTTGTCCGTGATCAGTAGAAATAAAGGAAGAAATTTGGAAGAAGTTGCCATAATAAAACCTTTTTACTTTACAGGTTTTGCTGTGTTTGTGGTAGAAGCCAATCTGCCTTGTGCCTTCCTTCCCCGACGCCAACGCTATGATAATCGCAAGAGAAACCACATCAACCCAAGCTCATGATGTGTCTATTCCCTCAGAAGCCAAGGCCTTCTGATATTCCCTTGTTGCTTTCTGTAAAGTCTTGATGGTTGGTTCCATCATTTGTTTCACTACTAATTCGCCACCCCCTACGGAATTCGCATTCCACTTTAACTTCTTTCCAGTTTGCTCCCAAACATCCCTGATATGCTGTTTCTGCTTCTGGATGATCTCCTCTCTCTCCTTTTCGGCATCGGCAGCGACTGCATTGATCCGATCCATGGCTCGCTCAAGAGTTTCTACCATTTTAGCAAGCTCCCCAGCACGGTCAGGATCGCCAGAGAGGAAGATCAACCAGAAATGATGAAGAAATTCGGTCGTAGTTGCATGTGTCAATGTCAACCTGTCGAATAACTTCTGGGATAACCCCGCCATGGCGTTTTGAGAGCTTAAACCATCGATATCGATTCGTCGCGCAGCAACACCCTCCAATATCTGCTTTTGAGCGTCCATTCGACTGGCCTTGCTACCAACGTGCGCGACCTTTTCTTCTTCGTCTTCCTCACTATCACTGTCTTCCAAAACGCCAATCGCAGAGCGTAGGTCTAACCCACCAGCAGCATCGCTATCCATGATCGTGGGATCAAGATCACTCTGCAACTCAAGCAGCACTTCTGAGGGCACTTGTTTTGCATATAAGGCCGCCTCTGAAGACATTTCAGTTTTCTCATTCGAGAAAAACTGAGTCTGCTCTTTGATGTTCAGCATGATGCGGTTTTCTTCCGCGTCTCCTTGTAGATCCCGGAGTGCTAGCGAATTGAAAGTCTCCTCATCCATACCAATTGGGTTGGCAGGGTCTATATCAGAAGGGGCAACATGGGCCATGATCTTCTCACTCAAGCTGTTGAGGGTGCGAACAATCGGCACCTTGGCCGCCGAGCCTGGCCTCATGGTGAAGTCCTTCCGGTTTCCGCTCTTAACACCACCTTGATTCTCTTCGTTTCCTTCGAGATCGATAATATGAGGGACATGGCTATCAAGCAATCTCTTGGATAGGCCATCGTCATTGCTGGCGTCAAGATATCGGTCGAAGGTAGGATCAGTGCTGTCTGCCTCAGTGATGCGTTCGCCTTTCAGCTTCTTGAATAATCGGCTGAGGAAGAATCGCGACCAGAACTCCATCTCGTTAAGTTTGGGGACATTTTCATCGTATACGCGTTTCACTAATGGATGTTGACTAAAAATAAGCTGGACTTGCTCGGCGCTGATGTTCATCTTGAGCTCCCCATCGACCTGGCGTGGCTTCACCGCAGACAGAACATTGTAAGCTCCCCTCTTCTGATGCGTTTCAACGGCGTGTGCCCGCAATATATTCGTGCGGGTAGACCAAAACTGGGAATTGAATTGAGAGTCAGAAATGGTGTCTGGCTTTGTCCGCCTTGCCTCCATGTAAGTTCTGTGCAGAGCCGGGTCCTTCTTCATGAGCGACTGCTGCAATTCGATGTCTGTCTTCAGCTGCGCATCATCATACCATCGATTCGTCCCAGACTTGACGGCACTGGCGATGGCCATCGCAGCCGATGCGGGAGCAGCACCATTTGCTCTGGGCACACTGGCATCAGCAGCCTTGGCCGCGCTGATTAGGTTGGTCAAGACATCTTTGATGGCATTTGCTTCCCCTCGAGGATTCGCAGGGGAGTTGAAGTGAAAGAGATGAGTGACCGGCTCAGCTGCATCAGGTGACTTTTCAAAGATCTTCAGCATCACCTTTGCTGCGGACTCGGGAGTCTGTTGCAGATCTATGAGGCATCAGTACCCATCGTGGCAAGTCAATAATACGCGTCCATGAAACATACTGGTAATATCCGCAACTTTGATGGTCACGCTGGGAGCGTCTTGGCTCTGGATAGGGATCCATAGGATGGATGTTTGATCTTTGGAGATGCTCAGGGTGCCGTCTTTCTTCTTGTACGCAGCCGATCCTCTGGCGTTCGGCATCACTTTTGAGGACGCCATATCTTAAATATCCAGAATCTCTATCTGCTTCATCAGAAGGCCGCAGCGTCGTCGTGCGCAGCAATGATACTGAGCAAGAAGAGATAGATGATGAGCAGCAGCCTCAAGACCGCCCTGCACACATTTCTCACCAGCCTCTCCTCTCCTCTCCTCTCCTCTCCTTCGGCGCTGGTTCACGAGAATCTTCTGTGGCGGCAGCTCTGGTGCAGACGGGGGATTTCTATCAAATATATCTTTCTTTTACCTACCTTACCTTACAGCAGTATGCCATCCATCCATACCAGAGACACAAACATCGGCTATTTCTTGTCCATGACTCGGGATCTGCCGAATGAGTGAAGCGATCCAGGCCTGCTGACATAATCCTGACATAATGATGGCGGCAAATAGACCCACGTGACCAACGGGCCCCGGGATCTGCCACATCGCTCCGGAGTTGCCGCCTCGGATTAAAGGCATCGGCTGATGAATTCGCCCGCCGCAGCCAATCAGCCCCCGCGCCGTCAGCCGGGTGATGTTTGATCCTGCCGGTCCCGAGGGCGCGATTTATTTCTTGACGCATTGCTTCAGCTTCAGTCTCGTAGAAGACTTCCTCCATTTCCTTCCTCTGTCTCAACCTCATCCCTATCCTATCCCCGCCACCCTGCGTGGATTCTCGGTCTCTTCTATTGTTGAAACGGTCGTTGGACCATTTCCCTCTGTACTGGCCGGCGCAATGCTTCGATCATCTCTCCGGCAGAAGAGCAGCCAGCTCCTGAAAGCTGGCTGTTCGGCCAGATCTCTCTCTACCACAACTTCTCGCGCTTCCTTAATATCTTCAAATGCCTCCTCGACAACCGCCCTCGCCTCTAAACGCCGCACCCTCGCTGTCATCGCGCAGAAGAGGTATGCTGCCACAGAGGCGTCGGCTCCATCTACCAACGACAACTTCCTCTCCGGAAGTACCGCCAACTACATTGATGAGATGTACATGCAATGGAAAGAGGACCCATCCAGCGTGCACGTCTCGTGGCAAGTTTACTTCAGGAATATGGAGAGCGGTGATATGCCCATGTCGGAGGCTTTCACTCCTCCTCCAACTCTGGTCCCCACCCCAACCGGAGGCGTACCCAGCTTCTTGCCTGGACCGGGCATGGCCGCTGGCAAGGGTTCAGATATCACAAACCACTTGAAAGTCCAACTTCTGGTTCGTGCATACCAAGCCCGAGGTCACCACAAGGCCAACATCGACCCTCTTGGAATCCGTCGCGAGGCCAAGGAGTTCGGATTCAACAAACCCAAGGAGCTCGAACTCGAGCATTACGGATTTACCGAGAAGGATCTCGACACAGAATATGAGCTCGGCCCTGGTATCTTGCCTCGTTTCAAGAAGGAGGGCCGCGAGAAGATGACGCTGCGAGACATCATTGCCGCTTGCGAACGCATCTACTGCGGTTCTTACGGTATCGAATACATCCATATTCCAGACAGAGAACAATGCGACTGGCTTCGTGAGCGTGTTGAGATTGAGCAACCCTTTAAATACTCAATCGATGAGAAGCGACGGATCTTGGACCGTCTGATCTGGAGTTCAAGTTTCGAAGCCTTCTTGGCTACCAAATACCCCAACGACAAGCGATTTGGTCTGGAAGGTTGCGAGACTTTGGTACCAGGAATGAAGGCCCTGATTGATCGCAGTGTGGACTATGGTGTAAAGGATATTGTCATTGGTATGCCTCATCGTGGTCGTCTCAACGTTCTCAGTAACGTCGTCCGTAAGCCAAACGAGTCAATCTTCAGCGAGTTTGCAGGAACAGCCGCAGCTGAAGATGAGGGATCTGGCGATGTCAAATACCACTTGGGTATGAACTTTGAGCGACCTACTCCCTCTGGCAAGCGTGTCCAACTTTCGCTGGTTGCCAACCCGTCACATCTGGAAGCCGAAGACCCTGTCGTGCTGGGAAAGACCAGAGCCATTCAGCATTACAACAACGATGAGAAGACCCACACCACTGCCATGGGAGTCCTCTTGCACGGTGACGCGGCTTTCGCTGCCCAAGGTGTTGTCTATGAATGTCTTGGTTTCCACTCCCTGCCCGCTTACTCTACCGGTGGTACAATCCACCTGGTTGTCAACAACCAGATTGGATTCACGACCGATCCTCGATTTGCTCGTTCAACTGCTTACTGTACCGATATCGCCAAGGCCATCGACGCTCCAGTCTTCCATGTCAATGCTGACGATGTCGAGGCTGTCAACTATGTCTGCCAACTCGCAGCTGATTGGCGTGCTGAGTTCCAGCGTGATGTTGTCATTGATCTTGTGTGCTACCGAAAACACGGTCACAACGAGACCGACCAACCTTCTTTCACTCAACCTCTGATGTACAAGCGTATCCAAGCTCATGAATCTCAGCTTGACATCTACGTGAACCAACTTCTGAAAGACGGCACTTTCACCAAGGAAGACATTGAGGAGCACCGCAAATGGGTCTGGGGTATGCTGGAAGACAGCTTTGCCAAGAGCAAGGACTACACTCCTAGTTCAAAGGAGTGGACCACCTCGGCTTGGAACGGCTTCAAGTCACCAAAGGAGCTTGCAACTGAAGTTCTTCCCCACAACCCGACTGGTGTTCCTGCCCACACTCTGGAACATATTGGTACAGTTATTGGTACCGCACCCGAAGGCTTCAATGTACACCGCAACTTGAAGCGTATTCTCGCCAACCGTGTCAAGACTGTACAAGAGGGCAAGAACATTGACTGGTCCACCGCTGAGGCGCTTGCTTTTGGATCTCTCGTGACCGAAGGACACCACGTTCGTGTCTCCGGACAGGATGTCGAGCGTGGAACCTTCTCGCAACGACATGCTGTTTTCCACGACCAAGAGACTGAGGCTACCTACACGCCATTGCAGCACATCAGCAAAGACCAAGGCAAGTTCGTGATCTCTAACTCCTCATTGAGTGAGTTTGGTGCTCTTGGATTCGAGTACGGCTATTCCCTGTCGTCACCCAACGCGCTAGTTATGTGGGAGGCTCAGTTTGGTGACTTTGCCAACAACGCCCAATGTATCATCGATCAGTTCGTTGCTTCAGGTGAGGTCAAGTGGATGCAAAGATCCGGTCTTGTCATGTCATTACCTCACGGATATGATGGACAAGGACCTGAACATTCATCTGGTCGTATGGAGAGATATCTCCAGCTCTCTAACGAGGACCCCCGCGTTTTCCCATCGCCTGAGAAGCTTGAACGCCAGCACCAAGACTGCAACATGCAGATTGCTTACATGACAACCCCTGCCAACCTGTTCCACATCTTGAGAAGACAAATGAACAGGCAATTCCGAAAGCGTAAGTCTTAGGATTAGATGATACATGCGATAGACACGATGCTAACATTCTACAGCCCTCATCCTTTTCTTCTCCAAATCTCTCCTACGTCACCCTCTTGCGCGCTCAAACATTGAGGAGTTCACCGGTGACTCGCAATTCAAATGGATCATTCCCGATCCTGAACATGGCACTACCATCAACAACCCTGAGGAAATTGATCGTGTCATCCTCTGCTCTGGACAGGTCTGGGCTGCCCTGCACAAGCACCGCGCTGACAATGGCATCAAAGACACCGCCATCACCCGTATTGAGCAACTCAACCCCTTCCCCTGGCAACAACTGAAGGAGAACCTGGACATGTACCCCAACGCCAAGACCATTGTGTGGGCCCAAGAAGAGCCCCTCAATGCCGGTGCATGGTCTTTCACTCAACCAAGACTGGAGACATTGTTGAATGAGACTGAGCACCACAACCGAAAGCACGTTATGTATGCGGGTCGTGACCCAAGTGCAAGTGTGGCGACTGGACTGAAGGCGAACCACATGAAGGAGGAGGCGCAGTTATTAGAGACTGCCTTCAAGGTCACGCAGGACAAGTTGAAGGGCGAATAAGGGGTGTAATGCTAGAAGGGAAAAGGAGGATGTCATAAGATGGTCTCAGATAGGAGTGAGGCTCTATCAGTTGTGGATGTACTGTATTATTGTATAGAATTGCTTCCTGTTTTTCTGTAGGGGGCAGCATGGCATCATCCTGTGTGGTTACTAATTGGATTACGATTCAATATGCATCGCTCCCATTGATTCAACCTTGAATCTCTCGTGATCAACTAGGCGGGGTCTGACTTACAGCCAGGCACGCATGCTCGTGCAGTTCAAGTGTCCAACTAGGTACCCAACTCGCAGAATACTAATGCTCAACGGAAGTAACAGACGACCCACCACTCCTCTTCGAAACCGCAACCCAAACCCAAAGATTGAAGGTATTGCAATATCTCAATTTTTTGAATAGGGGAGAGAAAGACTTTTAGTTACTATCTCCATCCTGTTCACCTTCGTGTCGTTACCGACATGGCTTTCGTTCCTTCCCATCTATGCTGCATAGCTGTTACCGAGGGGAGTGTTGAATTTGACTTCTCGGATCAATATGTAGGAGATGGGAGAGCGTGCGGATTGTGATAGGTGGTATGGGCAATCTATCTGGCATACATCTTCTTCCCGAGCTCGTTGTAAAACAAACATCAAGTATTGATCCTTCTCTTCTCAGCCCCCCTGTATCCTCAAAACACTTATCTATTTCTTGGTCTCGGGCTCACTTGTTAGGATTCGAATAATGAGACGTGGTTGGGAGTTGTTCTATTGTGCTCCCACCCATATTTCATTCCCTAAAATGTAAATCACTGCGCAACTTCCTGCTTTCTCCTCAGGACCGCATTCTACACAGACCTTCGAAACAAACCTTCACACAAGCCAACCACCAACCAAATCTACCTTATCAACAAACCTATGAACACAAATATAAAATGAAGCTCACTCTCCAGCAAGCAGTCTATTACCCCTTCCTCATCCTCCTCGCCTGTCTACTCAAAACCAGCATCGCAGACACACCGCGCCTTCCTCCAAAGAACGAGCGCGAAGCTACGACGATGATGATGGCGAATATCACGACGTCTGGGGCGGTGATAGGTATGGAGGGGATGAAATTAAATGGTGGGCCTTTGGGCGGTGGATATGGGTGTAAAGGAAGGTGTAGCAGCGGTGCTGCAAGTCTGGGAGATGGTGTATGGGTTGGGTTGCTTTGGGTTATGGTGGTGCTGAACATGGTGGTTTTGGGAGGGCGGGATGTGCTGCGTCTTTGGGATTGGTGACGGTCATGGGTTTGGAGATATGCAGTGTTGATTAGCATGGTGCATGGGTTGGGATGCGCTTAATGGGGGAGAAATAAGATTGATTCCCTAGAAGGAAGGTTTACTTTTACATGAATGAAGTTTTCGAGTCAGTCCATCAGGAGCAGGCATGTGTCTCGTACCGCCGCTCATCTCATGACCAAGGGCCCACTGAACATGCTCCTCCGCTGATCCATCGTGTCATCTCCTCCCTGTGCATCTACTTCAATTCCGTCTGTGTCCATAGGATCTTCCTCCCCCTCCGTGTTATCGTGTTTAGCCTCCTTCATGTCATGATCTCCCTCCCCATCCCCATCCATATCGCCCATTGCCATGTTTCCCTCCGTTTTCAGCTTCGCCAGACCCCGAGCGTTGATCTCCTGACCACCCTCTGAATCGGAATCATTGTTGTCTAATAAACCAGGATGGTCTGTATCTACGTCAACTACAGTAGGCTATGAGAAGATAATCAGTATACGTGAATCCGATGGCTGAAGGCTGTATACGCTTACCGTGATGTCCAAACCTGGGTATTTCTTGGCTTGGTCTGCCCACCAACGCTCAATATCGTCGTGGTTCGTGCCGTGGCGCTGTTTGGCGTTTAAATATCAGATAACGCTGGAATTGGAGTGAGACTTACCTGACCAATTGCCTGGCCTAACTTGATGTACATCCAAGCCGGCTGACTTGTGGCATCCGGCCCAAAAGGCTGGACGGTTGTACTATCCGGCTTCCATTTCTTGAAAAACCGGAACAACAATTTCATCCAGCAAGCATCCATCTGTCGTCGGGTAATCGGGAACTTGTTTAACCCAACCATGTCATTTCGGAAGCCTTTGTAGCACAGCAGGTTCTTGACTTCGAGAAAGTTCTTTCGTCTATAACGAGGCAATTTGATATTGTCGATATCGGAAGTAGTGAGCGCGTACCAGGTACTGTCGCACATTAAGATTCCTCGTTGCGTGTCATTCAACTCAAGGCCATAAGCTTTATATGTCGTGGGGCTCTCCATTGTAGAAATTTTGGAGTTGGTGCTTAGAAGGGATTATCGTTGGTGTCTCCAAGTTTGGGTGAAAGAAGGCCGTAATGTGAGAGAAAAATGAATACCTTGGACTGTGGGGGAGATAGCTCACTGCCTTTGAAAATGAATATCCCCGTCTGCTTTTTCTCAGGTCAACTGGATAATAACTTGAAAAACGAGTGTTCGGGCGCGTGGGAGCGAGGCTCGGTTCTGACGCGCGTGTAGTCTGCGCTTGAGTACCTACCTACCTACTTATATTTATAAATAAGGAATCTGACACAGTGACCCCATTACTTTACACTTTGGGTAGTTGCTCTTTAAAGCCCCCTGCTTGCAGGAATCTACCTCATAACTAGACTTCTAGTTCTAACTAACTTCTGGCCCCCACTTCCAACGCAATACAGAGCAGTAGTACCCCACTCACTCGAGCTATCCTCTTTTGTCTTCATGGTTCAAGTCATTTTCAATTATTTATTCCCTTTTTTTTATCCTCTGGGTTTGGAAGAAGACAAAGAATATGTTTTCTTGGCAAGTGACTCTGTGAATGTTTGTGATAATGCCAAAATAAAAAAGAGGGAGAAAAGCTTAAAAAAGGAAGTATTCTGGAGCCACTGAGATGGAGGCAAGCTTTTATTGTGCAAAGAGACCGACATCTCTGTTGTACCCAGATAAGGTAAACAGCATTCCTATGATAATCAAATGCAGGCAGCAGACTTCATGTGACTTTCGTACAACTCTTTGCACATTGTACTAATAGTACTATATATATTTGGGTTGTCGAGGAATAGTACCAGTGGAGTTGAGGACCATTCTTGAAACCCTTTATGTTATCTCCTACTTGTCAACAGCTTGATACAATCTGTGAGAAATGGCCCGAGAAACGCAAATGCTAAATAAAGAAAAACAAGGCAGACTCTTCAGAAACGAATGCGAACATGTTTGCGGGATAATTCTTCGTGTTGGGACAACAAAACGCACCCGTCTCTTCAACACCTGGCTTTGATTTCAAGCAATAGAGCATAAAGTACTAAAAGAGTAATGACATATGAGTGAAATCTTTTATCTTGTTTTCGTTATCAAGCTGGATGGCAGTGGCACTGGCCGCACAACTGTAGAGACCAGAATTATTCATACACAAACCCAGCAGCACCCTGAACGTAGGGTATGATGTATGAAGAAGTAAAAGCCAACAACATTCGATCGATTAAGGACAATGCACATCACTCATTGCAGAAGTCTCCCTGCATGCTCAAGGCATATATGGTCAAAGAACGAGAGCGACGATGTCAGGACGATGTCGCTTAACAAGGGGCTACCCCACTGCGCTGTACCCGCCTGCTTATTAATCCTACCTTATCATCTTATCCTTGGCCCAGGAACACGATGACGTAGTCGTCCAAGGTACGGTCGATGGTGTACCATGTACAACGGCAGCCGCCTTGTATAATCAACTTTATATACCACCAACTTTACATTTTGACAACCAGCGGGCAACTTCACGAGCATTATGAATCGATGACGCGAATTCCTACTTGAGCCCTCTAGCTTCAAATATCTATTTTTCAAAATGCGACGTACAGCGCGAATGCTCCCCAATGGAGCGTTCAACGCTCCCCTTTCTCCCTTACAACGAGCCGTAATATCCACCTTCCGCAGCAGACCGTACATAAATCAGCCATTGCTTTCTGTGCGACCTTTCTCATCTTCCAGAGCATGGAGCAACGAAAATTCCACGGCTAAAGCTAAAGCCCCAAACGGCCGAGACCAAGAGACGCACGAACAACAGGCCTTCAACACACAAATTGACAATGCGGTGGGAGAAGCCAAGGAACTACAGACAAGAACGCCATGGCATAGAGAAGGGACCGATAAGCCACCTGTGAAGCGTCAGCGTAGCGCTGGAGCAATGACTAAAGGTTTGTCTCTACCTTATTATTCCACAAGCCGAGAAGATATAGCTAAAGGTTTATGTATGAACGGACAGGCAAATTGCTCACTACGCCCTCGAAACTACTAAAATTGATCATCCCTCTTACAACACTTGACAAGAATGACGACAGAAAATCCATTGAGCCTCTAGCTCTGCTCGTGCACCCTCAACAACCACTATCCTACCTAGAGCGGCTGATCCAATCCGAGATCCCTATGATCGTCGGCAAGGACGGAAAGGAGAAAGTCCCAGATGTGTATTTCCGGGCCGAGGACCCGGCATATGGGCAGGATGCTGCCAAGGAGGTAGACGCCGATATAGACGAAGTAGCACTTCCCGAGAGCGAAGAAGGGGACGAGGAAGGGAGCGAAAAGACGATGATCGATGGGAAGCCAATGAAGCTTGGCAAGATCGTCAACAAGAATGAGAAAAGTTCCAATATAGGCGGGAATAATGAGATGATTGAGGCCGCTGGGTTGAGAGGTGGGCCCGGAGAAGGAGGGGTGGAGAGTTATAGTGGCCGGGGTAGAGAAACACCTTCAAATCCCGACGAAACCAAATTTGTGCGCTGGTCCTCCAGCACCGAGATCGGGGATTTTATTCGCGATGCTGCTCGTGGGAAAGAGTTCGCCGTCGAGATCGAGGGCGCGAGCAAGGATATCCGTGTCGGCGTCCCCTCTTTCAACGACCGGACCTTTTATCTAAGAGTTAGGTTAAGGAAAGCGAGTAGGAGGCTGGAGGAGATGGGTAAGGTCAAGAAAGAATGCGACGATCTGGCGCACAGGAGTGCGCAGAGACTTGCCATGGGCGGATTTGGCGTCCTCGTTTCGTGGTGGGCGGCCATCTACCATTTTACATTCCGCACTGACTATGGCTGGGATACGATGGAACCTATTACCTACCTAGCAGGCCTCTCCTCCATCATGCTCGGCTATCTCTGGTTTCTATACAACAACCGCGAAGTCTCGTACCGCGCAGCCCTGAACCTGACAGTCTCCCGACGCCAGAACGCCCTCTATAATTCCCGTGGCTTTGACATGTCCAAATGGGAATCTCTGATCGGTGAAGCGAACGCTTTGAGGAACGAGATTAAAAGCATTGCGAATGAGTATGATGTGGATTGGGACGAGAAGCTGGATGAAGGTAGCGAGGAGGTCCATGACACGCTGAAAGCGGAGAGGGCCAAGGAACGGAAGAAGAATGACGATGAAGAGGAAGATGAGGAGGAGGGACAGAAGGGGAAGAGTGATTAGTTCGTTTATGATAGATATTTTCGATGTGATTTCATGAGTGGCAAAATTGAAATATGGCAATCGCCGTGACGCAGAAACTTGATCTGTGGGATGCCAATGTCTTCCTACTTTTGGTCTCCTTGCTCTAATGCCACCTGTAACTTGGGGCCTATAGGAGCGCTTGTCTCTCAAAGAAAGTTTGTTCTCTTTAGCCCTCTCTCACAACCATATATATCTGACATGATATCCTTCCAAAAGTCTCCCCGTGTTGAGGCAAGCTTCATTTAGGAGCTTCCGGTAACAAGCAAGCAAATATCGATGCAGAGAAGTTCGTACCAGTTCGATCGTGTTGCAGGTGTGTGCTTGGTTCGGATTTGTGATTCAAAGACTGTTTGTGGGAATGGTATGGTGTTGTTCAATTGGTTTAGATGGGTTGAGAGATAGGAGGGATGGTGGTTGATTGGAATTGAAGTGCCCCCTACCACGTCCTGGAACGGGTAGTGAGGGACCGGGACGGGCCAGGTACCAAGGTAGTTAACTGTCTAGCAGAGTAAGCTCAAGCTAGCTGCGGAAGAACTGAGAAGGGAGTCCAAGGGCACTTTCTGTAAAGTTGATGGGATGGAAAAATTGGCTCATCAGCACACTGAGATACTTATACTCCATATCTTTGAACTGTACCTTATCTCCCGAACAGCCATGTAAGCAATGGCCGCGCCACCCAGTAATGGAACATGTACCCTTTACCCATTCGCGTAACACCGCCGGAGTAATCCCCATGTGCTGCATTGCTTACAGCAGACGGGTAGTTGCATCTGGTGCACCAGAAGCCATGCTGCAGATGTCGATCGATTGGAAGGCGATGCTGCATCTGGTCCTCTGATAGGGGTCGGTACTAACCCATCACATATATAAACCTTTCCATCATTAAAGGATGAAATAACGTTTTGTATTCCGTGCCTGATCCCAAGCTAATGTGACAGTAACATCATGAGAACTGCCGCGCCTAGGGCATTGGACCCTCCTGTATTATCGTCGTTTGTGGACATTTAGGGAAAAAGACATAACACGTTTGTATCCACACCATCCTTGGCCCCAGGAGTCGGCTACTGTATCTCTTGTGTTGACTCTTTCTTTACCTATACGTCCCTGATGGGATCGTAATAGATCAAAGCTTGTCTCTCCTCTTCACCTATCTGGTTATAACCCTCATCGTTCTGGGGGTATTCTTGACCAGTAGCGAAAGTCCCATGAACGTTCGAGCCCCCTGAGGGTTCTATAGAAAACCAGTCAGCCTAGCCTGCACACAATACCATTATGATGAAGCTGTTGGAAGATCGGGCTTTGACGTCGTCAACATGCACAAACCTCTGGAATACTCGTGCCTCTGGGAGTTGGTCTTGTCAGTAGTTAGAGAAAAGCAAGGAACGGCCATGCTCCCATGGTGGTCAACCGCCGCTTTTTGCTATCAGTATGGAAAGACGGGAAGGAAAACCTGCTAGCGAAATTTTGCCGATTCATGCTGAAGGCGGAGAGGGTGAGCAATGAGAGAGAACGTACCAGGAGTCACAGACCCAGGATAGTAACTGGGAGCCTGAGCGTCGTAATACTGTCCTTCAGCACTTGCATGGTGACTGTGACGGGAATGCTCTGAGCTGCTAGCATCACCCTTAATCGAATTCCTATTCCGCCCGTCTCGATAACGGAATTTATGGTATAAGAACCACTTCGCGATCCAGTTCGGACAGTCTTCGGTAGGTTCAGCAAGGCTCCAGTAGTAGCTTGTCCGTGCATCGCCAGACTGGGCAATCCGCTCCATGGCTTCGTCCTTCGCCTTCTCGACGATATCACTCCAGTCGTATGGGGGCTTCGCTTGCAGTTCTTCTTGAGGTGACGTTTTTCAGACGTTAGCCATTTGTAAACCTGGTCTGCTTCTTTCTAGGGCAAGAGAGCATCAGCAAGGACTTGAATCACGGCCATCCAACAAGTGGTGGTCGATAGGATGGATGGATTCCAGCAGTGTGGCATCAATAGGGGTGCGGGAGCGAGTATCACTTACCGCCATCAACGCATAGATTTCGGGTGTCATATTAAGATGTCTAAGGAGCTCATCTTTTGTCTGGCTCATGGGCAGAGGGCTCAATTTCGGCATGGTAGGGAGTGAGAAAGTCGGTGCTCAGAAAGGAGACTGGATCTTTCATTCCGTAGCTCGATCCCATGGCAAGATATGCCACAAGCGCAGCAGTGGGGGGACAGGCTCCCTAGATGCCGACAATTCTTCGAATCCTTATTAGCAATGGATAGGCGTGGACATAGAATGGCGATCGCTGATTGCTTTGGGAAAAACTCTCAGCAATAGCATCTTCGCCATTGCCATCGCATCTCCGAGAAAGAGAGAGTCCCCCTATCCGAGTCGGGAGAAAAACTAGGAGAGAGAATTGCCGGATAGTAACCCCGTGGTGGCCATATTGTAGCCAGGGAGGGCCACGCCATGCAGCATGAAGTCCTGCCAACGAGCCATCCTCGATCGGCAACATCTCTGACTACCGGTCGGGAGTAAGTCCGATGCCGATTGATATGAGGAGAGAGCGTTGGGGTAATAGAGCTGGAGTAATAAGACGGGATCAGAAAGGAACTTGAGGATGATCGGAAGACAGACATGAACAAGGAGTCGGGAAAGTCGATGGTGGCACAGAGTAGGGTAACAGAACAGATAGACCCTGCATTGCTTGTGTAACCAGGGAAAAGCTGGATCCATACGCAGCCGCATCTGGTATATGTTTGGACACCCCCGCATCCGGCTGGGCTACGGCACCGATTCCATCTTGACATAAACCTTGCAACAAGTCAGTATATCCCCCCCGCTACGACGTTTGAGAAATAAGCTTGGTAACCACGCATCATGCAACTGGCTGCATAGGTAGCTACCTACGTTCTGGATCCAGGACGTAGTCTGGTTACTGGTGTGGCTAGGCAGGTATAGCAGGCCACGCCCCTTACATCCACTGGTGGCATGAGAAACTCCGCATACGCGGGGGCTTTGTGGGTCAGTACTCCTACCGGCTCTGTCGATGGGATGGCACAATGCGTTTTGAACAGAGAGCGGGCAGGAAACTTGTGGCTGATATCGTACCACCCACCGGACGTCCAGACTCGCAGGCCTGGGAAAGGATCGGAATGCTCGGAGGGCGAAAAGGGTGAGGTTTCAACACCTGAGGAGGGATGAAGCACAGGATGGCGGTTCTCCTTGGATATAGGTACTCCGTATATACCATTGCCTCTGTACCTAAGACGAACTCAAAGGTAAGCATGCACTACACCCACAAGGTCGCGCGACTTCACTTCACCTCCCTTGCGGTATCTTTACCTTCTACCTATCATCGATCTGCTGTGACAGCAGTATCACCCACTCCTTGTGCTGGACAATTATATGTTGAGCCCACGCGGATAGCTCCGTCGAACCTCACGGCAAAGCACTACTCGTTAAGGAGGGCCATGTCCCATATTCTCTCTCAGTATTTCTCTCCGCGGCCCGGGCCTCTGAGACCTTCGCCCAGATTGTTACCGGCCGCGCCCCTCTAACCATACGTTTGAGTCCTCTCTTATTTACTGTACAGAGCAGAGATTATCATGATTAGATATTATCATGGCTCGTACCGAATGTCGTACTTCTCACAGCAAGGGAAGTCCCCCCCCTCTGCCACTTTCGAAAACCATTGGCCACCACAAGAATGCTAATAGCCTAGGTAATAGTCAGCATTGCCCGGTTATATCAAAACGCCCTGAGATGGTCAAGTATCTACAGAGTGGAGTTTCATCGTAGGTTTCACAGTTGTGCGGTTGAGTTGTAGATAGAGAGTCAGCCTCACCCCCGGTCCGGGCTAATAAAGCGGCGGCGGCGGCTCAGCGAAGTCAGGGTCCCAAAGAGAGGGGTTTCAGGGTTTCGTGAGGTCATTCCAGCCAAGGAGTAGTAGTACGGGCCGCGAAAAGGGCAAACGCAAAGTCAAGTTCCGTTTGACTGCTTTGTTTCTGCTTACCTAGGTACTATCTATCTTCCATTTCTCTGTTTCTCCCCTGTTCGATTGCGCCGGATGCCCGTTGTTACCTACATTACCTTTGCAGCGTCGTCGTGCCAATCAGGGTAAACGAATGCACGATATTTACTTGTTAATAATGGCATGATTTTCCAAGACTCGTAACATGCGCGCGCAACGGCAAGCAGACTAATGGTTATGTGCCTCGATAGGTCTTCACGATAGGTGCACCCCACCGGCTCTGCTCCGGTCATCGCTAGTACCCCTCCACAGGGTCCGATCACTTTTTGAGGTCAACGCACAGGATCGAGATGCAAATGCAAACAGAATTTCTTCTGTCCTGATTACCACGCATTCGCAAGCATGTCGCACGCCCACAGTGTCGTACACCTCCCCAATGGGCAGAACTTGACCGTCAGACCCGTCTTCGGCGGCTTCTTCTTCAAACCCGATGACCTCAATGTCCATACCAGCGTCTTCCCCGCCGGGTGGACCGTTAACCTCCAATCTGAAGACTACTCCGACGAACATCCTCAACCCGCCGATGCGAAGGATACGGAGCCCAGCGATACACCAAAAGAGAAAAAGCGACACATCCACCCGTTCAGGAACCCGACTCTCCACAATGATAGTCTCTTCATATCCTCTATTTCGAATCCCTCGAGCAATGACTTCAAGGCCCCCGCGAGCCCCACCCGACAGATCGCCATGATGCTCTGGGCGTCGCTCTACTGGTATTTCCATCAACCAGAACCATCACCCTATTTGACGACCGAGGCTTCGAAGAAGACGCCCGACGAAGGCAAGCCGAGGGGAGAATGGCGAATCAATATCAAGAGGGAGGGCGTATTTCGGGGCCGAAACCTCATCCAGAAACTCGAGCGGATGGGCCTGATCATATCTGAGGATTCGACGGTGGGCCTTAATCCGGAGGAGAGCGCACCCGAGGGTTGGTTAGATATGTTCATCTCCAAGCGCGCATTCTGGCAGTTACCTGCCAAACTGTTCCTCTTCACCCTCCTGCCTACAGACGGATCGTCTTTCCCTGGCACTCCGTATGGCAGCCGACCCAATTCTCCTGTATGTCCTACTGACGGAAAGGACTCGCCAAACAGGGCAGATAATCTGGAATCGCCATCACAATTCAGCTGTCCAGGTCTTTGGTCGCCCTCCTCCGTAGGGCCCTTTGCGTCTGGGAGCCATCTTCCAACATACTTCCCACCGCCGCCTCTACAGTATGCAATAACATCAGGGATCCGACATCCAATAAGGCCAAAACCACCCCGTCAAGGGGAGTTATTCTATGTACGCTATATCCCCAGCGTCGGTCAGTATCTTTCCTTCCGTACTGCTTCCCTTTCTCCCAAGCCCGTAGCCTACAAAGGTCCTGTATCCACCTCGTCGGCCCCATCGAAAACGCATCAGACAGCGGCCTCGTTGTCCTCTCTTCCGGCCCACATTGCAGCAGCCTCAATTTCAGAGTCAAAGTCCCCGATACCGACTCCGGAGACAGAAGATACGACACTAATGTCCGATCTAAAACTTCTGCACAAGTGGATGAACAATCCCCGCGTTTCTAAATTCTGGGGGTGTGCGGGCCCTGAAAGCACCCAGGAGGAGTTCCTTCGGGCTAATCTCACCTCCAAAAGCTCCTTTCCAGCTATTGGCATGTGGGACGGCAAACCGTTCGGCTATTTCGAAATATACTGGGTGAAGGAGGACATCCTAGGTAAACACCTTGGAAACAGAGCTGGGGAGTTTGATCGTGGATTCCACGTGCTTGTTGGAGAAGATGAGTTCCGAGGGAAAAATCGGGTTAAGATCTGGAGCACATCGTTGGCACACTGGGCGTTTATGCAAGATTATCGGACGAATGCAGTGGTGCTTGAGCCGCGAGTTGATAATGTGAGGTACGTTCCCCAGCCACTGCTTGCAATTTGCTCATGATTGTTGCTGTCTATACCTCCCATCAACGATTTCAAAGCTGATCCACGTGGTAGATTTATTTCAACGCTTAATGAAGCGGGCTTTTTGAAAGAGGGGGAGATCACGTTCCCGCACAAACAAAGTGCGTTTGTGAAGTTAAGGAGAGAGAATTGGGAGGCGCCTGCGCTGTGAAGCCATGAACTTAACTGATAGCATTGATACAAGGCGATCTTGATTTTGGGACTATGGTTGAATACTCGAAGCCTATGATGCGGAACGATTTAGTAGATTTCTCTCTTCTCTCTTCTCTCTTCTCTCTTCTCTCTTCTCTCTTCTCTCTTCTCTCTATTATCTCCCTCTCTTCTTTATTTTCATTTTTGACAGTACGATGCCTTAATTCATGCCTAATTCAACAGAGTAACGCTTGCTGTAGACTTTGCTCATTTTACCTTCCTAATAGAGATCACATATTTTATACGAGATAGCTGAACCCCGCAGCTTCACTCGGCACTCTCTTCTTCCATCCTAGTTAGCATCTTCCTATACGAGCCGATCTCATACCCTAGAGGACGTATCTCGTCCCTTTTTCGCCTCCGAGCTATACGCGGACCTTCATCGTCTGTATAGCAGGGCACGAATCATATACGTTGCCCTTAGACACGTGGTTCCTGAGCACGGAGTATTCTGAACAGCGCCACGGGTACTGCGGGCACTGCGTTCCTTGCAGAATTGATGGCGCCCAGTAGCTAGACCTGCGCTATTACGTTTGACGGTAACGGGTCACCACAGCGCATGCTGTTGATCTTCGAAGGCCTGGAGCCTGGAATTGTCCCATCTTCTTTTGCATTTGAGAGCTTGCGATTTGAGATAGGATAGGATGAGGTTGGTGTTTTGTTCTCGGAAAAATGAGATGCGACATGTAGGTGTAATTCAAGACTCCCTTTTCACCACTATAACAACACGCTCGAAATCGGACCATTTCTTCGCCCGTTTCCTCCTCGTTCTCAGCTCACCATCTTCGCAGATTCTATCTATAGCACTCGAGCTTGACGGATTCGGCACGGAAACACAGGTTCCTTGTCGATCGTCGCCAACTTCGGTATGATTTTCTACGAGTGTGTTTCGGTTCGATGTTAGTCGAATACAATGTCATCCATTCGGACCATTCCGTGGGAATCGGGATATGCTTATTTTGCGGGGTTGTGCAGCCTGCCCCTCGTTTCGTGTTTAACGACTGTGCCGTGTCTGTTGAAACATAGAACGGATGAACAGTAGGTACCTTAGGTAAATATAAATATCTCAAGATCCTTCGTCTTGGCCAAGGTTATCTAGATTCCTTTGCCGTTTTCTGCCTTATTCTTTCTTTATTCATTCCTTTGGATCCTTTGTATTGCAATAGTTGAAGTCTGAGAGATAATGAAGTCACTTTTTACCCTCGTCTTTGGCTCAGTCCTCGCGGTCTCGTCTGCATATGCATCGGTCATCCAGAAGAGAAACTCGAATTCTTGGGCGGGATCGAATAATTACTACCTTCATGCTTTGCATCCAGCGGAACAAGCTTCGTACATAAGTAGTCTGAAGAGTTACGGCACGAAGGTTGTGAGGCTTTGGGGTGAGAATTGCGCGTTTTCTATGCCCCCCTATTCCTCTTCCTCTTGCTTTTTTCCATGTCCTATTTTGCTTTCATTTACTTCCTAAGAAAGTACTGACTGAGATTCAGTAACACAGGCGTCAGATGGCTGTGCTAAGTCTTCCAATACCAGAGCCGTGCCCTCTTATGAGGACACGATTGGAAGCTATAACAATGAGACGCTCGACGCAGTTGATTCTGTGCTTTCCCAGCTTCATGCTGCGGGTATAAAGGCAATAATCTCTCCGCATGACGCCAATTTGCTCCCTCCGTAAGAAATTTCCTGAATCCATCAATTATACGCTTCGTCTCCTCTCAGACCTCCCAGAGAACCCTTCTAGCCAACAAAGCACAGCTAACAAATGGCCAAGATCCGGACAATCAAAAGGTTATAATGGAATTGATATCTACGGCAGTACCTACGGGTCCTCTGACTCTTTCTACTCCTCCAACACAGCGAAAGCCCAATACGACGCCCGCATCAAGAGTATTCTTGAGTACACCAGTCCTTCATTCGGAAAGCAGTGGAAGGACCTGAGCGAAGTCATCCTAGCCTTCGACATCCAGAACGAGCCTATGATTGCGTCTCCCGGAAAGTTAGCAGACAACGATCCTGACGATTGGATCTGTGGGCGAGCAGGGAATATGCGTAGCGTGCTCGGATCTTCTGTTCGTGTGCCTTTTGCTTTATCACTCCTTTCTTCATTCATCTCCTTATATTTCATTTCTTCTACGACGAGAATCATCCAAGAGGGCAAGAGGGGGTCATATACTTATACCATTGCTAGGCAGTCAAGATCGCCACCGGTGGCATCGGCGGCTCTGAATACTGCTGCGACCATGAATATAACATCATCGACAAAGCGCTCTACTGCGACGCCATCGACATACTCTCTGTACACGGCTACATGAGCCAAGCCTCGCAATGGTCATATTTCATCCCCTCGCTCTCGGACCAAGCCGCAGCGCAGAACAAGCACCTCATGATTGAGGAATGGGGCGTCGGCACCGCCTCCTCGATGGACAGCATCGCGGACCAAGCCGCCGTGTTCAACAACAATGGTGTCCCGTGGCTCTACTGGCAGATCATCCCCGGGAAGAGTATTGACGAGAGCTGCGATGCGCAAGATGCATGCTGTCATCAGGGCTTGAGCAGTGATGACACGCAGGACTTCGAGGTTGGGGTTGGTAGCTCGAGAGCGGATTTCGGGACCTTGATTAAGACGGCTGACAAGACTGCGGGGAGACAGGATTGGACGGGTTTTGTATATTGAAGAGAAGGATTGGAGTATTTGTATATAAGGGGAAACGGCCTGATTGTATGTAAATTTCGGCTTTGAAATGTATTTATTATTATATTCGCTTCAAAAACCAGCCCTCCGTATCTGAAATTCAGCCAGCCAGTCAATCTCCACTAAAACAAGGGGGCAGAGACGTACCTACCTATACAAACCAAAACCTTCCTTCCAACACTGTTATCAACAACACAAAAGCACTACATTAATCCACCAATGCTCCCCCCCTCTTTCTAACCACCTTTTAAAATCCACTAATAATCTTTCTTCTTATCCTTTCCTGGAACAGAAAAGAGATCTCTGCTTCTCTTCTCTCTCTGCGGCCTGCCTCTACCAAATATGGTACGCCTCTTCCTTCCTTTACAAAGTAAACCCGGAAATCAATCATTAGATTATTCTGAATGGGAATTCTTTCCTATCCTCAAAAGAAAAGACGGATTTGTGAATCTCTAGATAGGAGAACAGGGTGCTGATGAGTGTGTGAGGAGGCGTGGATGCAGATGGTCCTCCTGACTGATGCGGGGTTAGTGAGGAAGGCTGAGTTGAAGATCTGGGAGCAGACTGATCTCGATATTCTTGGATCAAATTTCTGATGCATAGTCCTTGTTTTGTTTTGTAGATCGATTTTTTGATTAGAGTTTTCTATATATTGCGCGCTCAAATGCATCTTTATAACTGGAAGCACATATGTATATATATACGTTTCCGTCTCAAAAAGCGCCCCTGAACTGATCTAGAAGCTGTCTTCCCAGCGTTCTCCTCCTGCCCTGCTCCCCGCCCAAGCGTCCATCGCTACCTGTCGCCAGGATCGGATTGGAATTCTCGCTCTCGAGCCTCCTCCTCAACCCCTCGAATTCCTCAGCTCGCTTCTGCGTCTTGATACCCACCACCCAGCCGGGAACCCTCCATCTCGTGACTGCGCCGGGCAGGATATCGTTCCGGAAACTATGACCTGCTACCCAGCCTATGACGGCACAGAGGAGAGAGCCCGGGAATTGGGAGAGAGAGAGTTGGAGTGCGGGTAGGTAGGTGTAGGATTTGTCGGAGAGGGTGAGGCCGACGAAGGGGGCGTCAGTGGGTGGAGATGCGGAGGCCGCGAGCCGGTATTTGTAGATATGGGGGATGGCGGCGTGGTACTGAGCGAGGATTGCAAAGAGGAGGGCCGTGGGGCCGGCGGGGAGGTAGTTAAAGGTGTTGAAGGAGAGGGGGCGGAGGAAGAGGGCGAGGAGGAGGGGTGGGACGATCGTTGTCAGGGCGTAGGTTAGGAGGATGAAGGACTATTTGCTTGTCAGCCAACGCCGTCATTGGGAAAGGGAATCTGAGAGGATACGAACAGCGTATTTACGAGAGCCCCATAGTCTCTCTATCACTCGCATATTGTAGAATGTCATGGCGGCGAAGAGCACCTCGGTCGAATTGGTGCAGCAGAGTTGGTAGATGAAGACCCGCCATATCTGATGGTACTGCCATAGGTGAGGGTCGACCTGGATATAGAAGTAGTGCTTCGCATCTGTGATGCTGACTAGGATTGACGTTGCGACGATGCCATACACAAGGCTGCGGGACACAGGGGCATCCGTGAAGCCGGTTGAGAGCATGGCGAGGGGTTCTGGTCAGTGATGATGTAAACCGGAAAGTCTATATATTGCTCTCATTGACGCATTGTAGGCGCAAGGAACCAGGTGTTATAGGACAGGAACAGGATGCTGAGCGAGAATTGGCGTTTGTCAGAAGGCCAAGTGTTCTTGGTGTTGTTGCTCCTGGGATCGACGGAGTAAGCATTGGAACATCAGCCTCTCCTGTCCTTAAGGTAGCCGTGCAGCTGATTGGTGGGAGCCTCGTCCGCGAACCGGCGCATCTAGTAGCGGCCCTGAACCTGTGTTTTATATACACTTTTTTCTGCTGCAAATCATCCATGGAAATAAATACTAGAGAAATAAACCCGGAACATTAGAACCGCTGTATCCTGGATAGGGACATATTATCAGCGACAAAAGTTTTTCTTTCTGTGTAGTTGCGGCTCCCAGAAGAGAAGAACCCGGCTCCAGTCGGCAACGCAAAGAATCACGTGCAAAGATAAGCTAACACGAGCCGTGTTTGCTCGCTTGTCAAACACAATGATGCTACAAGGAAACCAATTCTCCCCAGCTGCTGGGAGACACCTCCTAGGCTCCTCGTCACCTTGACAATACAACTCCGTCCCAGCAAGAGGCAGAGACACTGACTATTGTTCACGCCAATATACAATGGAACACTTTAGTTAAATTCTCTACTTCGAGCTCTTGGACCACTCATTGCGCGTGTCGCACAACTCTCTTCGACAACCCCCCCCCGACAGAAAACACCTCCTCTTTTTCGCACACACAATGAAGACAGCAAAACCACCTCCTGCCGACATTACGTCCGGTCGCAGGGCCCAGCCTTTACGCCAGACTCGCAACAACCCACCGAGATCTTCGATAGGAAGCGCTCGACCCTTCGGTGCTCGCGGCTCTCTGGGGGCGCTCGACGGCCCTCCCAGCCCCGAACCTATCGAAATCTTCCCCGCGATTACACACTTCGCAGATGTTATAACGGCTCTGCCAAAGGAGCTTGTGCGACACTTTACACTGCTTAAAGAAGTCGATGCGAAGATCTTTGCACCAGAGGAGGAGCTCGGCCGTCTCGTTGACGCGGCGCTAAAAGCCCCTCTGCCAGAACGGAGGCAAACCGCCGACATGCCTCATCCTCTCGGCCCTACCTCTACTCCTATGAGTACGCAAGGGAGTCTCAATGGCTCTATTGTAAATGGTCACGGTATGTATGCCTCGTATGGACCCGATGCCGTCGACAATTCGGCGGTGACGCCCTGGGACCCTGCCAATGTCCCTCGTCGTAAACTATTCCAACACTGCGCGTATACGATGCAGAATATGCTCGTATCTCTCGACGAGAAGAACCATGTCATATCCACAGCTGCCGAAGCTCTCAACAGACAGCTCGCCCGCATCGACGACTGCTTCCCCTACGTCGAACTCGAGGTCAGCGAAGAGGCCCGATACGGCAGCGTTACACATTGGGCATACCCGGAGAATCGTGTGGGTAAAAGCGCTGGAGGTTCGCGGAGAGACCCTGCTTCGGGCAATAATGCATCAGCAGCGGCACAACACCTTGTCGAGGAAGCGGCCGCGAGAAGCGACGCGAGAAAGCAGGCGCTGCTGGCAAAGAAGGGAAATAAGAACCATGCGGAATTGGATTTCGACAGTCATCACGATGCGAGACATAAGGATTCGAGCAAGAAGGCTCACGGAAACAGCAAGGTTCGAAAGGCGGCCGATGCGTCGCCGGTTGGGTTGGGGATAACGAACGGTACTGGACCAAATGGAAACCCTCCCAAGCGTCGAAAAGTTGGCTCTGAGCGAGCTCTGAACGGCGTATTTGGTAATAATAGCACGGCAACGAAGAAAGCGGCGAGCCCAGCAGAGACTCCCCCAGGAGATGGCCCGAAGAAACGACAAAGGGGAGCCGCTACTACAACAACGAATGGGCACTCCAGGAAGAGGTATGTTCCCGGCTGGCGCTCTTTTATCACCATTGCTAATCTTGGCCCGAACAGAAACAACACAGTTTCCACGATAGCGATGTCTCCATCCATAGCCTCGTCCCCAGTACGAAGTACATTTCCGGAGACAAAAACACCAGGCCGAACCTCTCCGCCTCCTACAAATGGCACAAGGCCAGCGGCATCAAGAGGACGGCAAAATTCGACGGCTTCAGGCGCAGAGAAACGCCCGTCCCCTTCAGAACCGAGCAAGCAGAGCGGCAGTGCGGTAGGCACGCCGGACCTTGAAGCGGCAGCGAGCGTCACTGGACGAAGTATACCCGAGGTGAAAACCTCAATGAAAGAAACAGGCGCCAACTCGAAAGGAGAACACCTACTCGAGGATGCCGACAAAGAAGAACCTGAGATGGTCGGTGGCATCTCAGTCGGCGAGCGAAGAAATAGCACCATGAAACGAGAGGAGTCGGAAGTCAACGGAGATGCCATGCAAGGCATACAAGCTACAACCATAACAACCAAGAGTGGACGCGCAAGCAAGCCTTCCACACCCGCCATCCCACAATTCCCTGATCCAATCCGCTCACGCCCTTCGCGCAACGCGTTAGAAACAGCTTCAAATAATAAGCGGAGCCATAAGAAAGGGGCTGGAGCTGCAGCTCAGCAACTTATGGCTCAGCAACATCAAGTCCCCGAAGCCGATGAGGGCAGTAGTATGCAAGGTGATGATGATGATGTGGAGATCGATGCAGACGAGCCAACCTATTGCTATTGTAATGGGGTCAGTTATGGTGAGATGGTTGGATGCGATGCCGATGGCTGTGAGAGGGAATGGTTCCATCTTGAGTGTGTCGGTTTGAAGGTGGCGCCTAGGGGTAATGGTGAGTTCCTCCTGTCTTTTCTCCCCAACCTCCATCGCTTTTCCCTTTTCCCCTCTCTCGAAAACCGAAAACTAATTAACGGAACAGCGAAATGGTACTGTGACGATTGCAAGGAGAAGTTGAAGACGAAGCGCTTTAACGGTCGATAGCCAAATTCAAAGTCACAATTTGAAAAATTCGCCAACTTTGGGAATTGGTGTGTGTAAAGGGAGGGAAATCATCCTGAATTAAAGGAATAAATAATGAAGGAGTTTGGGGTTTGATACTTAGGTTCTGGCTGGCTGGCTGTCTTGAGTGCAAGCTCCTGGATATATGGTGTCCGTTGTATTCGGAGGGATCTTCTTTGGTGCCCAAATATATATTTCCTAGGGTGTGGGGTGGAATGATACATGGATGATTGTCGGGACAATAGAATTCTTTTAAAGATGGCGAATGGAATGAATAGCTCTCGACTTTAATGAGTTCATGAAGAGAGGAGATAGAAGAGAGTGAGTAGCGAGGAGTGAGATATGTTGGGGGGATGATTCCAGATGGCTTTCGGATGGATTCGGATGACGTTGCGTAGCGGGCGCCGAATTTCACGGCATGATACACGTGATTCCCTTTTGTCTCACGTGACTACATCTTCAACTACAAGCCATCGCGCTTCACTCTGGAGTCATCGTTTCTCTATCAACCATGGAGATAAACAACCATGCATCACTTCTTCTCGTCACAGTACCTTCCGTTCTGTGGGATTTTTTTGATCATGGATGAAGGATGCGAGAGCTTCTTTAGAGAGACATGGACTTTGTAGAGCTTGATGCTGGGAAAGTTCTCGTTTGGCTCTTTGTGCTAAAGGCAACAATTATTTGATGCCGAGACGTCTACTCATCATTTCTATCTTCTATTCATGACTTGCTGTTCAGGTATTGTTTCCTTCGAACGAAAGTTGTTCTGTTTGAAAGGAAGTATGTGACTAAGGGTCATTACAATTAAAGGTGTCATAGGGATGTACTCGTTGAGACTGTTTTGAGCCTTGTATTTATTTAATTTTTTTTGGATATCTGCCTCAGTCAATCACATTCTCGCGTCTGATACAATGAATTATTGTGCTCAAAGCGGCACGGGTCATTCTTCGTGCGTACATCTTTCTTCCGCTAATGTCATAGTATTCAATCGAAATACGTTTCAGAACAAAGCGCATCTTTGTTCATTTACCAAATTCGAGACCCTCCCGCATTCAGACACTTGATCTTTGAAAACAAAAGGTAGGTCATATTTGCTCTAGAATATAAGTTGTTGACTCTGTTACGCCACTTTTGAGTCAAGTTTACTGTTTACACCTGTCAAGGCATGAGCAACACAGATGAAAATCATCATCCTCCTCTACGATCTTTACCAGTCCTCTGCCCGGTGGCCTTTTGATAGCATTTATTAACCTCGTTATACTTAGTTCGTATGGGATTTGTCTATTCTACTACTAGAAAGTCACTGTACCTTAGTCTCAATGCCGGCCAAGGATCACCATTGTCCCGGGAGGAATGGCCCAGTCGGCAAGGGAAAGTCGATGATTCGCGCTGGAAATTGCAGGTGGACAGAGTTCGGTGTCCATCATTGCGAGAGACATATGCATTTTTGTATCCTCCACAAGATCGCAATGATGAAGGGAAAGCCTTGCCCAGCATGTCAAAAAGGGTTAAGGATAAAGTTGATCACATCTAGTTCAATCAAGTTTATCTAGGCTAATCAGTGTCGTTTAGGGACAGAAAAAAAGACGACAAAGATAAAGATAAAGACGATGACAAGGATAAAGACAAGGATGGGAATGATCCAACGCATAGGGAGAAGGGAGACGCGTCAGGGAGCAAACAGGGCTCAGGGGCTAAAGGCAACAAGTCTAGGTCGGGGAAAAAATCATCACCAAAGAAGCACGGGGTGAAGACCAAATCTGCAACAACAATTTCGAGCACGAGAGCTGCTTATAAGCCCCATACCTACTTCACCCGCGCCAATGTCCTTTGGCTACAAGCGGAGATAGATGGTTGCAATTGGGATGCTCTTGAAAGGCAGGCGAATATTAGGGGAGGCATGACTGAGTTGGGGGCATAGTGAATGTTGGGGCTATAGGGCGGATGTTTTTGTCCAACTTTTGCATCTGCTTTTTCTCTGAACTTGGATGGTAGGAGTTTGTACTTTGTTTTGTATTATTTACGGTTCATTCCAGGAGTTGAGATGGCGGTGAATAGCTCTGGTAGATACCATGCCTAGTGATTGATTCCACAATGATACTACAATGATTTTGCACTCCCTTGTTATAAAAATTTCTCTTATCTTGTATTTTTCTATTAGCTTTCTTGATGTTTGCGAGAGCTCTTCCTACTATGTCCTGTTAACCCCTTTTTCTCTTGAACACAAACAGTTGAGCAGGAGAAGCTGGCTATATGATTATGCCTTATTCGAGATAAGAATTACCACTTAATATATCCATATCCGATAGATTTTATATAATGAATTACCGTACAGAATCTTCCATAATCATCCTTCAACAAGCTCTTGTCTATGCCACTTTCAATTTTCCTAAGTTCCTAACTTCCTGTCACAGAAATACCAAGATCAAATAGTCTTCTATTAGTAGAGTTTGTAGGGCACGAGGTCAATTATTCACCATGAAAACAAATCCATATTCATCTCTGTGATGTTTTTCGTGTTGAGGGCGTTGCGTTCTAGAAATGCAAAGATTTATATTCTCCTTACGTCGTCAAAAAGTTATAGAAGCAAGAATAGAAATCTTGGTACTATATCCACCATGTTTTAACTCAACGTTTTATTATGATATATATCTAAGAGACAGGATTTAGTTGTCTTTTTTGAAATTATTCTCCTTTTTTCTCTTTTTTCCATTTCTTTTTTTAGTGACGAAGTTCTTAACTGATTAGGACTAGCTGTTTGGCTGCTCTAGAAGTAAGCAGCTCTTGGGTCTACACCTCTCTGGTCTTCTCCTCCATTGTTTTTAGCGCTTCCTTCTACATGACAGAGTTACCATTTCTCCTTACCGTTATTACCACTCTTGATGCTGCTCACCATAAGAATCACCAGAAACTCGACAGTATCATCACCTGCCTACATACGCAGAAACAGGCTAAACATACAACGAGGTAGTATTTAATACCCGCATATTCCGCAATGCCACTACTGAACGGTACTAGCAGTCAGGCAGATCCGGTCCCGAAATCCACGTTTCAAGGTTGAAGGTCCTACATGATGTCAGCTTCACGTCCAAGCTAATAACCTAATACCACCAATCTTATTTAATACGGGGATGTAATCGCCAAATTTCCCTCCTTAACTTTCTTACAACCCTCCCAAAGTCTCGTTGCCAGTTCATTAGAACCCTACAAACGCAATCATGCGCGCAAATCAGGATACTTCTTGCATTCTCAAGTCTGAAGATAGGGCATCGAAAATTCCGAACATCGTTGGCTTTATTATTATTCGGATATTACCCATCGGCAGTCTGTCTTTCTTCCTCTACAAGACGCTCACAGAAGTCGTACTTGATGGGGATCAATACCTCAGGATGTTAATTATTAACACCATTGCTTGCATCATGGTACATTCCGGCATATTGTACAGTTCTAAGTACGATTCTATCAAGCTGGAGGAGTTGGGGTCCCGACAAGCATGGCTCGACACTTTGAACTCGACTATTAAGACATGGGTCAAAGGAAATGGTCCCGTTTTCAGATGTTTCAGTTCACTTGAATCCGAGGATAAGTACATACAGTGCGAGAAGGAGGTATTTGCCGCGTACTTGGCGGGTTCACGCCAGGGAATACCACCACCCTTTTCTTCAAGAGAAGCCCGTTATCGATTAACGATCTGGATTGTGTATACATTTGTAGTCCTTCGACTGGCCTCCGCCGACATTCTTCCAGCCTTGGCTCAATCTATAATGTGGAGTAGCATATTCCTATGGCTTCTTGCTTCTTTTCTGATTGGAAGGCGGCTGGGTCGGTCCGTGGAAATGGGTGGCGCGGTGGAAAAAGTAAGAAAGGAATGCGAGAGTATTGATGTGGAGAAAGGGGAGGATATACGGGAGCAACTAGAGTGGTGGATTGAAGCTATCCTGAAAGAAGAATCGGACTCAGATGCATTGGCTAAGCAGAGAATGGAGGTAATAATAGCTCCGCTTTTGAGAGCTGTCCGCTGCTGATTGAAAGCAAGAGGGTTTGAAAATAACTGTGCGGTTCTCAATTAATTCCTCTGGACTCGCTAGTAGTCACTTGTACATCACGCTTATAGGGAATCTGAATGACACCAAGCGCAGAAATTCAGAGTCAGGTAGTCTACCTTTCTTAAGAACTTTGTGAAGCCCTTTCCCCTTCAATAATCAAGTTTCCTTCACAAATAACATCTCATACCTAGTACCCAGTACTCTTGGCTAGCCGCTGGACCATCAAACCCCAACCCCGCGTCCTCCTTCTCCTCCGCTTCCCTCCTGTCCCATGAATCCATTCAATTCTCTCCTCCGTCCTAATTCCTAGTCCTACTCCTTGTATTCATCTCCTTCGTGATGCACATTGTATCACTTGATTGCCGTCACCGTAGATTTGCCTCGTTCCGGAATCCTGCTCGAGTGGCTTGAGACCGTTCCCAGCTAATCCTGAATCAGAAATCATTGAATGACTCTCTACCTCCTTCACGAAAGGAAACAGCGTAACTGGCAGACGGTAACGACTATGTGTACAGTGCCATGTCGTGCCAATCCCCTCCACGCGTCTATTGTCAAATGGTGACGATGGCCGTGGAACAACCCATTTCCAGGGGAAGGGCTTTGCCGTCATGAGGATAGTAGTTTAAAAACCTTCGTTCGTCTTGATTACAACTGTAGACAACTATGCTACAGCTCTGCGTACAGCTGGAACTGGACAATGGACCAATGGTGATGTAGCCTCAATGGTATCTTCTACATCGTGTATCCTGTTAGCTAAAAATTCATACTAATGGCGCCACAGGTACATGTGTGAGAAAGACATCTATCGCAGAAAGTCAATGCTAATCCTTCGTAGGGGATCGTCCGTGTAGGTATGTATCTGTGGCAGTTTGAGATGCCTGTGTTGCTAAGAAACCGAGAGTGCCAAACGGAGTGAATGTTAATTTTCAACGGGGCCAAAATTGCTCAGAGATGCAAAGATACAAGCTTAACCTTGTAAACAAGTGGAGAAGATGCAAGATAATAGCCGCTGCCGTATCTCTAAGAACAAGTTCGTTTCATTTGACACAATGCTGATGGTTTGCTTGTTCTTTGTCGTTTTGGAGGATTTACTTGCTAATTGCGCATTGACAGCCGAAATCGTGTCCGACAGAGCTGGGATTAGAAGGGATGAAGCTATCCCGTGTCTTCGGAGGGCCTAAATAGTATTTTGGCTACGGCTGGAAGCCTGTTCTCCTGGATGACCATTTGGTCAACCACGATAGTGGAGACTCGAGAGCGTTCTCAGAAAAGAGGAGAAGACCTTGGGGACTTCTGCCTAATAATCATAGCAAGTGGTGTTTTGCTTTATCAGATGTCCTTCACACACTTTCCCAATTTCCTCCATCTCCGGCATAGTTGATGGATTGTATGGTTAGCCGTCCGATGCTCTGCGTCCAAGAACGTTCCAAGGGCAGTTGTGCTCCAGCTACGCGACATGCGATTGTGTCCTGGGTCTTCCAGGCTTCCTTCTAGGGGTTAGCTCGTGTTTTTAAGATGGTCAAAGCTAGGTAGACTTACACTCCATAACTCAAGCCTTAGTATTATATCCCCTATCAGTCGTGTTTGACATGGCATAAGGTGATCTGTGATGATATACGATAATTCTGGTGTTGATTTTTTCGAATCGAGATTGTCGACTCGTTGAGTTTGTTAGCTTCTTCGAGGTTGTTATGAATTGTTGAACATTCTGGTAGGAAGTTCCCTCGAATACTGACGCCCAAGGCCCCGCGAAGGCCAAACTCGTCTTGGGCTACTCGTGCCTAGGAGGTCCATCACAGACACTCAACAGTTCTTCGGAATAAGCCCTACTGATCCTGAAGGAGCTGATCAGAAACCTCCTAGACGACGAGCGAGTCATCACTTATCCCTCACCCTCCCACTTGTCTACCGCCCTTTACCTTCTCCACAGCGCTCTCCCTCTAATCTTCTCCCGCAAAACGAAAGTTGCAGCCAAGAGGACAGACAGAAGACCAACCACAAAAGACGCGATATTGCCTTCTGTCCACCCAAAGTTTCGAATCTGCACACAGGTAGTGAGAAGTCCCCATCTGTCAAGGAAGGTCGAAACTCCAAGCCCGGCACGAAGATATTCAGGGTCGCCTAGTCGAGGGCTTATCCAAAGTTGATAAACCCAAACCGCCAATTGAGTAAGGATTCCGTTGGTCAAAAGGACAATTGTAGAACTAACTTGTCCTTGGACAAAAAGATCACCGTAGTGGTAGAAGAGCAGAATGTTTGCCCCGACAAGAGTGAGGGATGGGATAAAGTCTTGCCAATTCCTCGAAAGAAAAGAATCATTGTCACCAACTGAAAAGCTCGAGAAAACCACGATGAGATACATCCCTATTATAACCACTACGTCAAAAAAGCCAGGAGGAAACATCCGAAACGAATCCTGGTCCATATCCATGGCGAACTGTTTGTTATCTTGTATTCTCTGATATCGCTTTTGTTCTGCTGTCACTGCGTTGTTGTCGTTGTCACTGGAACCTGCTCAAGAATCACGGAAAGCACAAAATTCTGCTTTAGTATCGTGCCTTCTAAAAAGGCGACTTTAATTCACAAGTTTACATCACAATCGGTTCCGAGGATTCCCCTGTGTTCCTTCCTCCCTTGGATCAGACAGCAATTGCTCATTATTTTGGCGCTACAACTCTCGAAGAAAGAGCATAGCAGGTCATTGCTATAGATTGAGGCTGGTGATATACACCAGAAAAGGCAGGAAACGGTATTACTGTACGGGCTGTATAACTATATACGGATAGGAGGTCAAGAAGACAAAGTAAACAAGGCAGAACGCTGCAATGTGTTATGTATGCTTAGGCCTGGAAAAAAAATTAACTTTAGGCCTTGCAATAACTATCTACCCGAGCGACTCAATTTGATCGACTAATAACAGCACAAAAACCCCCAGATTGTAAGAGTCTAAAAATGACATGAAACGAAAGGCAGTAAAGAGTCAAAACAAACTCTGTTTTGTAAATGTATAGAGCCAACAGAGGAACACGCGCATAAGTGAAGATCTGGGAGCAATGGCATAATGTTATCTTGCTTGATGGATCGGCCACTTGACTACCTTCGCAGACATCCCACTTGGCACTTGCCCTCGCCGAGTGGAACTCTCCTAGCCAAATGAGCCGTCAAAGGGCTTCTAACTCCGGCAATCATAAGTGGAGTTTATCAATTTTGTCGACAAGCAAGCAAGGAAAAGCTCCCATGTCATTGCAGTGATCCACGCTTCATGAAGCTTCACGAGCTCCACGTCGAGGAGCATCGGTGTAAGCTCTGCAACAAGATTATAAACATAGTCTACATTCGAACTGTATCAAGTATGAGAATATCCGCGATAGAGAGATGTGAACAGTAAAATGTTCGTGATTGATTGAAAGTCTTCTGACGAGGCTTCATCCTCATCGGCTCGCTAAGCCGCCCTATTGATATTAAGACAATGCAGGGACTTGGATGAAGACCAGAGCTCAGTACGCTACACATATAATCCAATAAGAGCTCCAAACCCCATTCACCCCATCGTTTCCTTGCATGACAACGTGGTCGTCGAAGAATCGCCTGTAGCGCCGCAAATGTCGCGTCTCTCGGAGAGTGGCAAATCAACTTAAAAGACCCACGATTACCACGACATCCGAAGCACAGCTCAATAAAAGAGCGGCAAAAAAAAGTGAGGAAAAAAAAAGGCACATCGCAAAGGACATGAGGGCCTAATCCGGGATCGAACCGGAGACCTCTTACAATCGAGATGCGGAGTCCCAAAGCAAGAATTCTACCACTGAACTATCAGGCCGTTTATGTTGCTAATTCATTCCTAGTTAGAAAATATATGTCCCAAAACGATTGATACAAAAAAAAGAAAAAAAAAGGGAATTTAATACCCCACGTAGAGGGGATAGAAGCGCATAGTGCGGGATCGAACCGGAGACCTCTTGCAGTTAAGATTTAAGGGATAAATATGCGTTGCTGATCTATCAATTGCAGGGTGTCGTGATAAGCGAATTGGTCTATCGTGATTGCAGAACGGCGGAAATGGTCGCTGCTCTGGATGGAGTCGCACTCCAATAAATTTTGTCGTTTGTGGGTGCCATCTCTGTCGTTATACGAGCTACAATTTGTTGCGCCTGGTGCTCAGACTACGCGATGTAGTATAATGCTGAACCGGATAAAACCCGACTTCGGGACAATGCTCATTGGAATTATTGAAATGAACCCGATCCCAAAGGAATTCCTTCTTCCCTGTGTGATTGATGTTTTGCCCTTAAAGATACTGTCTAGTGACAAATATAGTGATCAGGCGTTTGAGAGGAAGTAGACTCCGCACCTGAACAAGAAATGAAATGAAAAGAGGAGCAGGCGAAGAGTATCATTGGACATTATACTAGCAAAACAAAATGCATACCCAAGTTGCTCCCTTTCCCTGAACTCCATCGCTAATCGCAATCCAAAAACACCAACGCTTGCAGCGGATGAAACAGTTACGGCGCTCGCGGTATTGTGAGAATATAGGGCAATTCCCCCTCTTCGTGCGATGGATTTAACCTAATCACGCTCCCCTGACTCGAGGACTGCAGACTCTCGCTCGAAGCGCCACTGCCAGCATAATGTTTACTGCTCTGCGCAAAGCTATTGCCACTCGCTGACCTGAGGTTGACCCTCTTCCTGCTGCTGGGAGTCGCGGGAGCTGCGCTGAATTCGGAGAATGTCCTCGTTGTCGAAGTGCGGCTTCTGCCGACTGGTCGAGAAAGAGCTGTGCGAATAGTACCTTCGCTACCACTACGAGTACTAGAGCTATAAATAGAGACCGTGGACCGACTGCGTGGGGTGGTGCTCGAGGAATTGTCATCGTCGATGTCGCTTTCTTGATAAATGTCGAGATCTGCGAGTAGAGCTGGGTTAAGCGGTTGCATGCTATGGAGCAACTCGGTAAAGAGTCTCATGAGGTCCCGAAACTGGGCTTCATTAAGGGGTTGACCTGAGAAGCGTGCGTATTCATATGCAGCCAGGAAATCGGTGGCTGTGGAGGGCGATGTAATGACCTCAACACTAATAAGGTGTCCTACGTAGTCGCGGAGGCCCATTGAAAGAGGTCTTTGTAGGACATCTACTGCTCGAATATCTGGCAATGGGGGATCGGACGTAGATTCTGGATCTGAAGGTGCTAGAGACACAGCTCTTGCTTCAATAAGATGTGGAAGTTCGAGAATGACACTGATGTATTCCAAGTTTGGAAAATCTGGCGATAAAGGTGACGACCAGCCATTGTGCTCTATCTCCCCCCAGACAGGTCTGTGAGGAGGTATCTCTACTGTCTGCTCATCTTTCTCTGCTTGAGGCCGGTGTTTATGAAGTATTCCATGCCTCTTACCCTCTTTCTTGGGCTCGGAAGCTCTAGCAATAGGGTCTTTTGTTTCTGGCTCCGATATCACGGTCGTCAATGGTGAGTCGACACGAGGTCGAGAATCCCATGCGATGGCAGCGCTTCTATTGAGACCGCCAGCGATCATCTTCCTGACATTCTCGCCCACATCGCCCTTCTCCACAGGAATGTATGTCTTCGGTATCGCTTTCAGCACTGTATTACTCGTCCACAGTCTTGATGCATATATAAGGATCGCGAGGACAACGGTGACGAAGTAGGCCCCCGCAATAACAAATACATTGTAAAGCTGATTGTTGTCGAGCGCTTGTCTGATGGCATCGGCAGGTGTGATAATCAAGAGGCCAAGTAGGACGATGTTTAGAATGGTGAAGAAGATCTCGTAAAGGATGCGGTATAGAAGGCGGGTGTTCATCGCGGCAACATGGTCTGCAAGGCCGAGGCAGAGGCCGCAGAGGCCGCAGAGGTTCAGGCACACGTGGCCATTCGATGGAGGTCGCGCGGCGGGTATCGATTGAGCCCTTCGTGGCTCCGCGACATTAGGAGTGGAGTGGAGAATACTTGGATATCCAATGTCTGCAGTGATGAACAAATGTGGTCGTGAAGTCGAGCAGGCGGCGGGAAGAGGTGAGGTTGGATTTTCGGGGGATTATTACGTAAGGGAAGTGAGGCAGAGCTGAACGTGGTGCTCAAACCTTGTTGCCTCGCTCATATAACAGTGCAATTATTTGATAGCCTCATCGCAGCTTGACAGCTCCATATCTCCAGCTGGTCACGTATCAAAGCGCTTCTCCGGATGCTTTCAACAGAGGAGTTTCAGAAGCGGCAGCTCTTTTGTTATCTTCGCAAGATAGGGGAGTCGATATGAGCCATGAGGCACCTAAAGAGCCCCTCGAGGTGTCAGGCGTCTTTAGGTGCTTGCTTATCTTCTCCAGCCAATCATTGCTCCACGTGTTGTGGGTTGCGGGCCAAAGCTGGCATATCTATCCCCAAGTTGTTGTCGTCGGCTTGCTTCAGACTTCGACGAAGTATTAGTGCTCCAAGGTCCAAGGGTCCCTCTGCACATGGTCAATCACGATACCCATTGCCCTATCAGATTTGGGGTTCACGGCATAATCGAGCTGTCGCGTGTCGCTGCAACCAGAGACTTTGGCACCTTGATAAGGTTTCTGTTATCTTCGCGGCAATATAAATCCCTCTTTCGGAGAGCTGTCAAGCCTGTCATGTCAGGACATGGACCTGCAATTGCCCCTCTCCAGCCTAGTCTCTTAGACCCGTCACTACTCCGTATTTTGTATTGGAGGAGCGGGGTCCCGATGGTCCTCCCTCAACCTCCCACCATCTAAAATTTCCCAGGCCGTTCTAACCCTTGTCCTGGAATCTGTGGGATCTCCAAAAACCACCCCTTTAAGCTTATAGATCCGACAAGACGGCCAGCTCTGACCTATCATTGTCGTCGCTGCTGGGGATAGCGACAATCTAGTCATGTTCCGCTATCGTAGCTCAAGGCCCCGCCACAAGTGTTGTCGGACAAACGCTGCTACAGTAATTTTGAACTCAATGATAAAGAGCTCAGCCCCTCTCTCATCTCCCCCAGGTTTTTACTCTCCTTCAGTCACCGGAGGAATTGAGGGCCTTGAGTTTCTCTGCGCTTAAATTCTGCAGCCTGTTCCCCAATTTCGATGTCTGCTCAGTCAAACCCCCCGCTCACTCCGAGCAAGGAGAACAATGATTATCCTAATGACAGCAAGAATGTTGCTACGGAACGAGATGTCTCCATTGATGAGCCCTCGATCGGCAAAGGGGTTGATCTTCTAGCATTGCAAGACGCTGACCCCGCACTTAGTGCTAAAATGCATATCGTGAACAACGTGAGAGAACATTCCCACAAGCGCCACTCTTACGTCGAACCCCTCGCGGCCTTCGAGCTCCAGCTAATCATGGGTCGGGCCAGGCTATCGATGAAATTGGGTTCACTCCATATCACTGGAAGCTTTTTGTATTGAACGGATTTGGGTAATATCTCCTCCGTGATCATTGATTCTAATACTGACCTCTCAACCATACAGATACGCCGTTGACTCATTACTTCTTCTCCTACAGTCAATTATTTCAACGCAAGCAGGCTATGAATTCAACCCCTCATTTACCCGTGGCCTGACGATTGCGGTCTACGTTGGCATGTTCGTCGGAGCCTTGTTCTGGGGATTGAGTGCAGATGTGATTGGAAGAAGATTTGCTTTCAACGTATCCCTCTTCATCTGCTCTATATTTACGACTGTAGCTGGCGCAGCACCAAACTGGGCCTCTCTTGGGGTTTTCATCGCCTTGCTGGGATTTGGGGGTGGTGGAAATCTCATTCTTGATACCACAGTATTCTTGGAATATCTGCCATCAAACAAGCAATGGGTCGTCAGTATGTTTTGCCAGTTCATTTCAAGACGATTAGAGTGATTTTTAGCCGCCTCAGGATGACCGCTAACTCTCTCCAGCGTTTCTTGCTGCCTGGTGGGGACTTGGACAGGCAATCGCAGGTTTCATTGCCTGGGGGTTCTTGTGTAAGCAGCTCTTTCGGTTTCATGGCCTATTTTCTGATCCTCCAAATAGCACCTGCAAAATGGAACTGCCCAGACCCATTTGATTCAAACGGCGTACGAACTTCAGTCTGCACCTACCATAGCAATATGGGGTGGCGATACGTGATGTATACAAGCGGCGCTTTGGTGTTTGTAATGAGTGTTGCCCGAATCACCATCATCCGTCTGAAGGAAACGCCCAAGTACCTCCTGGGAGAAGGCAAAGATACGCAACTGGTGCAGGATTTCCATGCCATGGCGGCGAAATATAACCGTCCCTGTTCCATCACCGTGGAAATGCTAGATGCGTGCGGAGTCGTGCAGTCCGCTCACGGGAAGACCAAGTTCTCTATCTCTGAGCTGACGATCCATTTCCGGGGTCTGTTCGCTACGCGGACCACCGGTCTCTCAACCGTCCTGATCTGGCTGTCGTGGACATTGATCGTGGGTACTTCTGACCAGGTCTCGATTCTTGATTCTAATTTCACGAAATGCAGGGCCTTGCATATCCCCTCTTCTACGTCTTCCTCGACTCTTACCTCGCAAGCCGCGGCGCGAACTTCAACGTCTCAACCTACGACACCTGGCGCAACTATGCCCTCGTAAACATCTCCGGCATTTTTGTTCGTCTTCCTTCCCTCTCCCTCTTCAAAGCCAACTAACCAAACCCCAGGGTCCGATGCTCGCCGGCTACATGGCTAACTGGCGACTTCTCGGTCGAAAATACACCATGGTGATCGGCGCCCTCATAACCAGTATCTCCCCCTTTTCCTGTTCCTTTTCCTTTTCCTTTCCCCTGCCCCCTGCCCCCTCTCTCACCCCAGCTAACCCCCACCTTCCCTCCCCAGTGGCCTTCTTCTTCGCCTACACCCAAGTGCGCACCGAGCCGCAAAACATCGGCTTCTCATGCGCCATCGGTTTCGCTCTGAACATCTATTACGGAACCCTGTACGCCTACACCCCCGAGGTTCTCCCCTCGGCTCATCGCGCAACCGGGAACGGTATCGCCGTCGCGTGTAACCGCATCATGGGCATTCTAAGCGCTGTCATCGCGACCGTCGCGAACACGAGTACCAGCGTACCTATCTATATCTGCGCCGCGCTGTATGTGGCCATGGCAGCAGTCGCGGTTGCGTTCCCGTTCGAACCGTATGGGAAGCGCAGCTCGTGAGTGGTGAGTGGTGGTTTGATTTTGGGCTTTTGACTTTTGCGTTTTTGGCGGATATGGAGTTTGGTGGTGGAGTAGATGGAGTATGTTAAGATAGATAGGTTAAGTATAGAATTAGAGAGGAATATCATAACTACTATACTGCTCGGTTTGTTTCTCGCTGGCTAGAATGAATAGATACATACATGCATACTCGCTAAGCGCTCACTTTTTTCCGCATCCTGGCTTCCATTCATTGCTTTACAAGCTCCCAATGCAAAGAGACAAATAAACATAAACATAAACAAAATCGCAACAGAGATAAGAGGTCGCCAGCTAACATAATCCTAAACCCGCATGCTAAATATGAGATGACGGAGAGCGACCTTTGAAAACGCCAAATTTGGATAAGGAAATGTTTAGTCGTACCTTTCCTTTCCTTTCCTTTCCACCTCTTCTTCCTTTGAACATTCGTCCTAGAACCAACCCATGGGTGAGCGGGTCGCTCAGCGCTTAAACATATAATGACCATACATGCCCCCGACCTCGGCCCTCGCGACCGGAATCTTCCTCATGCCCCAATAATTCGCGCCCCATTTCCACTCCCTCGCTCCCGTGTCCAGCTTCTCCAGCTTCTCGAGCTCGTGCTCGCCATTCCCCAGCCCGGGCGCGCCCACGGCGTTCACGCGCGCGTTGACACCGGCGTCGACGGAGCGGCGCACGCCAGGGTCCCGCACCATCCACCAGCGGCGCCCGGCTTCTTTCAGGCACCATCCGGCGCGCTGCAGGACCGACTGGCTCTTCTCGAGCTTTTTGCTGACGTCGCCGGACACTTCGATTACTTCGAGGGGCGCGCTGGCGGGGCGGAGAAGGGGGCAGGTGGTGCTGAAGAGGGTGCTGAGGTCGAGTTGGGGGAGGGAGAGGTCGGAGACGTCGAGGTAGCGGAGTTGGGGGTTTGTCCAGGGAGTATGGTCGTCGTCATCGGATGAGGGGTCCGATGAGGATGAGGAGGAGGGGGGGTCGGGAACGAAAAGGCGCGTGATGGAGCTTAGTTCCAGATTGCGGCCGAGAGAGAGCTCCTCGAGATGTTTGGTTAGCGGCAAGAGGAGCGGGATGTGGGTAGGGAGCATCTTGGAGCCCTTGAGGTTCAGAGAGCGCAAGGTCGGCGGGAGGACGGGGAGAAGGGCAGAGATGTCGTCTTCGCTGAAGAGTTCGTGCGATTTGGCGTCCATGCCGAGATTAAGGTAGACGAGGCTGCGGGCGGCGGGGTGGGTGGCCAGGAAGGAGACCACGGAGGGGCCGGTCAGGTGAGTGCATTTGGAGAGGTTGAGGTGGGTTAGACGCGCGCTCTTGGGGATGCTGTGAAGGGCTGCATCAGTGATGCGCGTGTGCGCGACATCTAGGTGGGTGAGCCGTGGTAGGCGCGGGAGGAGGGTAGTGAAGGTTTGGCAGGGCAAGATGGTGCATTCGTGGAACCCTAGCCTCTGGACCGACAACTCTGCCGGTAACTTCGTGGCCGAGGAATCGAGGAGCTCGACCCAGGCCTCCTTGAACTTGGTGCTCGAGCAAGCGCAGAAATCGACCGCCTTCAATTTCGGCAGTTCCCCGAACAGGGATTCCAGGACATTCACATCGATCTCGTCGTCGATATGTTCCTGAGCCAGAAACTCCCTGAGGTTTGGCACTAGTTCCAGGCACTGCTTGAGCGTTTCCGGGATTAGATTCCGGGTCTCCATCCGCTCTCTCCTGGACATGCCGGCGCCGGTCGGATTGAAGTGGGAGAAATCCAGCCGTCTCACAATGGTGCCCAGCGAGGGGTAGACGCTGATGTGGGAGAGGAATTTGCGGAAGATGCGGGAGTGGGGAATAGTGATTTGCGCGTACAGGGTGGAGAGGGTGGCCGAGTGCAGCGAACGGGAGGTGAGGAGAAGCGACATCAGGTCGATGTTGCGGGCGGTGAAGCCATTAGGCGGGATATCAGTTACGAGCTGATCAATTATTGCGCCTGGGAACGTTAGAAGATGTTGAATGCAATATCTCAGAGCGAGAGGTCTGACTGAGAGGCCCATGTCATGTGACCTACATCTATTCTCGTGAACAGGAGCGGCGGTTCTGATTGAGGACGACTAGAACCGCTCAATCCATCTTTCAGAAGAACGTTTAGAGAGCGTAGAAAGAACTCACCAAGCAGCTCCATCGGCAACCTCTCCAGCGGACTCTGGCCAGGCATAATCTTGCCATCTTCCTTCCTCACCTCCTTGATCCCATCCTCGCCCACAATCATCTTCTCCGACCTGTCATCCTTCGCCTCCCAATCCCAGCCGCGGGCCAGCCGTCTCAAGTCTCCAAAACTCTTACTCGCAACCTTGCCCCCGATACTGATACTCTTCCAGCCCCGAAAGCTGTCACAGGGACAGACCAGCCCGTGAAGCGCGCTCTGCGGATTCAGCATTTCCGGGCTCTGCTCCTTCTCAACGGGAGTCGAGCAACCTGAAGAGAGGCAGTCTCCGCTGTCGACCGCGTCTTCCGACCCGAGCAATGCAAAGTCCCTGCGCAGGTACGAGGACGTCTTGGAATCGGTAAACGACTGGGGGACGCCGGTGATGTTCTCCTTGATACTGGAGAAGCTGGTGCGCTCCACGCGGTCGGGGACGGCTGGAGATCTTATAGTCTTGCCCACGGGATTTGTTTCTGGGTCACCGGGAAGGGGAAGGGGAGAGTCGCAGGCGGCGCACAGCGCAGACATGCGTGGCCGCGACGGCAGCACGAAGGGATGGGCACCACGGGCGGCCATGATTTGATTGTTCAGATGAGGGCTAGAGGCCAGAGAGGCCAGAGAGGCCAGAGAGGGCAGAAAGATTGTGCGAGATGCTAGGAATAATGGCAAAGCTTCCGTCACGGCTCGCAGAACAATGCAAGAATAATCAGGGCGGAGCACGCGATGAGGATGCTGGCGCGCGAGAGGCCAGTCGTTGGTGGCGGAGAAGAGAAACTTTTAGTCAAGCACTCGTCGCCTTTAGTCAAGGAAACAGCGACAATTGCGGGGAAAGAGGAGAAGCAGAAATCAATGAATAATCGATACTGCACGGGGGGGGTTGGGAAGATAATAAAAAACAACAAGAAGAAGACAAGAGAGACAATAGGCAATTATCCCCCAAGGTGCACTCGCATTAGCTGGGTTCGTGTACTGTCTTGGAGTTGAAGGGGGGGGTTGCGCCTTTGTATGCGATGCTCCATGGCCACCGCGTATGATTCATAGCTAGCTCATGGAGAGAAGCGCCGCGCCCCTATTGGATCGGGGGAGCATTTCTTCTCTAAGAGAAAAAAGAGAAAAAAGGGGAAAGGCTTTTCCACTTCAAATTTTCACTGGAACGTCTCCCGCTCGTCTGCTACAAGCTGAGCCGCGTATGATTTCCAGGCCAGCGCTAAGCGTTCCAGCGTTTTTTTCCTCGACCACGGATGGCTTCGAGGGAACCCCGTGACCTGAAAAGATCCCGGGCCGGTCAGCGGAATGCGGTCGCGGCGTCTGCAAAATGTGACGCGCGTGGCGAGTTGGAACTTGGCGGGCGTTGGCGGGGATTGGCGAGGCGTTGGCGAGACTAAGCGAACGCTGGCGAGATCGGTCCTCGCGCTTGCTGCATCCTTAGGCCGAGGCCCGAAGGCGCGCTTAGAGACACCGGTCGCGGCGGGTGCATCACGTGGCCGGCATCTGGTTCACGTCTCGCCGGTTGATAAGATAATCATCCGATGACGTACCCTCTGGCACATCTGAATTCGGAACAAACAAGTACTGGATCCCCTTCCCATCCAATCACTTTACATCCAGGACCACGCCGGCATGTTTCTCAAGCAGAATTGGATACCTTCCAACAACAGGAAGTCCTGACCGCCAAACCAGCCAAGAAAGAGCCAAGAAAGGTATATTGTATCCACACAACCCCCCCGTTTCCCCGCCATTTCCCCGCCATTTCCCCCTGCATTTAGAGGAGGCGCTACGATCACCAGTTTAGTAATAGCCCCTGGCTCTCTGCTCATCAGATGCGACATGAATGATGATATGAGCAGGGATTTGTTCTTTTTCAAGCTTTCGGGAGACTCCCCTTTAGGCATGACCCACTTTCTCTCCGCATTACCTTACAAGCTTGGATCTCCCCAATGTTCTAATTGCGTACTATATATAGTGTCAGTAATACAGGGACCTCATTTCATAAGTGCCGAATTTCTCTAGCTTTCTGTTCTTACTTCTTTTCCTAGAAAGTAACCAACTGCTTCTCTATATTCATTCCTCTTCAGTTTCCAAGACGAATGGTTTCCATGCCAAGATAACTTACCAGAGAACCGAGACCAATGGTTTCCATGCCAAGATAATTTACCTGAGAAACTTTGTCTCTTGAGATTTGTGGCTGCGACATGAAGGAATGAAGAGTTAATCAGGGGGGCAAAGAATGTCTTGGAGACTCAACTTTTTCCATTTCATCACGATCCTGTCAAGGAGTATCTATCTATTATTGAGTTATCCTTTATCTGATCTGCTCTTTAAATTAGACAAGTCTCTGGGGATAAGAATAGTTGTTTCTTTGGCGTTATTCAAGTTTCATTCACAGTCTCGAGTGTTTGATTAGATACACATAACATCAAGCTATGATCTCCTTCTTTCTTTTTGTTCTATCCACCCATCACCAAAAATGAGCGTGGAGTGTATGGGGTTTATCGGCTGGTATTTATATAAATAAAATATAGAAAAAGGATAACATAGTGTATTACTACACAAGCAAAATATCCAACTGCTTCTCCCACATCACCCCTCTCCATTCCACGACAATCTCTCCCTGCTCCATCTCTCCACCCATATGTTGTCTAATCTCCAACCTCTTTCTCCAAACCGCCTCGATCAATTCTCGAATATCCTTCCTACTAGCTGCCCCCATCGTCTCACACTCATTAAGCCATTCTCGAACCAGGAGCTTATGTTGTGGCAGATATACCTCCACCGCAGTGATGAAGACCGGCCAGAGCGTAACATATCCTCCTCCAAGTTGCTGATATTCCTTCACTGCCTGCAGGAGCTCCTCAATATACGGTATCAGGGCATTAGGTCTTGAATCCCAGATAGAGCGGTGAAAATAGACGATGGCGCCGAGTTGGAAGATGCGGTGGTGCAGCCGGACTAAGTATTGACCTGGCGAATCCTTGGGGTAAGAACAGGCTTGAAGTCGTTGATAAAGTTGGCTTATGGCTGTTTGATGTGTACTGAGCCCTCCACGCTGTGAGATCAAGGAGGAGAGTTGGGTGGTCTCGATGATGCAGGACATCAGAGCTGGGCTGGCGCCAGCCGTGAACCCGAAATCGGCTCGGGAAGCTACCGAAGATATCAGATGGTGTGTAGGGTCCAAAGCGGGAATCGTGGAGTCTGCTGGATGGTTGATATGCGTCTGCATTGTATCGCACCGGATTTTCAATAAGCAGAGACTCTGAGATGTCAGCCATGCGGCTTCGGAGCTGTGCCATGGTGTGTTAGCTTGCTGGGAACAGATGAAGTCCCACCCCCCATTAAGGTGTAATCTCCAGGAATTGGACTTTCCGTTGTAGATCTGTAAAGGTCAGTCATTATTTTGGTATTTTGAAGAAAGAAGAGACTTTCCTCGGCCATGATAAGTGTTAGGACACTAGCTAGCACAACACTGAAGTCTTCTTGCTGATCTTCGAGTCCCTTTCGTAGATTCTCAATGGCTAGGGCATAATACTTGACAGTCAAAGTTGACATGTATTCTTTCTTGCATCCTAGATGAGCGAGGTTGCCGGCTGCCTGAGCGAGCATGGCATGAAGCAAAGACTTGTGGCCTCGTGAACTTCCGCACCGAGCCATGAGCGGGTAGAAAGATTGCCATGGATTTCGCCGGTCTTTGAAAGGCATCATGTTGAGGGCAATAAAACTGGTGTAGTGATGAAATAAAAACGCAGCACTGTCTCTCAGATGATCATCCTGCAGATCATCTAATATTTGGCCCATCTCTGATGGCGGTCCTCGCGGAGGGGACACCATATTTACAGTAGAAGAAAAGACGGTAAACGGGCCTGCTGACTTGTCATGATCCCCGTCACTGGAGTTTAAGGTATCGCACTGAGAGATAAGATCATCAATACTCGAGGAATCATAAATTTGGTGGCCGCTCCAAGTTAAATCTGCGTCTATCATTTCAGTAAAGAGTCAAAAATCTCGGTGTGATCGAGGACGCCCACGAGATTTGAGAACCCGTCGCCTTCCCGGCTCATATCCCTTGTGATTTGGAGTAACCCATACTAGAACAGGCTGGTAGCCACTGCATGAAAAGCCTCTGGTGCGACATGGAGTGCATTCAGGAATAGCCTCGTCGCACTTGACACGATATCAATGCGTGAATCCCTGCTCTCGAGGACATGACTTACTCACCTTTACTTTGCGAAAACGACAGTCCCAACATCCCTATCGGCACTGATAATTAGAGCTCTATCCAGAGTATATCAATCGCTGAGATATAAGCCTTTGGCAGAGGTAACTGTCATCTTTACATACGCTGAAAGTCTTCCGACGCCGATTCTTACGCTTTTGTGGAGGAGCCTGCGCTCTTGCAGCGGGGATCGTCTCCATCAAGGATTATTGGCATTTAGACAAGAATTGCAAATTACTAGTGCTGTAACTGATGTAGTCGTTGAGCAAACAATTCTGAAAGGATGTTGTAGTATCAGGTTCTTGACGAGTATAGAAGTGTGTATGCGACCTTCCAGGGATGTACTTCACTTTACGATAGATATAGCGGATATACCGTATCGATAACGGAAAGATGTATTAGCAACAGCGTTAGCGTTCGCCGATGGCGGGTTGTGGCTTCCATCTGCATAGGAAACAGGGATTACAAGAAGTTAACCAAGCCCACTTTTGCTTGTCCAACCTCCAAAGTGGCATTCAATAGCGAAGCCAGAAATGTGATTGGTGGCATGTTTATTCATTGCCTTCAGACATTCATCTCCGTTGCCTTTAAACCACATCAATGAAATGCCCGTGGAACCAACAGGACATACGAGGGATATGACAGCGAGCATTGTATTCCAAGTGGATCTTGCCTCAGGAGTTCCTTAGATCAGAAGAAGTTGGTGACATTCCTTCAGACATATAAAATGGCCAAGATAGCATCTCTTACATTCATGCTTGTTCACAATATCAGCCTTGTGTGTGTTGAATTTGAACAGCTCGTCCTTCCGCTTTCTTCAGCTTCACTCTCATCAGGTCCCGTCTTGATATTCGCTCAGATCTCAAAATGGAGTCCGAGGCAGACAACGATAGCCTCTACGAATCGGCACAAAAGAACCTCCTCGTCTTCGGCAGCAGCTTCATGCCGGATGTCATTGTCAAAACATCCGGTATCTATCTATACACCGCGTCCGGAAAGAAAATCATAGACTGGACATCAGGCCAAATGTCCTGTCTGGTTGGACACGGTCATCCCGAGATAGTGCAGACCCTGGCGGAACACGCAGCTTCACTGGATCACTTATACAGTGGCATGCTTTCGCCTCCAGTTATCAAGTTAGCCGAGAAGCTCACGAGCGTCTTGCCTGATGGACTTGACAAGGCAGTCTTCCTCAGCACAGGAGGAGAGAGTAACGAGTGTGCGATCAGACTTGCGAAGTTGTACACCGGCAACTTCGAGATTGTGGGACTTGGTGCTAGTTGGCACGGAGTGACCAGCGGCGCCAACGGTGCGCAATACCATGCTGGCCGAAAGGGATATGGGCCTTCTGTAAGTTACTTGCTCTGCCAGTTTCGTCTAGTTCACGTCTTGCTGATTGAATGAACTAGATGCCGGGAATGCTCATGCTTCCCTCACCGGATTCCTATCGCTCCATCTTCCGTCACAAAGATGGCTCTTACGACTGGAAGACCGAGCTCGACTATGGCTGGTCTCTAGTCGATAAAGCATCCATTGGATCTTTGGCTGCCGTTATCATGGAGCCAATCCTTTCGTCTGGTGGTATTATCACCCTTCCCAAAGGATACATGGCAGCTATGAAAGAACACTGTCGTAAGCGCAATATGCTTCTGATCGTTGATGAAGCGCAGACTGGTCTTGGTCGTTGCGGTGATCTCTTCGCCATCAACTATGAAGGCGTCGTACCTGATATCCTGACTCTGAGCAAGACGTTAGGAAATGGGCTTCCCTTGAGCGCCGTCGTAACGAGCAACGAGATTGCAAAGGTGGCAGAAGAGAGGAACTTCATGTTCTATACTACTCATGCCAATGACCCTCTTCCCGCCTCGGTCGGGCTCAAGGTTCTTGAAATTGTACTTCGCGATAACTTGGTTGCAAGGTCAAAAGCCATGGGCGAGAAACTTCAAGCCGGACTTCACCATTTGATGGAACGATATGGCTGTATTGGGGATGTAAGAGGAAGAGGCCTCATGGCTGGGGTCGAGATCGTAAGCAATAGGGAGACCAAAGCACCAGCGATCGAATTCGGAAAGAAACTGAGCGCGAAGATGATGTCCTTAGGCCTGTCAGCCTCGATATCGGCGAGAACTACGTTTTCAGGGTGCATTCGTATTGCACCTCCGTTGACTATCACAGACGAGGAATTGGCAATGGGTTTAGCCATCTTTGAGGAGGCGTTGCGTTCGACGGAAGGATCTATGCCTTTGTATTGATGTAGTTTTGATACTGTCACTAAAATGGATACATCCCCTTACCTCGAAACCAGTTGTACGTTACCTCACGCATCCTGTAAAGTGTGAAATTGTTCCTCATCGCCGGGATTCTCGCTACTAGGCGTTCAACTTTTAAGCAACGTCTGAGCGTCAACCCAGGTGCGAGACTACTGACCCCTGAATCCAGGGACTGGTAGCCAAGTACCCCTTGATCTCAAAGAAAGCATCTCGGCCCTAAGCTCTCAACTTCCAATAGCCATTCGTATATCGCGATGCAATGGTGCTTTTGTGAAGAGGAATCAATCTTAAGGACTGAGAAAAGACACCGTGACATTGTTCAATGTGCAGGAAGGTACAAGAGCCAACAACTGATTATAAAAGTGATGAAGAGGACTGGCGTTGAAGAAGATGAAGAAAAGAGGCCACAGTATCGTGATAACTGTGAGGAGAATAATCTGGTTCAGGAATTGATGAGAGACTTTTAGATATGGGGTATTGGAGGGAAGGATAGTGGATAGGTGAATTTGATACAGGCAGTTAAGGCCTGTTGAGTTCCTAGCTCTGTCTTGATATGTCATGGCTATGGAAAAGTTTCAAGCCTATGTGCGACATTGAAAGGAAAATCAAGACTCTGTATGTGGGGAGGTTAATTCCGTGTGACATCTTGATGATTTAACATTGTCACTTCGGAAAGTCAAACACTGTCCATTCTGCGCTGAACAGCGCTCATCTAATCATCCACAGATTGCGTCCGTACCAGAATCCGGGCACTGAGTCTGCTCGTATATCTGTGTGTCGGTCTGTCCTCTTCTGTCCAGAATCTATAATGTACATTGGAGCGATCGGGGTTGTCGCTCGTGGAGAAGGTGGTTTTGGTCGAAGACACCACCAAGGAGTCTATGAGGGTATTTCCTTCTCTTCGCCCTCGTTCCCCTTTGCCCTCGTTTCCCTTTGCCTGTTGAAACTCCATCAGGCCGCCATTTGTGCCTGCAACTGAGTGTCTGATAGGTCACATCCTCGATATTTCCATAAATCCCTCCCTTAATAAGGTACAAAAAACTACAACACTAGGCCGCCACCGTCGTTGCAGCAGCAGTGGGCTCTGCAGTTTCACTCTGCTTCGAATTTGAACCTGGTTTGACAGGCGGGCTCTGTTTCATTCGCTTCAAGGGATGTGCCTCGGTATTGAGTACGTACTCATCTAAGCTGATAAGTTCCGGCGGAGAAAAAGTCAAATAAAAGTATTTGAGCGTTTCGGATAGCCAGAAACTCTATAGCAGAGTTCCAGATTAGTACTTTGAGCCATGTCGTGAAGGTTCTTCAGACTCACCTCCATAGAATCTTTCTTTTTCGGCGGACCTCTGACAGTGACGTCCTCGATCCCGGCATTGCCAAATTCGGTTTCTGTCGCTTTCTGGATCGATTGGAACATTCTCCAGGCCGTGTCCTGAAAGTCTCTGTGCCCCGTAATGCGGTGTAGGAGGAAGACACTTTCGATGGCTTCCGGCCGGAGGATGTAAGACGGGACCGGAGCGCCTTTAAAGCCTTTTCGAAGCCGATGGTCTCCTTCGTTCTTCCATTTCTCTTCATCCCAATCACAGCCGTCGAGCCTCTCACAGGGGAACATGTTGAAGATCTCGGGCATGATACCAGTTGGAAAAGAATCGTATGCGAACACGCAGCCCTTTGTCAACCTATACCCGATATCGATATATTCTTCAAGTTCGAATAGTCGACCACTCAGCGCAAACATGCCACCAACAAAACAGCTCAGGTGCTGGCCTTCAGCTTCCAAGACTACCCCTTCATCCTTTCCAACATGTACGCTACCAGAAAATAAAATATTCTCCTTGTCTGGAAGCATAGGACGGAACAAGAGGTGTTCCTTTATTGTTGCCAACGCTTCTTTGGCCATCTTCTCATATACAGGTTCCAGGCTACCAAGCATGGCATGCATCTTGGGCAAGTACTCGTACAAAGAATCCGCTAAGCCACCAACGGTAAACATGTTCCCTTCGGCGAAGTCCCCATCACGCATGTTGAAGAATGTAGGCCACATTCCTGGGAGCTTTGTCGAATTCTGATGTTCAGCAAGCAAGCCTGTTATCCTTGTAATTGCGTCATAGTACTTGGGATCTCCTGTGAGTTGAGATAGACGCGTAAATTCCAGAGAGAGTGAGCAAGGTGATGCCGAAGGTTGATGAGTGTCCGCAATCAGTTCTCCATTTTTGGCCTTTTCAAAGTCCAGCCAAAAGCCAGGCATGCGATTAGGCGTATCAAATCCAGCGTACAGCATGTCACCAAGCTCAACAGCTTTGACAAGTAGGACTTTCTCATTGCTGAGGTCATATGCTGCCAAAAGACCCCCAAGATGACGGATGGTCGTCTCGAAGATATTGCATGCTGTGGACGTTGTATTCGCCCAGTCAATAGTCGCCACAGCTTCCACAGCCTCGTTAAAATCTTCCTTGAGGTCCATAATCCACAGGGTGTCCAAAGAATCAATCAAAGTTGCTGCCCAACCACCGAACGTATCTTTCCCAGAACCAGAAATTGGCGTCAGTTCATCTCTCATCCATGCATATCTTTTATAACTCTTCCAATTCTTCTTGAATACCTTCCGCACTTCATCTCGACGCGAATCAAGTCGATCACGATAGGCAATACCAGTTTCCGGAGGATAACGATATTGTAACCGGGGCTGCGAACGGGGCCTGCCCGTTGGGATGGGAGTCATGGATGAAATGGGATAACGGGGCTTCAGCTTCCCCCAATCGAAACTGCTCTTCACTAGTCGGTCCATGCCTATTTTCCCTGGAGTTGGATCTGAACTACCCAAGCGTTCATACACAGCTCTGGGTCCACCAAGGTAGATAAAGAAGAGCAGGAAGGCAGTAATAGCAACATAGCGCGAGGGTCGATGAGGAAGTGACATTATAAAATCATTGAACGAGAGCCTAACGGGCGAACAATTCAAAGTACCAGAAACAAGATATAACTACATAGAAGTCGGGTGAAAACACGACGAATTGCAAACGAACTGCGAAGGAAGACGTGAACGCTGGAAGATGAAAAGGTGGAAAACCGTTCCATCAAGAAGACCTCGAAGATGTGAAGACATGGATCTACCTTTATTAATATGAAACGATGGGGTGGGAGGAATGTGGAGTTTCATGACGATGGATGCGCCGATCCTCTTACGTCACGTGCCACGCGAGTCGCCAATATATGTCAATGCGGTAATGGATATTCAGTGCGCATGCATATCCCTTCCCTAAAGCCACAATTGCAGCGCCGATTCAATTTCAGCCCTTCAGGGGCTTCGCGCTCAGGGGAAGATAGACAGCGAGTTGCGGATATATGCATATATATGCATATATCTACATACAACCTCTCGATTGCTTTCGGGTTCACTACTCCGTAGAATAGAAGCTGAAGTTTTGCAAAGACCGCTGGCAGGGGGGTAATTCCATGATGCCTTTATAAGATCTGAAATGATGTATCGCACAATTCACATATTCTCATGTATACCGACATGGTTCATCCTCACTCGAAGTCCCCAGAGGGCATGTGTAACATTAACTTTAATTTGTTCTTTATATCGTACCGCCACTCACGATTTCCCTCCCTAGTAGTTCAACGCCATGTTCTGAAGTCCGTCTCCTTTCCAAAATCCATCTCTCACCTGTTGGGGAGTGGGGATCGTCCTCCTTCGAATAACTAATGCTTTCGGCACTCCCCGTATGTCGATGTTTCCTGAACTCCTTCTCCTTCTCCTTCTGCGCATCATCCATGACTGGCCTCTTGTTCTCATCTCTAGATGAGGAAACAGCCGTAGCCAACGTGGGACTCGCCGGCGCAGAGTTATCCTCGCTCTGCACATCACTAGCAGCGACACTGAATCCGCTATTCTGCCTCTTATGTCCTCCCGTGGAATGTGTGGCTGCAGCCCCAGGTGTCCAAGGAGGCAGTTGCCCAACAGGACTCGAGTCATCTGCTCCTCCCGCACTTCGAGGACTGCCGGTACTGCTATGCAAACTGGCCTGACTACCACCCCACGCACCTCTTCTCAACTTCAATAAAGCATTGAGACTCATATCGCCGTCATATTCTGGCATACCCGCCAGCTGGGCCAGGCCTGGACTAACGACCGGTGCAGATCCATGCAGAGACAACGACATGAAGGAATTGCGGTTCGAGTATTCCGAGCGTTCTGTAATTGGCGTAAGATTTGGTTCTCTGGAGGCGACTCGGCCACTTTGGCTGCGGTTTATGCCCTCGACGCCTCGAGGTCCAAAATATCCACCATTCGCATACTCAGCTTCGCCAGCTGAAGGCATGGAATAGAAGCCGAACTCTTGACCGTAGAAGCCGTCCATGTCGTTGGCGAGAGCTTCGGCGTTAGCTGCCGCTATGATGGGATCATCTTCGAGTGCGTCATCGTAGTCGAAGTCATCCTCAAAATCATAGTTTGGAGAAAACGGTTCGTAATGGGATGTGCGGCTGGAGTCGGAAACGAGTCCGGGATGAGCATCTTCGTGTTCTGAGGGAGAAGGAAGAGTGTTATTGCTATCACGGCGAAATTTCCCATTGGCTGCAGCGTTGAATGCGGCGGCTGCGAGGGCTGATTGATATGCGGCTAGACTATCCTGAGTGAGATTGCTTGGTTGTGTAGCAGAAGGCTCATGCCCATTTCCTGCTGTTGAAGGCTGCAAGGCTGAGGTGCCTCTTGGAGAACCGCTTCCTGGTGATATAGCATCTCCTGAAGAAGTTTTTATATTATCGTCCGCTTCAACTGTCTCCTTCCGGAGTGGTAATGGGTCCGCCGGTAAAGTCGGCGGAGAATAAAGTGTTGGTTGTATTGGTTGTAATGAGAATGGTTTCAGAGGCCTTCCATACCGATCAGTGTCGATCCTATCAAATACTGATTCGTCGAACTCGACACCTTGAGCTCCCTCTCCCGGACCTTCGAGAGTACCATCGTCAAAGTAGAGGTCATCGTCGTCAATTACAGACGGGCGTGGAACCTCAGTTGCCTCAGGATTCGTCGATTCAGGTTTCGGAAACTCTGTTCCTGCCCCCACGAAATTACCTGTATCAACACCTTCAATCCCTAAACCGCTCGCCGCTGAATCAGGTCCCGGCGATGAATTTTGAGGAGAAGTGGAGGAGGCTTGACGTGTTCCGGGATTCTCATCAACATTCGCGGAAGGGGTAGGTGAGTTCTTCGTCATGGCGAAACCAATAACATCTCCATTTGCATCACGTGGAGTGCTGGCCATCCCTGAACTACCTGGACTCAATGCCACGGCCGGCGTTTGTTGGAAAGAAAAGCCCTCAATATTCTGGTTTCCATCCAGAGCCTCTTCGTTCCCTTCTACTGCATCAATGTTGACACCAGGTATTTGTTCCTCCAAATAAAACTGGGGGTCTTCTTCATCATAATCGGCGTTTACACCGGGAATCTTCTCTTCCAAACCATCATCGTCGTCCATGTTATCATAATTGTACTCATCATCAAACTCATCATCAAGTTCGCCACCGTTAGCTTTTTGGTTTTCTTTTTCTAAAGCACGTTGGCGGTGTCTGTCTTCTAATATCCTTTCTTGCTCAGCAGCGCCTATCATGTCGAAACTAAATCTGGATGACGTGCTCTTCATATGCCTTGGAATGCCAAGGCTTATTGCATCCTTAGCAGAGACTTCCGAGACGTTGCGAGATCGTGCTGTCTTCGACGGTGTAGATTTTGGTGGTGTAGAAGACTGGTCTATCGAAATTCGTCTGGCCTCGGCCTTCGGAGGTACTGCAGGCGGAATATCTGGCACTGGTCTCTCTGTATTGATATTTTTGAGAAGTTCCTCCTCTGCATTGTCGCTACTTCCGGCTTTCAAGTTTGGATCAATTGATTTCTGAGTGCCGTGAGCATAAGGAGGGTTCGGCATAGGAAGGTCGGACAAATCGTTGGCTTTCCGTACGTGAGGTCCAGCTGCTGGATACTGTTCTTCTTCGAAGTTTTCTGTGAAGACTGGCGTGTGATTCCCACTTGCCCATGGCCCACTCGCGTCCTCGTCCGTGGCAACCCCCTCTTGCAGAGCATTCGGACTTTTCTGAGATTGGCTGGCGGTGCTCGTTTTATTTCCTTCGTTCCGAGGATCGTTGGTAGATACGATCTTTCTCGGCCTAGGAGCACTGAAATCATGTACAACAGTTCCTTTGATTCGCGGATCAAAATTATCGTTGAAATTGTCCCCTATTCGGCCGGATGCAAGAGATTCCGCTGAAAGCGGGGGCATAGATTGGTGCGTCCTCCGGCGAGCAAGCAAGGCCATTGGATTCAGAAGATTCAACCTCTTCCCTGATCGCGGTTGCACCGGCTCGAATGTCGAGGTCGCATTTGAAGCGGAAGAAGGAGGGGTAGGTAGCTTTGCGCCAGCTGGTCGTCTGCTTGCCATTATTGTCTTGCTTCGTGAATCTGATGCCGTGGCAAATGGAGGATCAGACTCCGCCGGCCTTTGTCCTTGTATTGGTTCCTGATCCATACCAGTCTGTGACCTTGAAGACGGGAGAGTCGTACGATTCGCTGCGCCAGCATCTTCTGCTGACCGTGGTCTCTGCGTCTCTGCAGCCGGTATTCTGGAGTGATTACTGGATGTGTGTATATCTCGTGCTCGTGCATTCCCGCTTGATGTGCCCGAATTCTGCTCTTTTTGGTCCCGCTCATGCGTCTCCTTAAAAAGATCTCCGCCGGGTATGTCAAAGAATGGTTCTTCAGATGGCACTCGCGCAATTGGGGGTAGTGAAGGGGGGAGCGGGGGTTTCTTTGTTGATGATTCTGGCGTTCGGGTATCTGGATGTCGTCGGGAATCGGATGTCGAATGTGGGGATCCTTCCCAGGAATGCGACTGTTCTGGTGCTGGAGATGTAGAGGTCGAAGGCGCGCGCCGATGAGGTCGGAGGTAGGAAAACATTCTGTAGCAGCAATCACAATTGGTGCCCGTGGTGATGTGTATTCTGCAACTCTTCTAGGAGAGGGGGAGAGCGAGCGTGGGGTCAACGTATGTATCGGTCTCAACTGGCTCGTATCGCGCTCATTGTCACATTCAAGGACTCCCTCGAGCCTCGTCTTCGTCGCGCTACCGCACTTTTCCGATTAATGTGTCTCTTCTCTTTTTTTTTTTCGAAGATGGGTAGACAATTGTGTCGCGTGGAAAAGAGCGCAGCTGCAAGTCCCACATGCGACGATGGCCGAAGTCTTTTTGCTGACGTCTAAGATATTATTAAGGCGACGGTACCTTAGTTACCACAAAACCCCTCGTCGCCTGCCGGTGGACGACAACACTCAATTTCCAGATTATCTGCCCGTTCGATCATATGAGGAACATTCCGGATATTGGCCTATTTACATGGTGTCGCGCCCGCACGTCGACAAATGGCGATCTTCAGACGCGGCATGTATGGAGATTTGTTTACTATACGTATTGGACGGATAGACCAGGGTCCTAAAATAGCCTGCCAAACACCGTATGGCGTGTAATTAAACGTCAAGTGGACAGCACAGACCTGGAGACCTTTTATCTTGGCATCGCAGAACAATCCAGAATGTTCCCTTGTTCATGTTTTCCTGGTTAGCATGTCATGTGCCATGAGTTCCATTCCAGAATTGCCTTGGAAGCCACGATGATAAGTCTCATCAAGGATACTGTTAAGAACACGGTAATAGGCGTGGAACAGTTTCATCTCTTGATTTATTATCTGCTCTCTGCTACAGTAGCTTCTCACATATCCTGTCGTAATCCAGCTCACCTGAGCAACGGACTTGGCCAAGAGACCCTTACAAGTGTATAAGCAGATGTTTGAGGGACCGGAGATGTCTTCGTCGGTGTATACGTTGCAACTGGTGCTGCAGTCCTGCGGATTCCGAGGATTAGTTTCCTGGGTGCATTTCCTGTACGGAACAGCTCCACCACATTTGACCACTCGAGGTGTTATCCAGGGGTCCTGAAGAATGACGAAGGTGGGGATACTGTTCGAGATTGGCATAGTCGTTGCAGCTGGTTTCCTAAATCCCTTCATAGTCCAGGACAGAGGGATACCTAATTGCCATCAAGCTTCTATCTAAGTCATAGATAGTATTTTAACTGGGCGCCACGAAAGGTATCAACCCTTCAACATTCCCGCCCAGTGGTACCTGCCCACTTCATACCTACATGAAAGCAACCTCTGCCATTGATTAGGAGAACTCGACAGTCTTGGAAGACCTCGTTACATCATTAGCCTTCCGCTTATGTGTGTTCCCGTGAAGCGTGAATTTGTGCGTTCGTTGTGATTCATCCCAGTTGATGCATCCTCTGTAAGTTTCCGTCAGAGGTTTTGTTGCACGTCTGAGTTGGCGGCTGTTTGCTTGTGGCGCACTAAATCCTACGGCATACATATCTCCAGCTCCAGGGGGGAAATTGAAAATCAAGATAAAATGTTCTAGCGCAGCAACCCTGCGTCGCGCTGATTACAAGAAGATGGACCTTGACGAATGTCAGATAGTGGGCTCAGTAACCCTAAAGACAATAACTCCTTTCCCGTCCCAAAGACCATCAGAACACCTTTGGAGCCCCGTGCTCGACAAGGAAAGACAGCCACTACCAGCAACAGAAAAAGCCGGGGATATGGACGCCCTCTTATAACTTGGTACCTCTCCTCGCAGGCATGCTTTCTGTAGATAGACCTTTTCCTCCAGAGGCGCATGTTTGAAAAAGGTACCCGGCTCAAAAAAAAGAGTTACACTGTCGTTTCTAGGTGTCGCTCTGCATAGGTACCGACAAGGGAAAGGACCCTTCCGTTTCCCAGGTACCTTTTTCGCGCAGTCACTTTCAAAAAAGATCGTAACGAGTGTCGTTGCTCGAATCTGGAGCGGCCTAATCCACATAATAATAATATTAGACTTCTCTTTATCGACGTCCTTCATAACCTTTGTTATGCTGATACTCCAAAATGGGGCTAATGTGCATGGCCATTATCCTCGTGCTCTTTATCCATATCCAATATTTGGAGCGTGGCTATCTCCACAGCCTTGTGTTTAGCTGTGTCTTCTCCGTTTGTTGTGATCTGGACTGTATTACGTTGCGCATCAGCGCCGAAAGCCTCATTCAATTGCATCACATAGTCTTCTCTGTCCTTGATCTTCCTCTCCATGACCTCCTGGGCCCTGACTCCCCAGTACCACCAGAAGACTTGGTCGAAGACCGGTTCTTTCCAGTGTTCCTTGTTAAATAAGGGCTGGATGTTGGAGTTGAACACCCTATACATTCCCTTGGGAATTTTGACCGCTTGGAAATACCAGAAGCTCCCTGTGTCCCAGGCATGTCGCATGATGGGCGCTTGGTAGAGTGTGCCATTCCGCGTCTTTTCTTCCTCCTCGTAGATATCAAAATACTCTTTCAACAAGGTGTCCAACTCAGCGACAGACTCTGGCTCGTCAAAACCATCCACGGCCTTGGATGTGAGCCAATAGGGCGGCAATTGCATTTCGACTGGTTGCGAACACGCCCACTCGAGATCTATGATAGTCTGGATGTTCCATTGCTCATCGACCCAGATGTTGCTTCGATGAAGATCCGTCAGCGTAAGGAAGAAAGGGCCATCACGATACTGCGTACGTATGAAGCGATGCATAGTGGCTCGGAGAGCCGTCAAAGCTGCCATTTGCATTTCACCGTCATTCCGGTCACGGACAGCATTTGGTTGACACAAGATCTTGTTATCCTGAAAACTAAGCAAGTCGGAGATATAAGGCTCTACAGAAGCGTAGGTTCTCTGTCGTGGAATTCCTGATGGTATTCCTTCATTTTCTAACATTTGAAGGTAGAGAGTAAGGGGTCGATTGGACAGCGAAATGGTACCGCGTGAATCAAAGGTCAATGATCCTATTCGGGGTAGGGGAGATTTATTCAAGGAAAGAGAGATGCGTGCGAGGCTGTGAAACAGCCTAGATCGATAGAACTTATCGTGTCGATGAGCCTCCCATGACTGATGAAGAGGTTCGCCTTCTGCTTCGCCGAGGATGAGATAGCCGGATTTGAATGGGTTGTGTAGTCTGCGTCGTACATAATTACATGGAGTCGGAAGGCCGAGAAAAGACAAGACACGACGTTTTATCTCCCAAATTACCCTTGCAAAGAACGATGTGTTCTGAGGGTGCGTGAACTATACACATTAGACTAGAAGTAGACATATAGATTGAACTTACGCATTGTCCATCAGGAAGACCGAAGCCGTGTAAAGTGGGAATCGGCACATCGGGGCACTGTTCATGAAGCCATATGTAGGTCGCAATTTCTGTCCGGAGCTTCTCTTCCACGTTTCCGGGGGAGTTTGCCTCTCCTATCTTATATGGGAGCGGAAAGCGAATATAGACTTTGTTATGCCCTCGGCGGCCACTCACGGGGGTGAGGATCGGAATAACCACATTAAAGCTGCCAGATTTCCATATTTCCCTGACGCAGACATGACAGCTATTAATGCCCAAATGATAACGGACCATGTTTTCGATATCAGCCTTGTGGGCCAATAGGTAGTCCCAAAATTCCTCCTTTTGTCGCGGATACCGCAATTGGGCTAGCATATCGTCATCATCGTCCAATGCATCTTCGAGATGAACTGTTCCCTTAAGAAGGGGAAGAGCTGGTATGTCCGCCATATATTAAAAGCATGGAACGAAGTACAGCCGTGGTATTTCGTAGCTCTCGAAAGATGTTGGTTGTATGACAAGTGCCTAGGTAGGTAAGACCTCTGAGGCTAGTCCCCTTGTAAGATCTCTCCTCGAGGAACGAAATAGTAGTCGGGCGGTCTGAATATCAAGTAAAGTCGAGGAGAAAAGGTGACAAGCAGAATTATTGAAGAGACTGTTACAATTTGATATTTTGGGAGTGAAAGGTGAGCGGGCCCCTGAACTAAATATAGATAAGGTTTACGGAGTAGTCCCTCCTCGGGCGTAGGAACAAAGTTTTGTTGCACGTCGCAAATCTGCAGCTCACTGAGCGCCAAGAAGAAACTCGCTCCTAAGGTATCTGATTTGGCTACAATGCTACATGCTCAGCAGGTGTCAAAATTTCTCAGAGGGTGTCAAACAGGCCATTTCGGCACAAGGTTGGCAGGTATCTGATGACTACATTTGCTGCGCATCGCAAGCATCGCAAGCATGAATGCCGTCGGTGTAGAGAAATAACTCTTGTGTCCCTATTTTGTTGCACATCGCGAAGCTAGAGCTGTCATGAAGTACCGGGCGTGACAAGCTCGGAGGTTATCTGATTATCTAATCATGCCTCCCTGAATTTGTTGCACGTCGCGAAGGTGAAGAGTGGTCGAGAGCTAAGAATGCATGGGCCGACGCTAAAACCACCACCCCAGACTGATATGAGATTGCCTACCGGGACTTTAGATTGCGCCGTGCGCCAATTTCAGAACCTCGATCGTGTCGCGCGCTCTTTCCCCCCTCATCGTCAATTGCGGTAATCACCTCTCTTTACTCTTCTCTATATCTCTCATTCAACAATGCGCGCATCGCCATAGTACCCGTAGACCTTCAAACCCAATGGCGACGCACGAGATCCCAGCATGGGAGGCACCTCCGGTGGCCGCCAAGAGCTCCATCTTCAGGAATCACTTCCTCTACGCCCCGTCATTCGATAAAGTCAAGTCTTTCTTCAGCAGAAAAAGCGCGTCTGATATCCAAACCCTCGATAAAGGAGTTCCCGTCGAGGGGGTCCCCTCTAGTCGCAAGTACTGCGGGCTCAGTCGCCGAACATGTATTATCCTACTCCTCGTATCTATTGCCCTCGTCGCCCTCATTATCGGTCTCGCAGTCGGGCTTACCCGCAAATCGTATGTTCCAAATATCACTACTTTCATACCAAAGATACCTGGCCTATTCTGGGGCACCCTCCTTTCATACCTCCTTCTCATCACCACCGTCTATTCCACTAACCCCTCCTTCTCCCAGATCAAAAGCGCAAGATTTGCCGCTACCATCCAATACCGGTATTTTTACCGGTGATTTGACGTACTACAGCCCGGGTCCAGGTTACGGCGCATGCGGCTACGAGAATACCTCGTCGGATTCCATATGTGCGGTGTCGCATATCATATGGGATGCAGCGTCCACGAGCGCGAATCCGAATAACAATCCATTGTGTGGGAAGAAGATTCGGATTACGAGATATGATCAGAGTGTAGGCGGGAATAGGAGTGTGGACGTGGAGGTCGTGGATCGATGTGTGGGATGCAAGGCCAACGATTTGGATTTGAGCTTGAAGATGTTTACGAGCTTGGCGGATGAGTCGCTCGGGAGAGTGCTGGGAAGCTGGGCGGTAAGTCATTGAGCCACGTTCCAGTGAGTGAGATACTAAGTGCTTGCAGTGGTTGAATCAAACGCACACTCCGTAGGACTGGATTCCGTTTTCATTGGTGTTTATTCTCGGCGCACTCTTCCGGCATGGCTGTTCTGGAATAACAGCTTCTAGTCTGGAGATTTGCATTTCACCACTGGAAAGAGCTTCGAATACCCCAACTTAGGGTTTGGAAGGAGATCAGGCTATGATGGCTACCCGGCCCGCCAGCAAACATGTTGTAAAGGAATGGGTCTGGCGGTTGTACTTTTTATTACAGTTGTAATTTCAGAGATACCCCTTGGTTTGGAGAACATTCAGTTGAAGCACAGTCTTGAGCAGTGCTCGAGAATAATTCCCTTATAATACGATCACTACTTTATTTGTTTCCTAGAAACTCAAAACTCTCCACAACAAAACTCGGATCCTTCGGCTTTCCAGATTTCAGATCCTTCGTTGTATATAGAAGAGATATCAGAGCACATGATCACCGGCAGAATTGAAACAATACGTGAGCGGCATGCCTCAATATGTGCATATGTGACATTAGGAGGATTCTCCTGGCCTCGATATTGGACCATTGACAAAGCACCGCGTGATTTACCCGCTGTAGACTAGGTAGTCAAGGGAGCAGTTTTTATATGAATGTAAGGAACAATTGAGGTTTTGAGGAATATAACTTCTTAATAGGGGACGGACAAGGCCGTACATCCACACTTGATGGTTGGATCGCTAGATCCATAGAGAATGGGAACGGCCAAGAATCAGACGAAGGAGAGATAAAGTCTCAGATTCCACAACACCATCATGAATTCAAGCGTCATTTCTCTTCAAGGAGAAAAGCTGTATCGTTCATAAATTATCGAGAGGGTAGAACAGAGGTATATGAAAGGATAGGTCGTCTGGTGATGTGCGTAGCCTTGCAACGCTCGAGGAGATACAAACAGAGCGTAGGGAACTAATTGAGAAGGAAGCTCAAGTAAGCGCTAGATTATTGTAATAGGGTAGCCATTCCAACAGCAGAGAAGCATCAGCGTGTTTCAGCCCTGTTTTCACTCCGTTGCTTTATAGCTCATCTGCCACGTAGGCTTGTCCAACACCTGCACCACAAGAGAAACGGCCGCATCATGGATTCATTCGCTGGAATCAGGACAATCCTTTGTTCCACTCAATACTGTCTCTCCTGATCAAGCACTAGCATTAAGGTCTGTTGATGCTTTTCGTATCTGAGCGATGGACCAGGTCCATGAGACTCGGTTTATAGGCCATATTAAGACAATTATTCGTCCCATCAGCCGCCTCAATTCTCGGCTTCTGAGCTTGAATCCATCCCTAACTCATCGTACATAATATATCACAGTGGTCTGGTTCATTTGACCTCCCCACCGCCAAGTATATCTGCAAGATTAACTTGGCCGGTTCCTCGGGGTAATGGCTTGGATTGATTTGGTCCCTCTTTCCAACCAATCATGTATATCATCCTGAATGTCGCAGGTATTGTCCCATCTTCGTTGCCATGAAGCGCTCGATAGATGGCCTCGTTCGCAAGCAAGACGTCCCTCTTTATAGCACCTGGTTCCCTTCCTAATATAGCATTGTTCTCTCCCATAGATTGCAAATCCTGCATCAACGCAAACGTATCAGGAAAATCCACAATAATGTCATCCACGTCCACAGTCAACATCTTAAACCCAGCTTTTTGCAACAAACCCCCCATATCTCGCACATCCGCCAGCGGAGAAACGTGCGGCGAGACTCCACCCCTTCTTTCCATATCCGCGAGCTGTAAAGATGTTCGCAATTCAAATAGAGTGTCACCGCCGAACATAGCTGCTATGAAAGGAGCATCGGGCTTCAGGATGTGATTTATTTGCGCCAGTACTGAAGGCAGGTCGTTGATCCAATGCATGCTCAGAGAGCTGAGAACCGCATCAAATGTCTCTGCCTCATAGGGAAGACTTTCCTCATCGTCCAACACATGGCGCGTTAGGTTTATCTCTTTGTTAAAAGGGAGGTCGGCATCTCGGTAGAGCATTGTGCGGGAGGAGTCTGCTGCTGTGAGATGTGAAAGTCGGGTCGAGAGAGGTGGTGAACTTGTTTTCGAAGGGTCAGGGTCGGGATCTGGGAGAGTAAGTGCTCTTGCTATGTTACAAGAGTTTGCACCGAAATCGAGAACATGATCGAAATGGCGATTGATGTCCTAAATTGATGAGTACTTGAAAACCAGTTCAGGAATTCAGACTTACGAGCAACCTCTCGGACAGCCGCATAGCTACTTCATCTTTCAGATAATCCACTTGTCTACTTCTCTCTGGGTCGGCAGCGGCACGTTCTTTCTGGAGATACTTTGTATGCCTATTGAAGATTTGCAAAGTTGGATTTCCTGGAGACTGGACAGCATAGCTTCGAGATATACATATTCGCCGTCTTGTCGGTAGGTATCGAAGAAAAGGTCGAGCTGTTGCTGGATTCATAATTGAGAGACTTTGCTGCCAAAGATATTTATTTGCTGAAGAAGTTGGATGAGGCTGATTGTGACGTTCTCCCGCTGACTAAGACCCCTGCTACCCTGTAAATTCGCGCCGCTCCTAGTGGATCCACGAGGGGGGGCAGATCAACATCTTCCCCGAAGAGCCCTCCCCTTTCCAGTCTCATATCGAAGACCATCACCACGGCAGAGCCCAGTAATAGCTGGCCGTTACGCCAGTCGTGTCGGATGGAGTTCCACGAGCGAGGCTGAATACACGAAGCCTTCGCGATCTACGTCCCGGCGCCATTTCTTCGCAGGATTATTCGACAAGTCAACCTTGGAAACAGGACCTGCGAGCTCTGCTCCCGGATCTGGTGGACTTGCGCGTGTTCAGAGCAGACTTCTTCTGCCGAGACATCTAATACACCAGATAAGGACGGTCAAAATCTCCAGCCATGAATTCCTCGGGGCCGGTGGGCTTCCTGAACCGCGGAAGCTCGGGGAACAGCTCTAACATGCGTGGATTGGTGCAATTCATTGCAGATCTGAGGAATGCAAGAGCAAGAGAACTGGAGGAGAAGCGAATCAATAAAGAGTTGGCCAATATAAGGTTAGCATCATAGTTTGTTCATATATGGGTCAAGAGACATCATAACTGACTTGTTTGATCTATCACAGGCAGAAATTCAAAGGTATATAATAGCTGGAATCACTTTATAATATCCGAGTGGTTGCTAACTACAGAGATCACAGATGGAAACCTCAATGGATACCACAAAAAGAAATACGTCTGCAAAGTAAGCTTTCTCTGTGAACTCAGTGCACTCTGGTTACTGACTGTTTAAGCTTCTGTACATATACATTCTCGGTTGGAACGTCGACTTCGGACATCTCGAAGCTGTCAATCTTATCTCCGCGCGACAGTATTCCGAAAAGCAAATAGGTTACCTTGCCATGACCCTTTTTCTGCACGAAGAGCACGAATTATTACATCTTGTGGTCAATAGCATAAGAAAGGACCTCACTGATAACAATGAGCTTTTCAACTGCTTGGCATTGCACGCCATTGCCAATGTTGGGAGTCGAGAAATGGGAGAGGCTCTAAGTGGTGAAGTTCATAGACTTCTAATATCTCCGTAGGGACCCCGGAGTCTTCGGAAAGAGGGCATATCTAATTTACCGCATAGGACATCAAAGGCATTCGTGAAAAAGAAGGCAGCATTGACCCTCCTCCGTCTCTACCGCAAACACCCAGATATTGTGCAGCCACAATGGGCGGAACGAATAATCTCCCTCATGGACGACGCGGATATGGGTGTTGCTCTGTCAGTAACCTCTCTCGTAATGGCTCTTGCGCAGGATAGCCCTGAGCAGTACAAGGGTTGTTACGTCAAGGCAGCTTCAAGATTGAAGAGAATTCTGGTGGATGGGGAATATGCACAGGACTACCTCTATTACAAGGTACCGTGTCCCTGGATACAGGTCAAGCTCTTGAGGCTGTTGCAATACTTTCCGCCGTCTGGTAAGTTGTTGGTTATAACCAACATTTCTGGATCCATGCTAAATTATTACCAGAGGATACACACGTCCGTGATTTAATCCGCGAGTCACTGCAGAAGATACTGAATCTGGCTTTAGAGGTGCCAAAGAATGTTCAGCAGAACAACGCCCAAAATGCAGTCCTTTTTGAAGCGATCAATTTGATTATACATCTTGATACAGAGCAAGCTTTGATGAAGCAGATCTCAACGAGATTAGGAAAATTCATCCAATCAAGAGAAACAAATGTCCGGTATCTCGGACTGGAGGCCATGACACATTTGGCTGCGAGAGCAGAAACACTAGACCCTATTAAACAACATCAATCCATCATCATCGGATCTCTGAAAGATCGAGACATTAGCGTTCGGCGGAAGGGCCTCGACTTGCTATACAGCATGTGCGATCAAAGCAATGCACAGCCAATTGTCGGGGAACTTCTGCAGTATCTTCAGACCGCTGATTTTGCCATCCGGGAAGAGATGGTCTTGAAGATTGCCATCCTGACAGAGAAGTACGCCACAGACATTCAGTGGTACGTCGATATATCACTTCGGCTTATAGCAATGGCGGGAGATCATGTGAGTGACGAAGTGTGGCATCGAGTCATTCAGATCGTCACGAACAACGAGGAACTCCAGGTTTATGCCGCACAAAACATTCTACAATATGTCAAGGCCGACCATTGTCATGAGACACTCGTAAAGATTGGAGGCTATATCTTGGGCGAATTTGGTCATCTAATTGCCGAAGACAAAGGTTGCAGTCCTATTGAACAATTCATGGCTCTCCAGAGCAAATTACAAGGATGTTCCTCAAGCACCAGAGCGATTATCCTCTCCTCTTATATCAAATTCGTCAACCTCTTTCCCGAAATCAAGTCTCGACTCATGTATGTTTTCCAAGCATATAGCCACACCCTTGATTCCGAACTTCAGCAGCGAGCATGTGAGTATCTTGCACTGGCAAGCTTACCGACGGATGATCTTCTCCGAACTGTCTGTGATGAGATGCCTCCCTTCCCTGAACGGCAATCCGCGCTCCTTTCGCGGCTACATCAAAAGCATGCTAATACCAGCGATAAGCGGACATGGGTTGTCGGAGGGAAGGATGCGAATGCCAATGAGAAGGATTTCGCTCTGGCCAAGAATCCAGGTCTGAAACGTGCTTTCAGTAGCACGAACGGTATCGGACAAGTCAATGGGACAGCGAATGGTGCAGCTATGAATGGCACAAATGGTCATGCGAAAGGTGTCAATGATCTTGCTGGAATAGATATGTCAGACTCAGGTCCATCGGAGCCCAAGACCCTGAAAGCACCCAACTTGGCTAGTGCAGCTCACCTGTCACCTGATTGGGAGATTGGGTACAACAAGCTCCTCCTGAGACCCGAGGGTGTTCTCTACGAGGACGCACAGATCCAAATCGGGTTGCGATCAGAATACCGTGGACAAATGGCCTGCGTCATCCTCTACTTCCAGAACAAAAACCCCACGGCAATCAGCTCATTTACCACAACGCTTGACCTCGAAGAGAGCGAGAAAGGAAACCTGACGTGGGAAGTCAAGAATATGCCAGAGAGTACGATCAGCCAAGGGTCGCAAAGCCAGCAAATGATCATGTTCCAGGCCAGAAAAGTCTTTGACAAGAGCCCCACGATCAGGATAAGCTATCTCGCAGGAGCACTGCAGGCGCTTACTCTAAAGCTGCCAGTGGCAGCACACAAGTTTATGGACCCCGCAGAGCTCTCGGCAGATGATTTCTTTAAGAGGTGGAAGCAAATTGGTAGTGCACCACGTGAGGCCCAGCGCATATTCGGGCTCAAGGGCAGCAAAGGTGAGCGGGAGATCAACGATCCCTTCATCCGAAGAACAGTTGAGGGATTCCGCTGGGGCGTCTTGGACGGAGTAGATCCGAACAGGAAGAACTTTGTCGGTGCCAGCGTTCTGCACACGGGCGATGGTGGGAAGTTCGGGTGCTTGTTAAGGCTGGAGCCTAACTATGCGACTCAGGTACGTTCATCATACAGGATATTTGAGAGGAGAGTGCTAACACGGAGCAGATGGTGCGGCTGACCATCCGGGCCACGGATGAGAGCGTCCCCCCGGTCCTGATCAGGCTGATGGAGGAGAGGCTGGCAGCAGGGGTCTCAACGCAGCCAGATGTGATGGCGATACCGTCACTGAGAGAAATGAAAGATGTTTTCGGGAATGTCCTCGTATCATGAGGACGCCTCTAGGGGAATGGGATGATACGACACCACGCGATGAGTATTGATATGGTTGCTGGAGAACTCGAGGAGTACATGATGCATTTCAATGGAGTGTTGTTACGGTTCTACTTTGCCTGTGCCCTGGTGACTGAGTAGTAGTGATGAGTCCAGCCCGTGACCGAAGGAAGGTCACCCTTCGGATTTCTTCGATATATCTTTACGTCAAGGATTAGATGTGGGTGTTGATGGTCCTGGCTGTTTATATCTTTGAACCTCTTTTGGACTTGGAGTAGCTATAGAACACCTATCGTGCTAGATGGTGCTTCAGGGCATATAATGCCGAGTTTATAATTTGCTCTGTCTACAGCATTGTATCAAATTCAGTGAAATCCTTTCCTTCATTTCATCTCCATCCCATACCCGCCCCTCCGGACAAACATTCAATTCCTCTTAATTCTATTGTACCTCCCTCCCTCCCTACATCCATCCATCCCCCCCTCCCCCC